TTACGAACAGATAAGACAGAGTTAGGAGAACGCATTATAATAATATATTGAGCATTTTGTCTTGCAACTTTAATTTTGCGTTCGAATAAATTCTGAGTAACAAAGATGACAGCAAAATTTTGATGATGGGATTTTTTTGTAAATAACTCGGACAAATATTTTTCATCAATTGACATAAGCAAGTCGTCAAGTATTAATAGTAATGGCTTCTGATATTTTTTAATCAAATCCTCGGGGGGAACACCGGAATAAACACTGACACCTGATTTCTGTAGAATAGGGACAATATTACTCATTTCACCAAAACAATAGAGTATACTTTTAGGTTTGGGTTCAATTAAATTTGCGGCTTCAGAAATAAATCTCAGTAATAATGTACTCTTTCCACTAGAACTAGGACCAGAAATTATCATACCAAAAGGAATTTTAAATTTCAAATCTTTATCTGAGAATGTTAAAGTTTCCATTTTATTAATTAAAAAAATAAAAAATTTTTGTTTAAATAAGAAAAATTAACGAGGTATGTTATATAAAGCTTCGATAGCAGCCATCTCCTCTTCTTCCATCTCTGCATGTTTCTTCAAATTATTCATCTTTTCAATCTGTGATGGAATTCCAGTTGTTGCTGCATCAAGACTATCAAAAAATTCATTAAGCAAAACATTTTCTTTATTTTCTTTACTTTTGTCTTTGAGGATATTTTCATTTGTATGTTTTGTTGTTTTTTGTGAATTAGCGGGTTGCTTTGATTTATTCTGTTTTTCTGATATTGTAGTTTGGTTGTTTAGATTTGCTGGTTGTATCGGTTGTTGAGTTTGAAGTGGTAGTTGTGGTTTTACAGAGCCATATGGAATATTGAATACACGACCTTTGTTCTTAATCTTAATTTATAAAATTAATAGATAATGACTAGAAAATACATACCCGAAAGAAACATATTCCTGGTAACTCATAAGTTGAATCAAAAGGTACATAACGAGTTCCTGAAATACGTGAGCAATAGATTGTAATCCCATCTTTAGTGACAACAAAATCCAACTCCACTTCTGTACTTTTACATTCACGACACTTGCCCCCAATATCATACGCTACAAAACGAGAAGGAGTTAAACGGTCACTTGAAATTGTTATTCCGTTCAGATTAATACTAATTTCTACTTCAGGTAAAACTTGTCGAGTGAGAATTTTATTATTGTTCATCTTAGATAATTTTGAAAGAATGAGCCAAGGAAATGAAAATATGTTTGATAATTCGCTTTTTATACTACTTTCTAAACATCCCTCTTTGGAATTTTAGGTCTGCTAAAGGACTGAAAATAGTTTTGAAAAATTCAATAACTGTTGAACTTGTTTCTTTTATGAATATCCATCCGAGATATAATATACCATCATCTTTTTCTGGTTTAGGTTTTGACGGAGGTCCATAATATATTGGTATAATAGCTTTTTCTTTCTCATCCCAAACCCACCAATGATGACCGTATGGGGTCCAAATTTCTTTATACTCCAGGTCTCTTGGTACGCCTATGTTTAAAACTTCTTTGAAATTTATCGAAGGAGGTTTTCTTCGAAATAAAGTTATAGCTCTCTCACACTGCCATATTTTATATTCAGATAAATTTTTAGCTTCAGCTAAAATTTTATGGAAAAATAATGTTATAATAATAAATTTAAATTTCATTTTGAAATAATTTTTAAAAACTTTAAACCTATTTATATACAAACGAATCCCTCAAAATCTTTTCATCAGTAGTTAAAAATTTAGTAGTCCTTCCCCAACACCTTTATTTAAAAGATGGCAATTAAATTTTAATAGATTTTACCTATTTAACTCTTGTTCTTTTGGGGTTTTCAAATACCCTATTTTGGGGGTTTGAAAATGAAAAAAAGTAAAAAAATAATTAAAAAATTTTAAATGATAGTTTTAGTAAACTCCGGTTGATCTGATCAATCGCTTAATCTCTTGGTATAAAGAACTGATCACCCCCTCTGTTGATCACTCTTTACTGTCACTTTTCAGTATATTGATCACACGATTGATTTCGATCAATTAATTGATCACATAATAAACTGATTGTAGTTTGATCAATTTTAATAACTTTATCACTTGATCACTTTTGATCAATCATCTGATCACTTATTCACATTTTTTATTACATGATAAATTTCATTGATCACTAGCCTTTTAAATTTTAAATTGATTATTCGATCACTTGATTGACCGCTCATTTACTTTACCTACTCGATTATATACATGATACTTTTACTCAATCTTTTGATTGATCACTCAAATAGTCACTTGATCACTTGATTGACCACTCATTTACTTTGATCACTCAATTATATACATGATACATTTATTCACTCTTTTAATATCTTTTGATTGATCACTAAATAAATTAATACTCGCTTGATCAGTTGGTTGATCACTAGATATATTAAAGACAGGTTTTTGAAAATAAATATACCTTTTAGATTAGATGATAAATAAATAACATATTTGATTGACAGGTTTTAAAAATAAAAGAGAAGATTTGAATTTAGATAAAATTAGCATATTTGATTAATAGATTTTTTAAAAATAAAGATTTGAATTTAGATTAGTTTAAAATTAGCATATTTGATTGAAAAAATTTAAAGAATAAAGCCAACACTTTTTAGAATAGATTTAAAATTAAATTAGCATATTTGATTGACAGCTTTTTAAAAAATAAGGATTTGAATTTAGATTAGATATTTAGATTAAATTTGCATATTTGATTGATAGATTTTTAGAAAAGGAAAAATTTGAAATTAGATTGAGATTAAATTTGCATATTTGATTGATAGATTTTTAAAAATAAAGATTTGAATTTAGATTAGATATTTAGATTAAATTTGCATATTTGATTGATAGATTTTTAGAAATAAAAGGAAAAATTTGAAATTAGATTGAGATTAAATTTGCATATTTGATTGATAGATTTTTAAAAATAAAAGATTTGAATATAGAAAAAGATAAAATTAGAAAAGAAATGTTTAATAGAAAAGGAATATTTAAATTTTATGAGAAAAAGAAGTTTGATTTTTGATGAGATAAATTATCAGCAAGTAATCATTTTTACCAAAAACTATGAGAAAGTGTCTTAACATCTAAGGGATACCGCCCTAAACTTTATTAAAGTTTGATCAAAAAATTATCATTAATTAATCACATTTAAATTTTGAAGAAAATGCAACTAAGCATTAGGATTCCACAAAAAATTCTTTAGTGGTAAAAGATAATTAAAAGTCACAAAAAAAACATCTAAAATCTTTGAAATCTCAAAAATAAAACATTTTATAGCTTTAGGGTTGTGTCAAAAAACATAAAAGATAGAAGTTAGGAGCGTTAAAATCGTGTGTGAAAAGGTTTTGTTGAAAGACTTGCGCCAATATGTTGAAAGATAATCAATCTTAATTTAAAAAATTCCTAAAATTCTGAGGAAAAACGGATAACAACAAAGCTCTAAAACTTTTGTTGTTTATCTTAAAAACATCCAGACTCAAAAAGAAACGTCTTTAAACAGATTATTATATTAACAAAAATAATTATTCATCAATCTGAAACGTTCAAAACTAGAGGAAAAGCGGGTGAAATTAAACAGAAACTTGTTCTAATCCTTTGGGTTGCCTCACAAAACCAAAAAGAAAATTTGTGACAAATGATAATTAATCAGAACCCCTTTTTGAAACCCCTCCTAAACCTTTGGGTTGCGTCTTGAAAAACATTGCACCAAAATATAAAAAGACATTTGACCAGAAACCCCTTAAAACCAAAAGGAAAACCCTCCTAAACCTTTGGGTTTTTTCTTGAAAAACATTGCGCGAAATTGGTATACTGTAATTAATCTTAATTAGACCCCTGCAAAACCCTTTGGATATTAAAAGGAAACCTCCTAAACCTTTGGATTGTCTCTTGATAAAATTTGCGCGAAGTTGGTATACTGTAATTAATTTTAATTAGACCCCTCCAAAACCCTTAGAAGATCAAAAGGGAAACCCCCTAAACCTTTAGGATCAAAAGGGAAACCCCCCTATACCTTTAGGATCAAAAGGGAAACCCCCCTATACCTTTTGGTTGCGCCAAAAAAGGTCATTAATTCTCCCACGAAAAAGTGGTATTACTAACTACTAAAGACCCGCCCCCTTCCCAAACCTTTTCTGCTCTGGAAATTTTGTGGGAAAAAAGGGAAATAAAGTGGGGTGACTAACTACTTCTTTGCCACATTTTTAGCTTCTCTCATCTTTGTAGTCCATCATCGATTCGTTGCAATCCAATTCTCATTTTGAACACTTCTTGCAATAATAAGTCTCGGTGTAGCTGTTGATGTTACAGAGCATTCAGCCTCAATGTACAAGTTTTGTTGTTGCAGCACACATCTGAAAAATACCTTTAAAATTAAAAATACGAAAATTGTCGTCTTCACAAAAATACTTTAGAAAGCACGTTTCTGCCCACAGCTTAGTCAAATATAGTTAATCCCCCCAACAAAACACCTCTCCACTCCCCTAGCCTACCCAAAGACAGTCTCCCATCCCAAAGAATAAAAAAGAGAAAATACCAAACCTTAGAGTTGTGATGATGCTCAAATTCATCCTTCTCAGTAGTCTGGTTGGCGTCTAACCAAGAGAGCGTTTCCTGACATTTGTCCAAAACCTTCTTATCGTCTTCGCTAATCTTGTCCTTGAGCTGAAAAATTTTTGAAAAATTAAACAAGTCCCTTACAAGAAAGTGAACCAAGAAAGTGGATTTTTAAAAGTGGAAGGGTCAATAAAGGAAGGCGGAAGACAACCTATCCATCTCACAACAAAACATCTGATTTCTGGCCCAAGCTCTTTCCCCTTAAGACAGCCCCTCCCCTTTCCCCAGATCATCGCCACACAAGACCGCGCATTCCGATCCTCAGTCCTTCCACCAAGGACAACCCATCAAAAGCCCACACCCAAAGACACCCAACCCAAGCATTATCCCCTCAAAATCAAACCTTATCATCCTCCATTGTCTGCTTGATGTTAAAGCAGTAAGACTGAAGTCCGTTCTTTGCAGAAACACGATCACGCTGAATTTCATCCTCTCCACGATATTTCTCAGCTTCTTGGACCATGCGCTCAATCTCATCTTTGGAAAGACGTCCCCTGTCGTTAGTGATGGTGACCTTGTTTTGCTTTCCAGTAGACTTGTCTTGGGCAAAAACATTCAAAATTCCGTTGGCGTTAATGTCAAAGGCGACTTCGATTTGAGGAACACCACGAGGAGCAGGAGGAATTCCACTCAACTCGAATTTGCCCAACAAGTTGTTGTCCTTAGTCATAGCACGTTCACCTTCATAGACCTTTAAAAAAGAAAAGGTCAAAAATTTCCAAAAATTCTTTCCAACCTGAATAAGAACACCAGGCTGGTTGTCAGAGTAAGTAGTGAACGTTTGAGAAGTCTTGGTGGGAATAGTCGTGTTTCTCTTGATTAACGGAGTCGTGACGCCACCAGCAGTTTCAATACCCAATGAGAGTGGGGCAACGTCCAAAAGACGAAGATCCTTTAAAAAAATTTTCAAGTTTTCCCTTTCAGAAAAACACTCGCAAAAAATATACCTGAACATTCTCAGACTTATCGCCAGACAAAATTGCAGCCTGAACAGCAGCTCCATAGGCGACAGCCTCGTCGTGGTTGATGCTCTTGTTAAGTTCTTTACCAGAAAAGAAGTCAGACAACAGCTTCTGGACTTTTGGGATTCTAGTCGATCCTCCAACCAAAACAATGTCATGAATCTGAGACTTGTCCATCTTACATTAGCATCACGAATTGATTTCTCGACTGGATCCATAGTACTGCGGAACAAATCGGCGCAAAGCTCTTCAAAACGTGCACGCGTGATGTTGGTGTAGAAGTCGATTCCATCAAAGAGAGAGTCAATCTCAATGCTAAAATCGATTCAAGTCAAGGTCAAAAAAGTAAAAAATAACCTCGCTTGAGTAGAGCTAGACAAAGTCCTCTTAGCGCGTTCACAAGCAGTACGAATACGACGGAGAGCACGCGGATTGGTGGCAAGATCCTTCTTGTGCTTACGTTTGAATTCAGCAACGAAGTGGTTGACCTTAAAAAGACATATTTTCAGTTTAGAAAACCCTCAAAAAACTCCAAACCATTCGATTGTCGAAATCTTCGCCTCCAAGGTGGGTGTCTCCAGCAGTCGACTTGACCTCAAAAATGCCATCTTCAATAGTCAAGATTGACACATCAAACGTTCCACCGCCCAAGTCAAAAATCAGAACATTTCGCTCCCCTTCTTATCCAAACCATAAGCAATGGCCGCAGCAGTTGGCTCGTTGATGATACGCAAAACATTAAGTCCAGAAATCGTTCCAGCATCCTTTGTGGCTTGGCGTTGACTGTCGTTGAAGTATGCAGGCACAGTGATGACAGCATCTTTCACGGTTTGTCCCAAAAATGCTTCGGCTGTTTCCTTCATTTTAGTCAAAACCATGTTCCTTAAAACCCGAAAAATTGAACTCAAACCAAGTAAAATCCAAATCAAACCTCAGGGAAGAACGTCTTCATTTCTCCTTTAACCTCCACTTGGATTTTTGGACGAGCACCTTCTCGTTGAATAACCTTGAACGGCCAATGCTTCATGTCGGATTGAACGGCTGGATCGTCAAACTTGCGTCCAATCAAGCGGTTGGCGTCTGAAAATGATTTTTTACTTGTTTACCCAAAAATTCAAAAAAAAATACCAAAAACAGTGTTCGACGGATTCATTGCCACTTGATTTTTAGCAGCGCCGCCAATCAGACGTTCGGTGTACGTGAAGGCCACATAAAATGGAGTCGTGCGATTTCCTGAAGAAAATAAAGTTAGAACTTGAAAACTCGTTCCAGAAACAAACCTTGATCGTTAGCAATGATTTCAACTTTTCCATGCTGGAATACACCGACGCACGAATAAGTTGTTCCAAGATCGATACTGACAGCGTTTGCTTTAGACATTTTTAAAAGTTTTTTAAAATGATTGCTGAAAAATTAGAAAAGTTTAGAAGATTAGGAGATTCATTAAATAGTTAGAGAGCGCTAATGTTAAAATCATAAAATGTATATACATATGTATTACACAAGACATAAAAATCAATCAAATCTGTTGAAAAAGGTGAACAACACAAAAAACCATTAAACATAACAAGAAAATGCAAATCTCCGAAAACTAATGAAAATCGATAAGTGACGCCAAATGAATTTGAACTAAATATTAACGCGAATTATTTTGTTAACTTAATTTTGGAAAATGTCAAAGTGCCAAGCTTTGTTATTTGTCAATTACTCTAAAAAATTGAGTAAAGATTTTCAAGACTTAAAAAATTTCAAAATTGAGTTTAGGTAAACTTTCAGAAGATATCGATCAAGAATGCGGTGATATAGATGAAACAAAACAATAAATCACAAAAGCAATAATTTCAGGAGCCTCTTTCTCCATGACGATTAAAATCGAAGTTTGGAGAAATTGAGACTGAAATAAATTCTAATTTAAATTTTTGCGGTTTGTCCAAATTCGAAAATTCACGAAATACAACTCCAAATCCCCAAACAATTTTTATTCTTTTTTTTTCATCCGATTATTGCTTTAAAGAGAGCTTTCCTCTTTGTCCCGTGCACTTTACCACTTTCCTATTACACTCCATTCAAAATTGTTTTTACCTAAGGCTTTCAAACATGCAAAGCACTCATCCGGCCCTTTCTAGTTCCGCCATTCCCAGCGTTCCCTTTCCCTCTTCAATTTTTCTTTTACATTAAATTCGAGAGTTGTCGCATAAAATGTAAAATCATAAAGGTAAACTAAATTTAAGCTATTGTATGGATCTTTGAAACTTTGAAACTATCTTTCCTTCAATTAAATTTTACTTTTTTTCGCATCCATTGACAATGCTTCAAGCTACTTAAACATTTTAAGGGCGGGTGTCGTATTAGCCACTTTTTTGGTAAATTCCTTTAACTCATTCATCATACCAGACATAAATAATTCTTTTCATTTTTTTGATGCATCCTCGAACTAGTTGACAAAAATGCATTCGTAAAAGCTATTTTACGAATGAATTGTCTCTTATCAAAATATGTGTATACTATTTTTCAATTTTAATAAATTCACTTTATTCAATGATCTCAGGAAAAACCTTCCTGCGTACACACCATATGTATGTACTAGTATTTTACATTTATTTTTTTATATTAGATATAGTACTAATAATAAATTGACATTATTTATCTGCAAACTTAAGTGCCGATGTTTCTTTCTATGTTCACCCGTCTGCTTTTATTACTTCCAAAACTTTCTGTAACCGATGCTGAAATTCTATTCCAAATTTCCGAGAAACAATCAACGACAGCTATACGCCCTGAAAATTTTACTTCTAAATTGCGAGAGGCATACTTGCAAAGAAAATCAGTGAAAACTAAGGCCAATTCCGGTGAAAGGCTAACGCAAAAATCAAAGAATACGATACACAGAAATTGTATATTAGTCGATGATAAACGCAGGAAGCAACTAATCCAGGTTTTTAGGAAGAACATTTTAAATATTGGTTTTCCGGGTCCACCTTTAATAAATTTTTAACAAAAATTTAACCAAAAATTTACAAACAAATATATTTTTAACAACAAACATGCAGCAGCTCTTCTCTGAAGAAAATTACGACAAAAATAATCTTCCTTCCACAAATCATACTAACGTTGTCGTCGAATTGACAGTCCAATCCATTACCGAAATTAGTGAATTCTCTAGTAGCTTCAAAGCTGATGTTTGGTTTAGGTAGAATATTATTAAAGAAAAAACTATGAATTTTTAGCCAGATATGGCAGGATCCTCGACTGGATTTTTCATCATTTAATTACTGTCTCTCCAACCTTTCACTTCCTTCACATAAACTAGTTTGTTTATTGTAGGATTGTTTTAATACTATTATTACTTAGAATTCAATATGGACACCAAATGTTTGCTTTGTGAATAGTAAAAATGTGCGGATACATGCATCACCTTCTGAGAATATATTACTTTTAGTTTTTCCAAATGGCACCGTCTGGCTTAACTATAGGTATGTGAATTAAATATATGACATATGCTGATTAAAACCTTAATTCATTATAGAGTTTCTCTAATGGGTCCATGTTTTTTGGATTTGTCACTTTTCCCTATGGATGTGCAACAAGTAAATATGAATTTATCGCTAATTATAATAAATTCTAATAGTGCAATTTGGTCTTCGAGAGTTATTCTTACAATAGTGCTGAGGTAATTCATAAAAAATTCTAAAACTTTCAAATACGTCAGGTTAATATTGTTTGGCGAGACTGGGAGCCTGTTTCCATTCCTGATCCAAATGCCAAACGTCTACCCGACTTCGAACTGCTTTCTCATACTAACACAAAATTTACATTGCTCTATACAGCCGGCCTATGGGATCAACTTGGTTATTTTTTTAGTTGACCGTTTAAAATCAGTTTTCAGAAGTTATTTTCAAGTTCAGGCGTTTGTACGGCTTTTACATTCTTCAAGTTATCTATTATTTGTAAATTAAGTAGATCCTTAACATTAAGGCATACATGCCGACATATCTATCAGTATTCATCAGCTGGATTGCCTTTTGGATCCAAACATCAGCATTGCCTGCACGCATCACACTCGGGGTTATTCAGAATCGCTCTCCTACACATTTAAATAATTTTTCACTATCTTTTTAGGTATCATCGCTGATGGCTCTTACTTTTCAATTCGGAAACGTTGTAAAGAATTTGCCTAGAGTATCTTATGTCAAAGCTTTGGACATTTGGATGTTTGGCTGTATGGGCTTCATTTTCCTCTCACTAGTTGAGGTTCTTCGTAATAGCATTTTTTCATTAACTTTCCTTAAGTTGGCCGTGGTCGGCTTTTTTGATAAACTGGAATCGAGAAGGAGAAGAACCCGTCGAACAAAAGATTATATGGTTCGTTAGTTTCGTCGTGTTATTTTCTATGCTAATTCCAGTTAGTACATTCGGATAGTGAGCAGCAATGGCTATCTCGCATACCAGGTCGTACAATGCCGCAAGAAATGTTTGGCGGTGATTGCAGAATAACCTCGTCAATTGGAACGCGATTATCTAACGGCACCACAACAAGTCCAAGAATGCAATGTTCCAAACCAAAAAAAGTCACCACAATAGAAGATGAGGGCAGAATAATCAGTGGGGAATTCATTGACGATGTATTTATCACTGATTTTTATTAGAAAAATTCTTAATTAAAGGTCTCGGCGAAACTGTTCCCAGCCATGTTCCTCGCTTTCAACCTTTTCTATTGGTTCTACTACATAGGTCTCTCAGTATCAAGGCCATGATATTCACTGATTTGAATTTTTATCGTCAGATCTGTGATTTTATTCAAAATATTTTTATATCAAATTTAAAACACAAAAAAGTCAAATTACTTTATTCATTCATCAACCCATTCATTTGGTCCTACCTCATTGGAATTTTGATCCTCCCCACTGCTACTTCCGGTCCTCGATCTTGTTGGGATATTCTCACGGAGGACATCACCCATTGACTTCGAATTTGACGGATTTCGTCGTCCAGAAATTCCTAAATTTATTTACTTATACGATGAAGATAGTATTGCAATTTTATCACGTTACCTCTTCTTCGCATTGCAAGCACTCGTGTCAAAGAGGTCATCAAATCTTCTTCAACATTTTTCTTAGTGTTAGAGTTTTCTAATTGATCGTCATCCATCTTCACAGATTTCAGACCCGCCCCTTTTACTCCACCAGTTGCCCGGATAGCAGCCATCAAATCAGAACGACCGGAAATAGCTTTTGCCTCCACAAAAAGTACAGATTACGAATACATATAAAAAGGATGAACCTGTTGTAAAGGTGGTGGTGGTGGAGGAGGTGGTGGTGCTTGAATCTGTGGAAGAGATGAAGCTTCAACAGATGGTATAATTGGAGGAGAAACAACGTCATTCCTGATTTTATCCTCAAAACCTAAAAATGGAAAAGATAACGGAATTTATAAGAAGAAACAAACCACACGAGTCAAGTTTAGGCCTTTCTCTAATATCTGATTCATCTGGAATGCATAAAATCTTTGGAGCTTCCGTTTTACTTGAAAGATGCTCGTCGGAGCGAAAGAGAGTAGAAACACTTCTTGTTCCCAAACTTTTTGTGTCAAAAACTGATCAAAAAATTTATTAATAATTCAGATAAATGTAAACCAGGCAAATCCTCGGGCAAATCAAATTCAACTTTTTCACCCAAACTATCGAAGACATTTGCTTGTGAGCAGTCAAGAGTTGCTAGAAGATTTGCTTCAACAATCTATGCAATATCATAAAAGATACATAATGCAATAAAAATTAACCTCATTTCCAATAGAAAATGTTTCTTTACCAATTGAAGAGGTCAACGTTTCTAGACCTTCAAGTAATGAGTCTGAAAAATCAAGTTGCGCTGAAACGAATTTTCGAGACATGTCAGCAGTGAAAAGTTTTGTCAAGTTTAGTTTATGAATTTTGGCATCAGATTGCAAAGGACCTTGAAACGTAGATTTTGTTACATATTTTCTTTGAAACGTTAAATATTACTAACCGTTAAGGTCTGAATTATCAAACTTTTGCGACTTTTGTGCAAAATGTCCTGCATTTTTCTTACGTTCAATGCCATCCTTGATTATCTTCAATGGTTCAGGTTTGTATACACCGTTCAACTAGATAATTTAATTCTAATGACCATCTAGTTAATACATAAACTTAACTCACCAGATCAAGTTCGTAATTTGCATTGTTCGTTTGATCTTGCACATCCGCTAAGTTTACCATCACCTTTCCGAATACTGGTTGACAAAATCCAGCAAAGCACAATTCCGGATGCCTCGGTGCAGGCCCGTAGCCAGGATTTTTTTTCGGGGGGGGGGGAAATTTTTTTGCGCCAAATTTTTGGCGCCGAAGGCGCCAAAAATTTTTATTTTCAGCGCCGCAGGCGAAAATTTTTTGAATTTTAGAAGGCCGTAGGCCAAAAAAAATCGCTTTTTCGACGCCGCAGGCGCCAAAAATTTGATTTTCAGCGCCGCAGGCGAAAATTTTTTGAATTTTGGACCTCAAGAAGCCAGATTTCGTCCTTTTTTAGCGCCGCAGGCGAAAATTTTTTAAATTTCAGAGGCCGTAGGCCAAAAAAATTCACTTTTTTTGCCCCAGCCCTTCCCCAAATTTTTTCCATTTTCCCATTTCGGGGGGGGGGGGGGGGGGGGGGGGAATTCCCCCCCCCCCCTGGCTACGGGCCTGCCTCGGTGCACAATGAAAAACAGGAATTTCATCCACCTAGAAATATAATGATCATAACGGGCCACATCATTAACCTCTTATAAATATTTAAATTTTTTCACACAACCTGCTCAAGCGTTTCAACCTTCTTTTCTATTACTTCGATTCTTCTAAGCTGAAGATTGATTCTTTCTTGACATTTTCCTAATCTTTGATTTGCATTAGAAAATATGTGATTAGTGTACCGCTGCAACTGTTTTAGAGAATGAATTATTTGAAGAACTGCAACTGATTGAGGGCAATCAGGCGGAGTAAGAAACATAATCTAGATAAATATATTAGTCTATATGCAGCTAGATATATGTATCAGTGCAAATTTGATTAACTTAGCTATCGAATCTTTAATATAATTCTCAGTGCTTTATGCAAAATTCAAGTTTCATTAAAAAAAAAAGGATATACGTAGTAAACGAAGTATTAGCATTATAAAAGTAACTAGTATTCAGATAATTTAAATCGACGCAAATCTGAAAGCTTATTGTTAGCTTAGATTCCAACTAAGCTTCCGCTTCAAGTCTCGGTTCTTTTAGTTTCCTCTCTATGTTGTTAGTTTGATTTTGTTCTTCAGATGGAACTTCACATTCTGCTGGTTTAGCACTGAATGATTGAAATTATTTTCAGGGAAAACGGTAATAAAAACCTTGCTTCATTCGAATCGCATCTACCAACAGTTATTAACTATAAATTATTTAGTTTCATAATAAAATAACAATTACATCCAATGATTCGGTTCTTGCATATCGTTCAATATAATTAGCTAATTCCTCGCCAATAATTTCATTTAATCCCAAACTTGACTCATTTGCTGACTTCAAATCAAAGAAAATGATCAAATGTTTGTCCCAGTTAATTGAATTGAAAAAAATATTTGCCAAATTTTCAGACGGGTCAATTTTACATAGACGGTATCGTCGATCCTTTATAAATTTTAAACTGAAAATGGAAATTAAAATTTTTACTTACTACATAAAATTGATTAATATTAGAATTGTGACATAAGTTGGACTCGACATGATCTGTTGTGATGAAATCGGTCAATTGTTTTGGGACAAACCCACTTGTCTGATTGGCTAAATGCATCAAAAATTCATTGAGTGCCTGCAATCAATAAAAATAGAATTTAGCTTTGAAAAGTAAACTAACTTTAATGGTTGTATCTGAAGAAGTTCGAATATAATGAGAGTTGTTCAAAACATGGGGGGTCAAACCGCAATTAATTAGTCTTTTACTCGGTGCCAACTCAACATCAAGTTCATCGCCACGTCTTCGCATTTCTGCAGCCTAAAATTTATAACATTGAAGTTTAAGCGTTATTCTAACCATATCTTCTAAATTATTCTCAATATTTTCCCCTAATTGATGTCCATCGTCAATGATTGCAAATGGTTTCTGAATATGGAAGGAAGTTGTAGAAGTGGAAGAAACAGTCGAAATGCTGCTGTCACTTGAAAGCGATGAAGAATCCTCGTCCAAATCTTAATATAATTATACAGTCGCTTGCCTAAAACAACATCTATCCATTACTTTATGGTCGCGGAAATATAGAAACTCTAAAAAAGAGAAAATTTAAACCGCTAGTTGATCCAGATTCGTCAGAACTGTATTCAGCTGGAGATTCAGAACACCGTATATCCAATTCATTATCCAAGTATGCAGCTGGTGTCAAAGAGACTGTTATACTGCTAGTAGACAATTCTTCACATTGTTGCTGAGAGTCATTACCATCCAATATTGTAGTTTTAGGTCTACGTATTTTTTCTAAAAGAACCATTTCAAAGTGAGATTAAAAATTATTACAAACTTTCGTAATCGTAAGAACCCTGTACTCTTTGTTTTCGACAAGCAGCTTGCGCTCTTATTCCCTCCTGAATACTGCGTTGTAGTGAAAGAACATTACTTTGTTTTTGAAATAGCTGCATTGATGCATTCTAAAAACCAGTATAAAATTACAGTAAAATAAATACTTACACATTCAACATCGTATTGCTTTCTATCAGGCCAAATCTAAATAATCTTTAGAAATTGCGTTACTAAAAATCATCAAAACCTTGCTGATCAGAAAATCGAAATTCGGATCGGGTCGAAGTGAACGTTTGGAAACTATCTTCTTACGACATGTTGGGCACTCTTTATTACCTCTCATCAAAGCAGTGGTTATGCACTCCGAACAAAATCGATGCAAGCATTCCTTTGTTGTCATTGTGCAGGTTAATAAATCTAAGCAGATTGGACAACAGAGTTCTGCCGACAAAGTCCTCGAAGTAATTTTAATCTTTGTATCATCAGTAATCAGCTTATGCGGCCTTCGAACCTAATTTATTGAAGATATAGAAAAATAAAGTTAAGTTAAAAACCTTGTCATATTTACTCAAATCCAGAGTCTTTCCACCAGTAACTGTTTCAGTAGGATTTGGTCCAGGAATTCCATTGTTAGAGAGTGTATGACGCTGCATATGTATGTATTTACTAGCGCTATCAAATTATACTAAAACCAAGGTACCCAGGTATCGCCGTTTTATGTTAGAATATTTAGCAAAACAATCCGAAACAAAAAACAATCAGTACTCAACTGGCCCCTGCCGGCGATTCAGCTGTTTCAGAGGGACACGGACACTATGGCGCGACCACTATGTCGCAGGCCCACTATGGCGCGACCACTACCCGTGCCATAGTGGGCCGTACCCGTTTCAGAGTAACCAACTCAGTGTCTTTGTCAAAAAGTTCGGCGTCTTTGTCAAAAAAAGTTCATTGTCGGAAAGTTTAGTGGTGAAAGGTTTGGATTTTTTCCGTCTTGCTGCAATTTTTATGCTTTATTGTCCTTTTGATTATTATTTTTATTCTGCTGATTTTCTTGGATTTTTATTTACATAATATTTTAAACTTTAAGATGAATGGAGTCCGTCAAGAAAATGATTCTCTCGAAGAGCTTGTTCGACAGTTGAAATTATCATTTTTAGCACTCGACTCGAAAAACAAAAACGGTGAAATCAAGCAAAATGATAACTTAAAGAATTGTATTATTCCGTCCTCACAAGTAAATTCAAATTATTTTATCAACAACCTGTCAAAAATTGCATCAGAATTTTTACCAGAAATTAGCATTTCAAAAAATAATTGTAAAGAAAACGCAGTGAAACGTAAAATTCGCCGAAGAAAACAACGGATTACAAATGTTTTTTATAAGTACATGTATTAAATTATTTTAAATTTGTAGAATCCTGTGAATAATTTTTGCGAACATGCTCAACAAAGCAATAAACCTGAGAGTCTGAGGCAGGCAGATAAATTCCTAATAAAATTCAGGAACTCGAGACTACTTGTTGAATTTGTCCATGTATGCTTAACAATATTTTGATTATTCAAGAAAATGATTCAGAGAGTATGCAAACAGACAATTTAATTATTTGTCTGGAATGTGTACGTTTACTTATGATCAATTTTAAGAAAAACTAATCGATTACTGATATTCGTCAATTTTGTTTTAGGACAACTTTTCTGATCAGTCTATTAGAAATGTTTGCGGACAGCATGCTCATGGATATTCACAAATTAATGCTAATTATGCAATTTCACGCCTTATTAGAAGAGATGTACTTAAAACTGAAAATACACTCTACAGCAAACCAACGTCCAATTTAAGGCAGGTTTATTAAATTCTTGGTAAAAGTTTTTTGTTGCGCTTCAGTAATTCCTTAAAACATTCAGATGGTCAGAGGAATGTATTTGCCGAAAATGTATTTCTGTTCCCTCACTCAACATTTCCAGTACTAATCCACGTCATTTTGTATTTGAAAGCAATGGTTTAACTAATACCGAAGCAGAAATGGACTGTAATCTTCGTATACTCGCGGAGTTATGGGATTTTGACATGATTAAAGAAGCAAACATGGAACTATACACCCTTGGAAGAAAAGTTTGAGATAATTTAGCATTTTTTATCATCTAATTTTTAAAGGAATTGTTAGATCCAACAAGAAAATTAAATCTTAAATTATTTGCATGGTTGGAGGTAAAATTATGTATTTATTTACACCTTAATTTACCTATTTTTCAGGCTTCAACTGATACATGGGTTAGCAAAATGAATGAAATTGAGGAGTATCAAGGGTTGGAAGGATTGATTTTTGAGAAAAATCTTTTTCTAAATTAAATCAATATTTATTGGATTATTTTATGAAAAGTTTGATCATTTCGAATTTTTATTGGCAATAAATTCATATCTTTCACTGATTGGTATGCTTATATAGTTAAATAGTTTAGTTATTATATTTGTTGTTAATCTATCCTCAATTTATCCTTTTGCTCTGGTTGCTTCTGTCATTTTTTCGAATTCTTCAATTCTTTCAGTTGCTTCTTTACAAAATTTTGTTCTTATCCATTCTGCTGTTTTAGCGTGGCATTCTTCCATACTTTTTTCAGGTTTGAATCGAAAAAGAAGTGATAATTTTCGATTAGAAAATCCATAAGCATATACGAAAAGAAAGCGTAGGGCGATCAAAGACCAGTTTTGGAGTTTGGGGTCTTTCCCTCTCAACCAATTTGCCCATTCTGCAAAGTAGATGCTCAAAAAAGTTGACCAGCACCATTGACTAGAGCCCATTTTGAGACCCAGAGATTGGACCAATGGTGCAATAAACTTAAGTTTGCCGAAATTGAATTGAGATTAATGAAAAATTTTTTAATTGACTAATTATTTTTAGACATATTTTAACATCTTAGTTTATATTACATTGCTATTCGAGATTACTTGACATGGAGAATAAACAACCTTATTAAACTTGGTGCACTCTGTTTCATCCATGCAATAAAAGTATTCGCTTGAAACCCGTATTGCCGATTCTTCTAAGAGAAGCATGCCAATGCATTCCTCAACAATTTGCATCAAATGGCCAACATATATCTGTGGTAATAGGTGGTACTATCATGGTCTAACCACTTACAAATTGATGCATTCCATTCGAATGGCCGTCCAATGTGGGGATTACACCGCCATAATTAGCTGCTATCCTCTGCAATGCTTTCGGTAATTTCAACTCGCCTTCGCCATAAATGTGAACAGCCCTGAGGAAAACAGCGTGAAATATTTTCCCTAGTATAAAATATTGTAGTAATGATAAGGATATATGTAAACCATTTGAAAGTGGTTTTCCACACCGTTGTCTCCCTTCTAATTCAGCCTTTGCGCGACTTTCACCATATTTTCCTAGAAGAAATTTGTTTGGCAATGAGCAATGAATTGCCTCCTATGTGCCAAAATTGTCACCTTTAGATATATTAAGTTAATTGAAACTCAAATTCTAAAGTAGTATATAGTATTTTGTGAAAAGCTCACCGAAAGGTAGATTTGCATACGCATCTAAAAAGAGCTAAAATATGCGACATATATAAATATTTACCGCCTATGTAAATAAGTCTTGGAACCGACAATTTGAAAATCGTATCCAAAAGTGATCTTGTTGCTGAACAGATTTGTTATCAATTAATTGTTCAAGAATACCTAGAAGATTATCTCGGATGTATTCATCATCCAATAGTCTTTGATTTCCTACTTGAAGCAATTCCAACGATTTTCTAGCTAGATGAAAAACCAAGTCAACCCCGTATAAAGCTTTTTCCAGCATTTTAGCGTCCAAAAGATCCAATCTATAATGTACTAGTCTGGGCGAACTTTTCTCATTAATTGAAAGAAATTCTAGGCCTTCCAATTGTTTGAAAGGCTTTCTGTCGATGGTTCTGATTTCTTTAATGTCTGTGCGGTATTGCAGGCGATAAATTAGATGCGCAGCTAGAAACCCGCTTCCACCAGTTATTGCGATAGTGATCATGACTTTTGTATCCACCTAAGTTTTGATTTTTTGGTTCAGCTGTTCTACAAATATTTTAGGAACAAATTTGATTTAGAGTAAAATTTAAAAAACTATTTCAATAAACTTGGTTTATTGAAATTGCGAATGACTAGTAATTTGTTTTTGTTATGCGAGTCATACATTAATAAGTCCAAATATGTTATCTATGTAAGAATCTCGCGAAATAAAATTTATTTTGCTTTAAATCCAACCATGTACATAGTGTATATGCTGCATAACTGAAAATACGCAACGGGAATGAATAAAAATCGATAGGAAAATCATGATGGAGAGAAAATTAGGGCAAGAGTGAGAAACGGATTAATTAGCATTTTAAATCAATAACTGCATAAATATAAAATATTCTTACAAAATATCATTTCAATGTCGATCAAATGTGAAAAAGTATTAAGCGTTTAAAAAACTGAGGTGATAATTAAAGAGCTGAAAAAATCGAAAAAATTTCGATTAAGTTCTGAAAATATAAAGATCATCTCTTCACATCCTGCTCATTTTCGCTACTGATGCACACAACTGCGCATGGCTGATCCGGCACCTATTTATTTTGTTATTTGTATAGAATTTAATTATAATAAAATTTTCAAACCATCCGCAACTTTGTCTGCAGTTTTCAGCCATCCATTGTCGTCTACTTGAGCATTCACCCCGTGAATGCCAATATTTACAAGAAAAGTGATGATCTTGGCATCCTATTCAAATTTAGAGAATTATTTCAACTAAAAACAGAACTCGCCTTTAGACTCAACCACTGGTGCGCATTGTCGACATGCTCTTCGACAATATTTAAGCATAAAGGACGGGTTGGCTTCACATTCACCTAAACGGCCCCAGGCTGAGCAGCAAGGATCATCGTTGAAACATCCGGTTGAAGTAGCATTTATAAAACGACCTTTTATTACAGTAGAAGTTGTTTGATGCTGACGTAGAGCAAGACGTTGTTGAGTACGGGGTTTAACACCAATCGCATTTTGAAAAGTTTCGGCAAATGAATGACCGTTACTATGGGACAAACTATTTGATTGTGGCAACTTGAAATACTTCATATAGTCAGATAATTTATAAGGGAAACCCGAATTTGTTGTGGAGGTGGTGATCCATGTATACAAAGACCTGCTTGACAAACTCCACCCCAGCAGATATTAAAGCCGTCAAAACCAGTGCAAAGTCCGCCAATCTTCACCTTTTTTATGTATGATTTTAAATAAGCTAATATTATGATTTATCATAACTATGTAGTGACTTATAATTGTTTGATGTATTCATAATATAAACCTTAGAAACACAATGTGGAGCATTCCCTGAATTAAAGCCGTTTATCATTTATATATAGATGGATCAAAAAGAGATACAATTTTCTAAAAATTACCACGCGTGTCACAAAACAAATATGGTGATGCGCAGTCAGGATTCTAGCGAATAAAAAATTTCTAAAATTTTATTTTAGGCTGAAACTTGTTGGCTGCAACTCGGTCTCCTTGCATATTTATAGAGAGAATCTGTATAAGCGTTAGAAAGGCCATCTCGATTGGTGAGATCAAAAGGCCTCATCTGTGAATTAGCAAAATGTTGTTGATTTGAACATTGGATCAGATCAGGTGGATACTCTTGCTCTCTAGACCAACGTGACTGAAAATTCCTGTTCAAATATTACATTCAATTCTATTTCCCCATTTCTATTCAGTCTATTAAGTAATTTTAATACTTTTAATCTTAATTTTCCATCCTTATAATCTATCAATATTAAAAAATATGTATTAATGAAGAGGAAACCTGACGCATCTGACGCCATAGCTCCCAAATCAGGTCGACAAAAGAATCCGAAAATATAAAAATAAGTGCTTCCTCCGAGGTTTTAGATTTCGCTTGAAAATATAGGTAAATTCTATTTCTTACGGTGAAAGTAAAAGACCGGATCATTTGCGCCTAGAATAAGCGACGATAATAATTTTTTATATTGATTGCTAATCAACTAACTTCTAGTTGGTGGTTTCATATCACCGCCGATAAAAAGATGGACTTGTGAATGTAAATACTCAAGAGCACCAAAGTTCGGTTGATAGGGACAATCTGACATGAGTATTAATTTGAGTTAATTTGTTAGTTTAAAAATTGCGAAATCGCGATTCCTTTCACACAATTAAGGAATCGTTTTTAATTTCTCCCTACCTTGACGAGGTGCTGTATATGCTAGAACCTTAAATGGATTAAAATTCGTTTCTTTTTAAATTAGTTCTTTTTAATTTCAATAATAAAGGTTTATATTATTTTTAGTTTATTATCCAATGCAAATAACCTGTTCAATTTGTGTTTGTTCAAAGACTGTATTCAAGTCCGTCTCCCTGAGCATTCTTCCTTCGGTACCTAATTGCCTACAAATAAAAAGCTTCTAATTATTTTTTTTTAAATAAAAACTTTACCTCAAAATATGTGGCCGCCCCTCCAATGTTGTCCAACCATTAGCAAAAGGCCCATTTATGACGTTACCTTGATCATCTGTTTCACCAAAGAATAACGGAGAAAACAATATCGAGTCGCTTGGTCTCGGTAGATGTGAGTCAAGCACGGAATCCCAGTAAGGAAGCGATATGGATGGATCAATAAGACGGAGTGCAATTTCAAAGCGTTTGATAAACTCTCGATGAAAAGGAAGAAAGCCAGGGCCAGAATGGGCACCAGATGATGTACTCACCTTTAGAGTTAAGATCGTAATGACAAATTTTTTAATTTTTATATTACTTGTCTGTGTTGATCATTAAACCGCCCAAATTCTCCATTTCCCTTTAGTGTGTTTAGTGTTCGTTGAAAACTGAAATTTAATATTAAAAGAAAATTTAAATTCTGACAGCTGGATCTCTTCCATTGAACATTTGATTATTTCTAAAATACCTTAGCATCTCATCATTGCTTAACATTCTGATCTCACGTCTTAAGGCCATTCTAAAAGAATTTTGATTTTAAACTATGTATATCACTGATGGTTTAAGTAACCTAAGTGGTTGGCCTCCAGACAATGTACACTGTCCATTTGGACCTTGAATCCCCTGAAATTGTACGAGGAATGTTTTCACTTAAATTGATTAGTACCCGAAAATAGGGACATAAGCAATCTAGGTCCATACATCCATAGGCCGTTGGTGAGTAACGTTGTGGTAAAGGAGGTGATAAATCCGGCTGTTCTGGAACTCCTGGAGCATTTACAACTGTATTTGCCTGCTGTTGTTGCTCGTTGGCCAAGAAGCGTCTTGCACCCTGGTCCCAGTGCTGGAGCATTCCACATATTTGACGGAACGCTTGAATATAATCAAATTTAATGGCAGATTTCCTTCAAAATCTAATATCGTAAGACTAACCATCAGCCGGTGCTTGTGAGCAGTCCCACGGTGCCTGTTGAGAGTAAAGTTGCATAGGAAGATAAATTATGAATAATAATTGTGAAAAATGTAAAATTGACAATGGAAAATAATAAGAAGGAACCATTTTTTAATTTAAATTTTCTTTTATTTAAATATTAAATGAATCAAAGAATAAAAAAGATGATTGGGAACAGAGGCTCCGAATGATTTGTAAAAGAGAAATTGAGAAAGAATAAGAATGAATTTGGATAGGAGGGAAAGGTGACGAGAAAAAAAACAAAATGAGTTAGAACAGGAATAGGCGTTCTCCGAGGTTGGCCAAATTAAAGTCAAAAAATTCTAATTCTAAAACTTTTAAAAGAGCTATTAAGGAAGAGAGTGAAGGAAGAGTTAAATGTCTTTAGCCGCGCGAATGGAGTCTCGACATTTTTTCCTTTTACCTCATTCCTCATTTCAAGGTTTTCAGGTTTACGAGGACTTTTTTTGTAATTTTACAAAATTTAACAGCATCGTCTTTTACTTCCCTCTTATTTCTCCAAAACAATTTATTTACTCTTGCGAGTTTGTTTTGCAAAATGCGTAAAAAACGAATAAAAATTTGATAAAAATCGAGAACAAAAGTAAATTGTTTTTCATCTTAACCCCATTTAAAATTGATAATTGGGCGTGTGGCGAAATGAAAAAAGGAAGGAAAATGTTTGCTTACAAAAATACAGATCCAAGGAAAAGCAAAGGCAATCGCCCCAGGCATGCAGGTAATGAGCACAGCACTAGATCCAGAATAACATCTCTTTATTCTATTGACCTTAAGTGAATCTTCAGTTTAAACAATTTAAAAATATTTATTAGAAAACTAATATTTCAAAAAAATCCGACAGCTGGATAAATGCATAAAATAGCTGTATAAAAATTATTATTTTTTTAAAGGTGGTTGTCCATTGAAGAAACGTTCAAAACCGTTTGCAACACCTGCCTCAGCACTTAACGCAGTTTGTACTGGTTGAAAATACCTTATGTGTAATTAGTTGGGGGATTAAATTATAAAATGAACCAAGGCATTGCTGATAAAGAAGGATAACCAATAACATTTTGCTGGCCAACAATGGGCGATAAAGTAGGGGAATTTGTAGCTGTAAATCCTATCTTGGATTGCTGACTGCCACTAAAGTCTCTATTTGATTGTATAACAACCAATTTCGAAGGTGATGATTCAGCACATCTTTGACAAGCGCAAAAACATTGTCCGTTAACAATACTACCTTTAATAATTACAAATTTAAGTTTATAGGCTTGTATTGATCTCGCCTTGGGTTAGAACAGCACCATTTGAAGGTAAGCTCATTGCTTCCTCGCTTTGAAATGAAGTATCAGGTAATGGTGGGAAATTTGTTGTATCAACTTAATTTTTGAAGAAATATTAGTAATTCCTTAGACAATACGCTATGGCGCTTTGGAGTTATTTTTGACTGATTTTAACGTGTTTTAGGAGTTTGAGAAAGGTTTGAGAGATTTTGACACACATCTTCGTTCCTTTATCACAAACCTGGTCTAAGACGAGGTGATGAAACGGTCTGCGATGGGCTGTTAAAACTCAAACTAACTAATGCAGCATAGAGTTGAGCAACTGGAGAATGTTGTACACATTCAAGTATTGCCTTTAATTATGTCATTTAGATTCATATTTTCATTCCAGAAAATAATTTCTACCGATTGCATTCGAGCATCTACTGCCTGGCGGGCGTTACATATACAAGATCGCATTTTTGAGGAGGCCTTCATTTGGCATGTAGCCTCAGATTGGAGTCGTGTACTGATATTTTAGGATGATAATCTGGATTATGAAAATAAAAACTTCTGAATGCACGAGTGTAAAGTTCTGTCTACGCTGGACATCTAAATAAAAAAATTATTTGCAATAATCATAAAAAATTATTGTAGCTCATTGCTAAAATCTGGTACATGTATAAATATTTTTTGTTTAAAACTGTTTTCATAAAAATGTTTCAAAAAATTGAAGAGTAAAGATACCAAAGTGCGATATTGTGGATCATAATCAAGGGCCCGCTTAAAGCAAGCCAGTTCTGAGACATCAAGTATACAAGCAGTAGTTAGATTGTTACTGTAAAAGTAATGGAATTAGATAAGTAAATTTTATAAAATTAGTCAAGAATATGACAGCTGATTAGCAGCCATTTGTTGCGGGGCAATTCGACTTATCCCTCCACCAAATACACGATTGTTGCCATCCTTAAATTTGATAATAGTAATTTTCGATGTGATTAGAAGGTTAAATTCACGTTGCCTTGAAATTGCAAGTGCTTTGTGGTATCGTCTCTTTCTCGTTCCTATCTAGCTCACCATTGGGCAAGCCCCACAATCGATCTGCCAATTCGATTCCGAATATGGCTCCAATCAATTGTGAAGAATCTTCAAAGATAATCATCTATTTCTATTTGAATAATTTATACTACCACTAGTTGTTGTGTTTATTTCCGCAGGCTCTCCTGTTTTTCCACCGTTATCAAAGCATTGTTCTAATTCAGATTGAAAATCATTGGCGGCAGAGGAAAAATCATTTTTAACTGAAATTCATGTTTTTAGTTTTACATATGTATAAACACTGATTCATCGTTTTTTGTTTAATTTAATTATTAATTTAAGTTACTCTGATTTTGTGACACATCAACAAATGGTCCGCGCACTGCTTGAAGTGACTTAGCAAAGCAATCGTCAAATGCCACCTTTTCATGTATACAACTTTAAAGTGTGGAACATTTTCGACATTCTCATTTCTAAATTAAAACCAAGGACAATACCCTTTGGGAAAACAATTCCGGAATGCAGTGTTTTTCAAGTCGTTCAATTGTCGCTCAAACTCTTCTACTAAAAGACCACACCTTTCAATGTTTTTAGTTGAAAATTTTTTTTAATTTGAAAAAATTATGAACTTTTGGAGTTGATCTGCACAAGGCGAGTTGAATGATGAGATACCAGTGAAGATACTTAGGAAAACAAACAATATAAACATCATAACTAAAACTTAGCTATTTAAAGCTTATCATGGAATGGTATGAATAAATTAAACGGGTTTAAAATCGTTGAGTAGACATAACTCATTACATTAATTTTTCAAAATAATAAAATCAAATAAGTGAATAAATCCATTAAATGTTCGTTCTTTTTCTTTGGAATTATTTCCTTTTGAACAAATCGCTTCTTTCACGTCACTCATTTCTACGCTGAAGACTGAAGATGTTCTCTACTATTCATAACTAAAGTGCCCTTTCGGGCTCACTCACCTCATTTTAAATTAAAGAACATCACTCGTTTTCTATCAAATTGTTGAGAGAAAGAATGTGTAAATTCATTAGAAGTGTTATTCTCAAAGGACCGTGTGAAGGGAAATCGTTTTGTGTACTCTGAATCGTCCACTTTTTGATTTACGCTGGCACTGAACTATCCTTTACTGAATGGAAGACACCTCAGTCCCACGATTTCAGTCCTGGGCCATATTTTGCGCTGCAACTTTTTAATTCCTTAAACTTTTTTTACGTAATTTTATCTAGCAAGATTGATTTGATCAGATAATTATCTCAAAAATCAATCTTTGATAAAATTATTTCCACCTCCACAGCTTTCTTTCATCAATTTTCTATAACTACGTTATATGCGGAATATTACTTTTTAGGCTTAAAAATGGCAATTTATGAGAAAATATTTAATTTATTTAAACTCCATATTAATGATGATTGCGACAAAGATACTACACGGAAATTGCTTTCGCCAATACTTATGTTTATGGATCTTTATGAAAAAGAACGAACCGCAGATCTTATACATGAAATTTTTCAACAGGCCTGTGTTGAGTTTCAGGTTAATTTTCTGATTACAGACATAAGTTATTTACAACTTGTTGTTTTATTTGGCCCAGATTACCCAAAATAGCTTGTGGTTTTTTTTGACAGGGAACGTTATGTTTAAAAATAAGTAATCTTTTGTGTATTAGATTTCCTTACCTTTTTTGACACATTCTATATATTTAAAATTTTTAGTGGTTCTACTGGACTTCGGTATGATGTTGTTTTTTCGTTTATGTTATACTTACATTAATTTGCAGGACGAATATTATGGTGGAGTAGGCGAGTGGAGAGAATTTCCACCGGTTTGCATTTCGCAGCTTAACAAGGCTGTTCGTGAGAAAAAGACTAGTGTTCAGGTTTTTACTAATATTGATTCTTTTGTCAATAAACATCAAGTTCGCATTAAGCTTTTTAAAAATTTTTACTTTAGATTGTTCTTTCACAACGTCACTATGTAGTTGACTTCAATGAGATGACAAAAAGGCTTATTCAAGACAATGTGGTCTCTACTCATTATGGTCAATATTCGTCTCCTGTTTTTGCAAAAGTTAAACTGATTGATGAATTTAACATGGAAGAATTCAGACATCGTCTCAACGATTTGACTGAAAAAGAAGAGAGGCATTGTGCCATTGTAAGAGGAATTCTTAAATTACTCCGGTCAAGTAGTGAAACACCATTGGAGAGTGAACTGCTTTGTTCTGCTCTCACCTTACTTCTGCGATTAATAACAAATAGGAATATGGTTGCTGATTTTATTGAGGTTTTTATTTTGGCTTGATTTATGATAAATATTTTTTCAATAGAATGACGGAATCCAGATTATGATGCAAGTGCGATGTCTACTGGCATTGGATGGGAAAATATCTCCTGCTATGTTGAACACAATTATTTTGCTCATTTTGCGAAAGTGTATCGATTTTGATGATATTGCGTTGAGGAATGCATTTGACCAGATGCTTACTAACACTTGCAATGGGCTCCCAATTTCGCTTCTTGAGGAGAAATCTCGTCGCCATGGTAATTCACTACATTGATTCCAGGGTCGTAGCCAGAAGGCTTCTGAGGCTATAGCCCACTTTCTGAAATGTTAAATATTGGGAAAGGGTGACACACTCAGTTTTAGCCCCCTGAAATCGACCATCTTGCTACGCCCTTGATTGATACGTACCTATATTATCTTTTAAATACTTTTAGGTTTGCGTGCTAAACGGTACAAATCAGATCCCAAGGTATTCTTCTAAATTAATTTTATATATTTCATCATTTAAGCGCGTTTTCCGGTTAATTGCTCCAATTGCTGCTATTTATCCGTCAATTTTTGTTGAACAAATTAAAGATAAATTAGAAATAAAGAAAGACGAATTAAAAATCAAGGATAAGACTGATGTGAAACAGGACTCAGACTCTTCTCTAGATACAACCAACCTTAAAGAAGTTTTTATCAAATTTGTAATAAATATTTAAAAGTTTAAATTCAGGTTCTCCGAGCAACTATAGAACAATTGCAACGCTCTATCAACAAAGATACTTTTAAGGAAAATTCTGTTTTTCATGCATCTAATTTACTTAAATTCATTGCTGAGATTGTTCGTAGTTACCCTCACGCTTCTTCTATTTTTGTAAATATGGTTTTGGATGGACAAAATGTTGTTACTTGGTTGATTGACAAATTTCTCCTTAATTACAACAAAGAAAACAAAGATTCTCAAGAGGTAGTTTTTTCAACAAAAGCTGTCCTTTCTAGTTTGATTGGTGACCATTCGACTTCAAATGTAGTGGATCGTGTGGTTGAAGGTATTTTCTTTAACAATATATTTTAAATGCTTTAATCTTACAATTAGATATCAAAAATCTACTCTTTGCAAATATAGAGGAATATAATAAGGCAACTTTTCAAGTTATTTCTCTTTCTGACAAAACAAAATTGGCTACAAACTTTGCCGACCAGTTGATTGTTATTACGCAACTATTAATTCTTTTACGAGATTCTGCTAGCCAGGTTTTCCAAATGTCCTATTATGTTTTAAACTAATTTTCAGGGTAGCACCTTATCTCCGGGTGATTCGACAAAGCAAATGGTTTTACTAGTGAAAAGCATGTCCAAAAATAATCTTTTTAATATTCTTGTCAAATCGATATGGAATTTACCGGTAAATTCTTTAAACTTTTATTTTACCGATTTATTTTCAGTTTCATGAACCTCAAGGTTTTGAAGCTGTGAACACATTGCTTAAACTATTTGAGAGTGTAGTTGCAAAGGATATGAATCGCTTTACTTTTTCTCGGAGTAATACAAACAGAGAAGAGCCGAGACAGCATATAACAAATAGAAATACTGGTGGTGAGCAACAACATCAAGATGATTCCAACCAACCTAGTATGGATATTGGTGTCGGAGAAAATGCTAATTTAGAGGAAAGTGAGCAAAATCCTGAAGAGAGAAGCGAGAGAATTGCTGACCTTGATTCAATATTTACTATTTCAACAGCTAACCGCATCAGGCCAGAGGAAGAAGCGGACGAAGACGAAGGTAATCATCCAAATTTAGTGGAGGATAATGATCACGAAGATGAAGCTAGCTCTACACAATCGGATGAAGAAGACGATATGGACACTGCTGAGGAGATGGATGCAACTCAAGCAGATGCTGCTGCGGAGGAAGAGGCTGCTGAAGAGGACATGGAGGAGGATGATGATGAGCGTAACTCTGAAAATATGGTTGGGGACGAAGGAACTGCTGAACGTGTGAACAATCAAAATTTTGGTGTTGATGCCCCTAATGAGATTGATGACGATGATGAAGAGGATGAGGATGAAGAGTGGGATGATGAAGGTGGCAATAATGATGAGACACTTGTTGAGTTTGAAGTTAGTCTTTTTTTTATTTTTTCATTTTCTTTATTACTCTGAAGTTTTATTTCTAGGTTTAAGTTAGTTTAATTATTTGTTATAATTTAATAGGATGCAATGGCCGATTACTTGGACATGGTTGATTTTTCTGATATCTCCAATGAATTAAATTCAATGAGACAATCGATACATCGCCTCAATGTTGAGTTCAGCAATGCTTTTGCTTCACAACAATTCCAACAAGTTGAACGAACTTATCAAGTTTTAGTTTAAATATGTTTATACTTGTTTAATTTTAAGGCATTGATGCAACAAATTCCTCGTCATTTCCGTGCTCTTATTAGTCATCCACGTGGGAATGGTGCTGTTTTGCGCATCAGGAATCATGGAGCTCAAAATCTGACTCGAGGCAACCAAAACCTAACAACTCCAATTAGAATTGGCATTGCGAGGGGTCTTGGAGGAGAACAACTTTTCGGTCAATTAATGTCCGCCCAGGTATTTATGAGTTATGAAATAAATCAATATAGCAATACATGTTTAATAAATAATCTTATTTGTCAGACTGGATGGCCACCCACTGTCTTGAATGGTGGAGGAGATCCAAGTTCAAATGGTCAAACTGCTATAATGACGCCCTACTTCGTTGATAGGTACGTTTTTGGAATAATTAGTCATTTAAATTCATTTTTAAGGCTCTTGGACCAGTGTCGTATTCTTGATCCTCATTCTATGTTTATAATTGGTGTTCTTATTGCCTCACATGTTGCTAATGTAATTTGCGTTAAAGATGCCCCTGAGGAGAAAAATCTTGAGAATGAATGTGAAAAGTCTGGTGATGTTTCATCGAAGAAGCAACCCTCAGCCGTAGCAGAGCATGATGAGCAACAAGAGTCTGGTACCGAAGATCAGCCCATGCAACAAATTGATGAGGGTTTACTACAAGAAAGAAATGAGGAACAAATAACACCTCAAAACAGCGAATTGATTCATAGAGAAGACGAACAAAATAATCCTGTACAAGAAACTGAGCAAATTGAACCACCACAACAAGCAACTGGGACTACTGATGAGAATGCTACTACTGGTGTACCAGAAGGTGTAGGTCAGTTTAAAAATTTCTAAATAGAATAAAAAATTCGAATAAATTCGAACATTGTTAGATCCTGCATTTTTGGCTGCCCTTCCTGAAGAGATGCGGCAAGAGGTTATTCGCGACCATCTTATCCAACAACAAATGAATGCAGCAACCAATACACAAGTGGAAGCAGAAAATGATTTACCTCCTGAAAGATTGGCTGCGATAATAGGAATGGAAGTGCCGGAAGGTTTTTATTTATGTTTAAAACATCATGTTACATTTTTGCCACATAAAATTATGCATACATTATTACAAATTTATAGTGAACAAATTTTATCTTTAAGGAATGGATCCGGCTTTCTTGGCTGCTTTACCAGAAGACATTTTCCAAGAAGTTGTTCGTGACCATCAGCGTCAACAAGAACTTGCTCGACAACGCCGTGCCCAAGTGGATGCTCAAAATAATTTGCGACCTCGAATTCGCCATCATCACCATCATCATAGACACTTTGCAATGCCTCATCTTTTTCAAACTCGTGGATTAATGCGTTCGGGTACTTCTAATTCACATACAAATCCTCAACAAATAGCTGTGTTGACACAGTCAAATGGGAGTGCTCTTCAACTTTTTGATAGTCAATCAATTTGTACTCTACTACTTCTTTATTTATTGGACCAGGACAAATTTAATATTGTCCGCTTACAAGTAAGATTTTTTTAAAATACCATATTTTTAAATTTTTTGAAATTATTTTTCTAATTTTAGAAATTATTGCGTAGCATATGCTTGCATCCTGGTTCTTGCGATTTTACTATTTGGGCGCTTCTTTCAATGTTGGATGGTTTACAACACTTTAGTCAAATTGAATGCGTGCAAAGTGAAAAATCTAATATTGGTTGGATAAACAATTTGCGATCCGGTGCATCTTTGGATAAAAATGAACGTCTTATTCGAATTACGCCTCTTTCCGGTAATTTATAATTTTTAAACTGATTATTTTATATTGTTTAGTTCAAATTAATCAACAAATCAGAACACAAGCTTCTCATCATGTTGTTGACACGCTTAGTCATCTGGCGCAGCGCTTCGCTAATCATTTTATGCCAAAATCTGTACGTGGTAGTGAAAGTGATGCGAATAAATTAGAAGCGCCTCCTAATATATCAATTTTCTGGAGTATTTTAAGAAGGTATATTAAATTATTATTCATATTAAATGTCAAATATATTTATTAAATACTTTTATTATCTATTTTATTTTACTTTTCTAATGAGAACATTAATCTTTAGCATTAATGCTTCCAATCCTGAGCAGATGCTCCGAAGTGGGACAAAGCCCGAAATTTTTTCTGAGCTTGCTGCTGAAACACTTGAAGCGTCTCCTTTTGCATTTGTTGTTAAATTTGTTCATTCACAGATGCCAAATGTTGCTGACAAAGTAATTCGAATAACGTCTTTGGTTAGTGTATTTTTATCTTTTTAATTTTGATTAATAATTGTAATAGCTCTCACAACGATTGCCAGGAAATTTTTGCGAAAAGGTTCCTGATGAAACAAGAAAATGGATTGGACAGGAAATGAATGCTCTCACTAATGTAGAGTTTTTGGCTTTTATAGACTAGACCATTTTAATAATTCATATTTCTTTTATAGATTCTGTTGGAAAGGTCTACAAATGAAGCACTTCGGGATGGACGTGCTCTAATTGCGCAATTACTCAGTGTTTTTCCTGATGAGAAAGCTTCTATTATGGAAACTCTTCATGAATGTATTCTTAAAAGCGGTGATCAACTTCGTGAACAGTTGGGCGTTTTGCAAAATCAAATGAACGAGGTAAACAAATCGAAAAATGTTGTGGATTAGTTATTATATATATATAAAAAAGAGTTGATTTCATCCCTAAGAACTTTGACTTTATTTAAGATACGTCGTTCCCTATAAATAAATGCGTTATATTTCTTTAATAAATCCCGATTTAAGGCTGTATTTATTTTGTGTGTGATAGTCACACCATGTTTTGTTTTATTTATTTTGAATTCATTTCTATAAAAAAATTTTTTTGTTAATTTAAGTAAGAAAATTTTGTAAATTTCAGTGAGTCATTAATTTTTAGGTGTATTTTTAGTGATTAATTATTTGGTTTTTTTCAAATTTAGAACAAAAAGCATTAAATGATTCCTTCAATATTTTTGTTGAGATTTTTGTTTATTGAGAAACGTGAGGTTTATAAATTTTGATTTTTTATACTGAAATCGTGAATTATCAAAGTGTGTTTTTTTATTTTGAATTGTAATTGAAAATAGTTAGTCTGTGCTTAGGGAATATTTAAATTTTTACGTCCAAAGATTGCTCATGTTACCCTCCCTTCTTACCTGTCCTTTTTGGAATAATTATCGGCTTTTCTTTTTTCTTATATTCTTTCTTGTATTTAAAAAATTCACGTGGTATTCAGAAGACGATTGAATTTTATTCGTAATGTTATTTCAGCTGTTTAAATTTTTTATTTTTATCGACTATTGAGTTTTTTCTTTTATGTAAATCCTCATTTTGTCGGTAAACAGATGCACGGCACCACTCTAATACAAAACACGTGGATTTATTACCCGTATTTACTTTGGCAATAACTTTTTCATTTTATTTCAATATGCGAGTTTTTATTTTATTAAGGTATTTTTATTAAAAGCAAAGGTCGTGAATAGAAGGTGGGATCGTCTAAAAAGGGGGACACAATTTTCATTCATGTTTTTATAAGATGTCACAAACCACAATTTTTAAAATTTGCTAACTAAGAAAGCATATATATTTTTTAGGTATTTACTATCTTTCCTTAAATCTTTTATTAGCTTAATTCCTCTAAAAGTTTAAATGCGCGTCCCATTATTTATTCCTATTGATGATCCGTCTGGAAAAGTGCTTAAACGCACATCTCTCGATCTTACTTGTTTTGGGCCATGTCAGAGGAAGGTTAAAGCTTGTCTTTCTGTTCTTTTCTGTTTGGCTTTACTTTTTATTTGTCTTTACTTGGATATTGTTGCCATTCTCTTTTGGGATTCGCTACTTCGTCATTCACCAAATAGAGCGCTTCCATTACGTTCACTAAAACGGCAAGAAAAAAGAGAAACAACGCTTAAACCGCTAATTACAATTAACAAAACAGTAGAATTGGAAGCAAGAAATCAGCAACTTAGGTAATATTTATACAACGAAAAAATCTACAAATTCTATTTTAGAGAAATCCTCAACAATAGCTTGACTCATTGGTTATCAGACCTCCCTGATGACGGTTGGTGTGAAAGAATGTCTAATGGGTTGTTAAGCGATGAGGAAGCTGAGCGTCTTGCAAGTAAAATAATTTAACAAAATATTGAAAAAAATTTTTAGGCTGGAATGTGAATCAAAGTAGTGAACGTTATATGCCTGATATAAAGAAACAAAATCCAACCGAGATGCCTGAAGCTGGGTTATATATTTAAATAATTGTCAATATTTTTTCTTTAATTTAGCTGCAAAAATCTAAAACGACTCTTTCCTTTTCCTGAGGAGCCAGCTACCGAAGAAGAACTCCAATTTCCACTAGCTTATGGCATCCTAGTTTATAAATCTCCACTACAAGTGTTTTTACTGATGAGTGCTATATATCAGGTACCTTGTAAAAATTTTTAAAATCAATGAATTTTATTTTATAAAGCCTCAAAATGCTTATTGCCTTGCTGTTGATGATCGGGTCCTTTCTTTGGTAATCTTCTGCTTCATTGGTCCCTAGAAAAAAATGAGGAAAAAGTGCTAGTTAGGCATTTTTGAGGCATTCCAATAGGTAATCGAGTGTGCTGAGTCCGAATATGGGCTTAGAATTTGTTTATTTCGAACCCCGGACCCGAATTCGACCAAGTCGAATTCGGGGTATACACTTCGAAATTAAAAATTTAGGGCTAATCTGACACGCCTGTTCGAGCTGAGTCGATTGATATTAAAATTATTACGTACCCCGAATTCGACTTGGTCGAATTCGGGTCCGGGGTTCGAAATAAACAAATTCTAAGCCCATATTCGGACTCAGCACACTCGATTACCTATTGGAATGCCTCAAAAATGCCTAAATAGCACTTTTTCCTCATTTTTTTCTAGGGACCAATGAAGCAGAAGATTACCCTTTCTTTTTATTTTTTTATTAAAAAATAAATTTAAGGCTGACGAGCAATTTAAAAAACAGATGAATCTGTTGATGGATTGTTTCCCAAATATATTTGTTATGGTAGCCTATAATAATTATTAAAAATAATATCAGAGTTTAGACTGTTAACAAAGTTGAATGGTGCGAATTTGGAGTTGTTCGTGGTGTTTTTAATTGTTTACGTTATCTGAGCGAGGTAAAACATTTTAATTCTCTCTTTGCCAGTGGCTTATATCTGTTTATATATTTTTTATTTTAGCTTGATCATAAATGGCGTTATTATCAGGTTAGCTTATTTTCACATATATAATTTTACTTAGACTTCTAGTACCTGAGCGGAGTTGACCTCCCGTTAAAAACCAATTTGGAGGCGAGTGATTTAAATATTAAAACGCATTAAATAATATTTTAAAGATGGTTAGAATATTCAAAAGACTGAATGGCACAATAAATGCTGAAATATTACCCTTTGAAACTTCTCGAATTGTAGGCTCACAAGTGGTAAGTATTGCTCAATTATACAAAAAAACAATTATTTTTAGTTTATGAAATCTCCATTAACACTTTGGAAGTCAAGTTTATCAGGTTATAAACTATAACTAACAAACAATAATTTAAATTTTTAAATAAATTTAAGCCTTAATGAGCCGGGAAACTGTAAACGCAATAATAAGCAGCAACAAAGTGCGACAACAACTTAATTATCTTAAATTCGGATATTGCTCTGATGAAGTTTATTTTAAACTGAACTTTGTTTTTAACCTTTTGCTTTTAGGCTTTATGGGGTACAATCGCTGGAAATCCTAAAGGTGCTCTTTTGATTCTTAATATGTTATAGTTTACCGTACTGTATACCATAGCGTATTTTCGATACGGAATACCGAAAAAGCGTTTGGTACGGTTTTAATATTGTAATTGTTGAAACTATTCCGATTGCTAGTTATAATATTGTAAATGTTTTTAGAGCTATACATTCCTGGTGGATTTGATGCCAATTATCTTTATGGAAGACTTTTTAAAGAGACATATCTATCTGATATTAAGAAAAAACAAATACAACGGCAAAAAGAACAACAAAAAGAACGAGAAGAAGATAAACGACAGAAAAATACTTCACAATCCTCTCTACTTCCTAAATACAATGCAGCAGAACCTTTTAATCTTTCTACTTATTATATATCAAGATTTCAAGTTTGGAGGGATGTGAATCAAATGTCAGGCTCTAAAGAAAGCAGATGCGACGGTATATAATAAATTTTTAAAATTATTTTATCAATCTTAGGAAAGTTTGTTGCAAGTTCTTGTGTCTATGGGATTGGTGATATAGAAAGGTTAATAAAGAGACCAGAATTAATTGCCCATAAATTGTATTTGGATTTTGAGCCCGCAGGTTGGTTATGTACACCAAATTTTATGTATTCTTAAATCTCTTTTAGCATATTTCTGTCTTTGGAAGCAAATTCACGAAAGGGCTTTAGATTGGCAAACGCAGCAGAGATTTGTAGGATCGGTCTATTCAGAACTACCCTTAGTAAAAATGGCTAGAGGAGCACCTGAAGATGAACTAAAGTTTTACTTTGATTAATAACACTAATGAAATTGAAACTTTTAAATTTGTATTTATACATATTTTATATAAAGATTTTTAATTCTCATATTGTTGAAATTTAAGAATTTAATGTAAATCTCTTGTACTATGACCTGAGTACTGTAACAAATTTTTCATTTTTGAAGTTATCTTTCTAGGATACTGTAATAAATTTGACATTCTGGAAGTGATCTTTTGGAAATCATGGATACTGTAATAAATTTGACATTCTGGAGGTGATCTTTTGGATGTCGTGGATACTGCAATAAATTTGACATTCTGGAAGTGATCTTTTGGAAATCATGGATACTGTAATAAATTTGACATTCTGGAGGTGATCTTTTGGAATTCATGGATACTGTAATAATTTGCATTCTGGAAGTGATCTTTTGGAATTCGTGGATACTTAATAAATTTAACATTCTGGGCCCGTAGAATAAATTCGGGGTAACATAACCGGTTGAATAACCGGGTAAAATAACCCTGGGTTAAATAACCCTGAGTTCCGAGTAAAATTGGTAGAATAAATTCCGTAGAATAAATTCGCATTTTTACCCCAAACTAAAGGTTACTGTAACTCGCGAGTAACTCTTTAATTTTATTTCTATATTAAACTTCCATTAAACAGCTTTAACTTTTAAGTAAAATCATTAGAGTTAGAAGTATGAAAATGCCGGATCCGGTTTCCCGATTTTAATTTTTTCTCATCCGGACTGGACTTTCCGGATCAAAATCCGGATTTTTAGACCCGGATCCAAACCTGGATTTTCAAAAAAAATTTTTTTTCATAAATATTTTTTTATTTTTTGAATATAAAATTTTTTTCAAAATTTTGAAAACTTAATATATTTTGGAAAAGAGCAATCAGACGCGTTTTACCCTGTTACACTGCCCCCGACCAGTGTAGCAATTTTACCCTTAGCTAAGGGTTATTTGACCCGAGTAAATAATTTATTCTACCAATGTGAAAAGCTACTCGGGGTTTTGGGTTAAACTACCGGGTTGTTTAACCCTGAACTCAGAGTAGGAATTTATGCTGCGGGTTGCGAGTTATTTGACCCTCGGGTAGGGGTTAAATAACCCTTACCCCGAATTTATTCTACGGGCCCTGGAAGTGATCTTTTGGAATTCATGGATAATTTGACATTCTGGAGGTGATCTTTAGGATGTCGTGGATACTGTAATATAATTGACATTCTGGAAGTGATCTTTTGGAATTCGTGGATACTGTAATAGATTTGACATTCTGGAGGTGGTCTTTAGGAATTCATGTATACTGTAATAAATTTGACATTCTGGAGGTGATCTTTAGGATGTCGTGGATACTGTAATATAATTGACATTCTGGAAGTGATCTTTTGGAATTCGTGGATACTGTAATAGATTTGACATTCTGGAGGTGGTCTTTAGGAATTCATGTATACTGCAATAAATTTGACATTCTGGAAGCGATCTTTTGGAAATCATGGATACTGTAATAAATTTGACATTCTGGAGGTGGTCTTTAGGAATTCATGTATACTGCAATAAATTTGACATTCTGGAAGTGATCTTTTGGAAATCATGGATACTGTAATAAATTTGACATTCTGGAGGTGATCTTTTGGATGTCATGTATACTGCAATAAATTTGACATTCTGGAAGTGATCTTTTGGAATTCATGGATAATTTGACATTCTGGAAGTGGTCTTTAGGAATTCATGTATACTGTAATAAATTTGACATTCTGGAAGTGATCTTTTGGAAATCATGGATACTGTAATATAATTGACATTCTGGAGGTGGTCTTTAGGAATTCATGGATAATTTGACATTCTGGAAGTGGTCTTTAGGAATTCATGTATACTGTAATATATTTGACATTCTGGAAGTGATCTTTTGGAATTCATGGATACTGCAATAAATTTGACATTCTGGAAGTGATCTTTTGGAAATCATGGTACTGTAATAATTGGAATTATGGATGTGATCTTTTGGATATAGTACTGTGTACTCCTGGATAATGTAGTATTTGAAATTTTGATTTGATCTTTTGGGTAAATAGAAAACGATGTCTTAGATGACTTGCGGTCTTGGAGGTGATCTTGTGGCTGAAAACTGAGATTTGTAGGTGATCTTATGGATTAGATAAATTTAAAAATATTTAGAATATAAAATTAAAAATTCTTTATTTCGCATAAAAAGCAATCAAATATTATCATGTGGGTGGTCGCATAAATGCAGTATAAAATATTATATACCATAAAGCTTGAATTACAGACTTAAATACTTCCATTCTATTTTAATGCCATTTTCTGAAAGCTAATACGCACAATTAAGAAAGATTGTGACATTCAGTGGAAGCATGTCATTAAAATTCAGTCTTTAGGCATTCATAGGATAAAAAACAAAATAGCTAACAAAAATAAGAAAATTCAAATTAAATCAATCTGGAATTGGATCCATAACAATTCCACCATGTCCAGCTAGATTTGTCGACCCCATAAGATAATGATCAACTTGTCTAGCAGCTTGTCTACCTTCATGTATTGCCCATACCACTAAAGATTGACCTCTTCGACAATCTCCTGCTGCAAAAACTCTAGCAGCACTTGCATTATACTTCTCTACCGGTGTTTTTATATTTTGACGATTGTCATAGTCCAATTTAAGTTGATCAATTACTGTCTAAATTTCTCTTTTTTGAAAAATATTTATAAACTCCAACCTTTTCTGGACCCACAAATCCCATTGCCAAAATACAAAGATCACATTCATGTATCTCTTCAGTTCCCTCCTTTTCAATCATTTTCCAAGCTCCTTTATCATCTTTAACCCATTCTATTGCAATTGTCTTAAGTCCAGTCACTACTTGTACACCATTTTTGTCATCGGTAATAAATTCCTAAAAACAATTAAACTTTTAAGAATTTTAATTAAAAAATCAACCTTTGTACTAATTGCATAAGTTCTTGGATCTTTCCCATCACGTGCTTGTGCCTCTTCATGTCCATAATCCACACGGAAAATAGTAGGCCATTGTGGCCAAGGATTCTAAAAAAAGATTTTAAAGTTCATTAAGAAAAAAAGAATACTTCAGGTTTTCTTTCAGGTGGTGGTTGAGGTAAAATTTCAAAAGCTTGAACAGATTTTGCATTAAGTCTTAGAGAAGTTCCAATACAATCAGTCGCAGTATCTCCACCACCCAAAACAATAACTTTTTTAGAAGCAGGATCCAATCCTTCCCATGAAACATTATCGCCTGCTCTTCGTCGTTGACTCTTTTCTAAAAATTCCATTGCAAAACAAATTCCTTTAGATTCTCTTCCAGGAATTCTAATATCTCTTGGTGTTGTACTGCCTTAAATAAAAGTATATAAAAATAATTCTTAACAAAAATTTATAAACCTGTACATAAAACACAAACATCATTTTCTTTTAACAATAAGTCAGCGGGTACGTGTTTCCCAATTTCTGTATTTGCAATAAATCTTATCCCTTCTTCTTCCATTAGCTTTAACCGACGATCCAAGACAAACTTGTCCAATTTCATTTGTGGAATTCCATAGCGAAGTAATCCCCCAATTCTATTTTTTCGTTCATAAACAACAACAGTATGGCCAGCCTTTAAATGTTTTAACATTTATACCTATCAAAGGACACCCTTTAATCCAAGAAACCTTTAAACATTAAAGGACCCTTTACCTTGTTAAGCTGTGCAGCAGCTGCCAGTCCTATAGATTTTTAACATTTCTTTCAAATTATTTTATTATAATTAACCTGCAGGTCCACTACCAATGATAGCTATCCTCTTTCCAGTTCGAGTTGGAGGTTTTTGTGGCTCAATCCAATTATTCAAAAAAGCATAATCAATTATAGCACATTCAATTCCCTTTATTGTTACCGGCGGTGAACTAATTCCAACACAACACGCGGACTGAAATGATGGTAAATGTTTGATTTATTGAATCGAAAAAAACAAGCCAGATAAAAAAATTATTTACCTCACAAGGAGCCGGACAAACTCGACCAGTAAATTCAGGGAAATTATTTGTTTGTAGCAGCTGTTCAAGAGCTTGTCGCCAATTATTTTTAAAAACATAATCATTCCATTTTGGAATTATATTTCCAAGAGGACAACCTTGAATTATTTTTTAAATTATTTGATAATTTTACTTTAAAAAACCAGTATTTCCTTGACAAAATGGAATTCCACAATCCATACATCGTGCTGCTTGCTCTCTAATATTAGATCGAACTGCTCTATAGTCAACAACCTAAATTTAAAAAATAAATTGTACTAAAAAATATATTTAAATAACCTCATCCCAATCTTTCAGTCGTTGTTCAGGAGGTCTGTAAATAACTTTCTGCCGTTTATATTTAATAAAGCCTCGTTTTTTGTCAAGCTCTTCCTCCCCACTTTTCAAGGCAACGGCCAACAAGTCTTCAATGTCGCCATTTCGCTTTTTACGGTCATCCGCAGTTCCTTTTGAATTATCTAAAAATGATATTTAGTTAAAAACGATTTTAAATTTAAAAAATAACCAGATTCATCTCCAGAATCAAGATCTGACAATTGTTCAATTTCTTCATCTTCTACATTCATATTTTGTTCTTGTACATCTTCAGTTGCCTCAAAACCAGAAAAGTCTACTTCTCTTGTCGCTTTAGAAAATTTCCTTCGTCTTTGCTGAATTATCTGAAATTATAGGTTTTAAATTTGTCAGGTTTTTCCAAAGACAATAACAAAGACAAAAAGGATAGACGAACAAAAACAGACAGAAAAAAAATTTAAAAAAGTACACTGCGTCTTCGCCTTTCAGTGCGTATTTTAGTCCGAACACGTTCATCTTGCAATGCAATTTGCATGTCCATAGAATATGCTCTATTCACTCGTTTTTCTCCAGGTACGTCAAGTTCATTATTCTGGACCAGAAAATAAAGAAAATGTTAAAAAGAAATGTTAAAGAAATGACAAAACAAAAGCAAGAAAACAGAAAACTTAGTACCCCCAATAAATAATTTAACCTGCAAAGTATTTCCAATCCTTTGTTGCTCTAGCTTCAGGTTTTCCTTTTCCTCTTTGGCCCGTATCTTTGCTTCTTCCTCTTGTTCAATCATTTTCAAAGCTTTTTTATAATCTTTAGGGAAAACCTAAAATATTTATGTATATTCAAGTGCTAAAGTGCAAGTCTAAAAAAACTTAATTTAATAAATTCATGCCGTTCAGTCTCCCAAGCATCCAAAATCCGTTGTCCAATTATAGAATCTGTTTCTTTAACAAATCTCGCAATTAGAGCTTTCATCCACTCAAAATCCTCTTTGGTTGGTTCCTCTAGATCAATTGTTGCTTGGTTCATTAATCGTGTAATATCTCCGTTAAAACTGTAAAAAGAAAATGGAATTATTTGTTTATTAGTTGTTTATTTTGCAGCATACATGAAATCAGATCAATTTCTTCAAAATTAATCGTTTTATTGGTCCCCGTTACCCTTTAGTTTGCTTATAAATAAAAATATCAATGCAAAATATTATTGTTAGAAAATTCGTTTTCATTATACTATTTATATTCTTAATCCTAACATTACTAAATTCAAATGTAGTTAATTGGTACGAGGAAGGGAAGACCAGGTTTGCTCTTTAAACATTTGTCCTATGAATTTTTGAGAATTTCAGAAGCCTAACTGGTTCATTTGCTAATTCTGGAAGTAATGATACAACAACAATGGTGTTAAAACTAATGAAATTAGGGATTGTTGAAGGTTATGCAATTCGCCGGATAAAAATGTTTAATGATCGAGTTTACTTGCACCGTTATCGGCGAAGTTATTGGTTTGGAGATCGTTACTATGCATTAGATAATAAATATTTTCTTGAAACCCGCGAAACTTGTGCATATAGAATGAGAGATGAGGAAAGGAAAGATTTGGAATATGAAGAACAACCATCCGAGCCTATATTGGACATAATTTATCAGTAATCTTAAAGAAACTTATAAAAGTAACTAGTAATTTAATAGATGTCAGCGATATGTACAACATTGCTGTGGGTTGGACTGCTGTAATATTTTCTGGTTTGTAATTAACCTAAACTAGGATAGGGAAAGCCTAGAACTCATATTTTATTTTTAGAAAGCAAAATCTGACACTGATAATTTAACAAATGTTCACCTATTGTAGACAAATGCCAATCCACCACTCATTGCAGCAGCAAAGTTTTTCCCAATTCCATTAAGAATAATAACACGTCCACCAGTCATGTATTCACAACCATGATCACCCACACCCTCAATAACAGAAGTAGCACCAGAATTACGAACTGCAAAACGTTCTCCAGCAATTCCTCGGAAGAATGCTGTTCCTATAAAAAAATTTAACATTTAAAAATTGAGAAAATTTTTAAACCAGATGTTGCGCCATAAAGAGCCACGTTTCCAATTATTGTATTTTCTTCAGAAGCATAAGTAGAATTTTTGTATGGCCGAATTATTATTTCACCTCCAGAAAGGCACTAAATTAAGAACAAAAATAATAGAAAAATTAATAATTCCCCACCTTTCCAACATAATCATTCGCCTCGCCTTCCAATCTGACAGTGACTCCTTTTGCCAAAAAAGCACAAAAACTTTGTCCAGCGGATCCTTTTAAATTAATTTCCAATGAATGACCATCAGGCAACCCTCCCTCTCCATAACGAATAGAAATCTTTAAAAATATTTTTAAATTTTATTAATTATTCAAATACCTCGTAGCTAAGTCGAGCACCAAAACAGCGGTTCGTATTGCCTATTATTCTTTCTTTGATGTGTTTAACTTTTGAAGGGTTATCAAAGAATTCTATTAATTGTTCTTTTTCTATTATATCAGTTTCCAAATCATTACATTCATGCAACTATAATAAATGAAAAGTAATCAATCGATAACCAATTAATAAAAACCTGTTTTGTCGATCCACCTTTTATATTGATCTGCGGGAATTGCAAGGAAACTTTATGTAAAATTTGAGCAAACTCTAGAAGGGTTGCTTTGTTGTTCATTGGATGTGGATTCGCATAAAGTAAATCTACTCTGCCAATAGCTTCACTCATTTTTCGCAATCCCAATTTCGAAAGAAAATAACGAACATCTTCAGCTACCATAAACATATAATTAACGACATGCTCTGGTTTTCCATCAAATTTTGCTCGTAGAACGGGATCCTGAGTGGCTATACCAACTGGACATGTATTTAAATGGCATTTTCGCATCATTGTACATCCAAGAACGATTAAAGGTGCAGTAGACATGCCGTATTCATCTGCACCTAACAAAGCTGCAACCATCACATCACGACCTGAAAATGACAAAAAAATTTTAAAAAATAAAATATTAAATAACCAGTTCTTATTTGTCCATCAGCCTGAAGTACGATGCGGGAACGTAAATCATTCATTGTCAGAACTTGATGAGTTTCAGAAACACCTACAATTATTTAGTAATTAAAGAGATGAGAGTAATTAAAGATGAGTAATTAAAGATGATCAATCCAGGTAAACATACCAAGTTCCCAAGGAAGACCAGCATGCTTTCTAGAATAATCGTTTAAATTACACATGAATTATTTAAAAACTCACATTCCAGTCCAACTACTTGCTCCTGTACCACCGTCATGTCCGGAAATAGTAACATGATCTGCACCTCCTTTAGCCACCCCTGCAGAAACAATACCAACGCCTGCCTCTGAAACCAATTTGACACTAACTCGAGCTCTAGGATTTGCACATTTTAAATCATAAATTAACTAAAAAAGATATTAATCGTTTTCTAAAAATCAAAATTTATACTTGTGCGAGGTCTTCAATACTATAAATATCATGATGAGGAGGAGGAGAGATGAGTCCAACTTAAAAGATAGTTTAAATTAATTTAAGGGTTTCCCCTTATAAATTATAAAATAAAGAACAAACCTCCAGGAGTTGATTTTCTTGTAGCGGCAATTTCTCTCGTTACTTTGTAACCAGGAAGTTCACCTTAAATTCAGAAAAGAAATAATCAGATGATAAAAAAGAAAAACCTCCTTCGCCCGGCTTTGCTCCCTGAGCCATTTTGATTTGTAATTCGTCGGCATTTGCCAGATAAGAGCTAAATATCACAATTAGAATTCATTAAAATGAAAAACCCACCTGTTAACACCAAAGCGGGCAGACGCAACCTTTTGATGTGAAATTTAAATTAAAAAACATACATAAAAGAAAACTCACTTGTTTGATTGCTGACCTAATATTATTGTCTTTAGGTTGATCCTTTCGATAGCGTTCGGGCCTCTCACCACCTTCTCCTGTGTTGGATTTTGCACCGATCTTATTCATGGCAATCGCTAATGATGTATGAGCTTCCATACTTATAGATCTAAAGAAATAATTTTGAAAAGTTTGGGGCATTAGAAAAAGTTACAGGAAGAGAGTGAGATTTAGCGCTACGCAGTTCTCTCATTACTTTAAAACAATGTTAACACCAAATTAAATCAAAAATAAAAAGAAAGAACCCGAAAGACATTGCTCCAGTGACAAATCTTTTCACAATTTCTGATGCCGGTTCAACTTCATCCAATGGAATTTGAAGTTTAGCGTTTGTTTTGATTTCCAATTGACCACGAAGGCTGCAAAGGCGTTGAGCAAGATTTGAAGCTATCGCAAAATCTTGATAACTCTTAGCATCGTTTAAACGAGCAGCAGCCTTGAAAAATAGAAAATTTATCATATATTTTAAAATCTAAAACCTGAAGTTTTGCTATGTTAACCGGCTCATTGACATGTTTTTCTCCACCATCACGCCAATGATAAATTCCAGGACTTACTAAAACCTTACTATCACCTGAAAGGAAAATATTTGTAAATATTAGGTGAAATGAATTTTAAGCAAACCATAAAGATATAAATCACTATTCGGAACATTTGGATAGGCGATCCGGTGTCTTCGAATCGCCTCCATTGCTAAAGTTTCAAAATCAGCACCGCCAAGCCGAGACACTGAATTAGTAAAGCATTTGTCAACTACTTCTCGACCCAGTCCAACAATTTCAAAAATTTGTGCACCCTAGAAAACATGTTAAAGAAAAGAAAAACTTATACAACCTTATAAGAGTGTAAAGTACTAATTCCCATTTTTGCCATCACTTTATAAATTCCTCGTTCAATTCCTGCTTTATACCCTTGAACAACATCATCGTCTGTCAGATTTTTATCCAAAAGTCCCATTGTTCTAAGTCGATAACAAGTCTCATATACCATATAAGGACAAATTGCATCAGCACCGTATCCAAGAAGAACACAAAAATCTAAATAAAATTTAAATGATTCATAAAGATAAGAAATTATTAAACTCACCGTGAACTTGTTTTACTTCACCAGACTGAAATATGAAATTTAATTTATTTCAGTAATAATAAAATTAAAGAATTCTACCTCGATAATTAATGCAACTTTCATACGAAGTCGTTGTTTTATTAAACATTGGTGGATTGCACCAAGAGCAAGGAGCGCACTGAAATATAAATTTCGGTCGTTTTTTTAAAAACACAAATTACCTAATTGGAACGTAATCTTTGTCAACTTGTCTATCAGAAAGAATTAAAATTTGATAACCGTCGAGCGCCGCGGAACAAGCTTCGCTAAAAAATAAAATTTATAAGAAGGATCATATTGCTAAACAATACCTGCATATTCTGTCTAAAGCTGGCACCAAACCTCTCTGCCCATGCCTTGCTGGATAAACAATATTAATTACATATGAACGCCATCCCTTGAAGCTAATTCGTTTTAGCACCTAAAAATGTATTAATCATAAAAACGGGAATGAAAAACCTGAAAGTCGACAAGTGAAAGAACTGGCTGATCCAAAAGAATTCGGCTCTCCAATTCAAATTCTGGTTCTAGTAAATTTGTTTCCGGCCCGACTGGACATCGAAGAGACATTACAATCTACAAAATCGAAAAGGTTATTCTACTATTAATCAAAAAATACCTGTTCACGAAAAGGATCAATTGGAGGATTTGTAACTTGAGCAAAAAGTTGTTGGAAATAAGAATAAAGCAATGGACTATAATCAGAAAGGCAGGCTAATGCAGCATCGTTTCCCATTGATCCAAGGGCCTCTTTCTTGTCAATAATCATTGGTACAAGAATTCTTGAAAAAAATTAATTAATAAAAAAACTGATTAAATTTGTACAATGAAAAAGTGTCCGGCGTATATGAAAATAGTGGAAGTCGTCTATCAGAGTCCAAATGAATGTCACGTAATCTGCCATGATCTTTTCCATCACCACCCGGTCTTTTGCCAATTAATTTCAATTGTTTTAACTCTCTTTTAATCAAATATTCATTAGTTACAGCTCCGTGGTTAAGCTTAATAAAACGTTATTTTAAGTGTTTTCGATTTTGTTAGTAGAATTTTAAAAAATTAAATGTTATACCAACCACATCATCTTTCCTAATTTGATCCAAATAAATTCTATTGATTGTCAATTTTTTATGATTTCTCGAATGCGCAATTTGCATCTTAAGTTGTTCATCCTCTACAATACATTTTTCCTTCAAATCCACAAGCAACATTCTTCCAGGCCGAAGTCTGTCCTGCAAAAAATATCATTTTTCCGGCATTTTTATTTTGCTAATTTAATACCCTTTCGCTTTTTTGCAAAGTGCATTCTTATGCAAATTGCCTTCATTTTTCTACTCATCTTACTTTAACCTTAAATTGACATTTTCTTATAAAATATTATACTTCCGCGTAATTTGGCACAAAAATCAAAAACAAAATTGAAAAGAAAAAAAGTGGGAGGTAAATATTTTTACAACTTATTGTTAGTTTGTTTACATTGAGTTCTTTCCCGCTATTTAATAATTGTAGCCTTTTTAAAAGCTAATTGACGGGTTAAATCCCTGAAGACTACATAAAAAAGGGCATAAAAAGTGACACCAACTCCTCTGAGACAGACGCAGGAGATTTAATTTTCAGTTGAAAGGAAAAATCATTTCATTTAGATAACCTTAAAATTAAGATACCAACAAAAATTAAAATAAATATATATAGTATATTCATTCAACAATATTTACAACAATGACGACAAAACATATTAACTTGTTCATACTATTGGCTCTGCTCATTACAACAGCATATGTAAGAAATTAAAATGATAAGTCTTTTGAATCAATTTCTAGATACTTAGAGGGTTAGACCGAAACTCCAAAAATTTTTCTATCATTAATTCTAAACAAAATTTTTCAGTGTTTTGAAGTTATTGGAAACAAGCAATATAAAGAAATTTATCCAATGTGGAAACGACAGATGAGAGAACCACTACGTTTCGGAAAACGCCAAGAAGACAAAACAAGCTACTTTAAGAACAGCAACGAAAATGCAGACAATGGATTTCCAGATGAAGCATACAACGAAGTCGCTTTCCAAAAATAAGAACGATAGAATACTCAAATGAGAAATATCAGACCCTCGAAATTGATAAACAATTTGTAATTAGTTCCAACACGTTCTAGACCAAATGTCTTATAATATCATAAACTAATTTTAAAAAATAAACGAGAAATTTAATACTAGTTACTATCGTCATGTCATAAAAGGTTTACACTTTAAATCACGCTTGAATCATTCTAATGGTGTGAGTGGGAGCAAAAGATAATGGACAAAAATTCGTAGAAAATGTTCTATAAAACGACCGGATTTTCCGCCTTTTAGTTCAAACTTTACGGTTCATTCAACCATGTTAGAGTTTAAGCTTTTATCCCTTTTCATAGACATATACCTAACGCTTAAAAATGACATTCTTTTACGTAATATCCACTAGTTTACCAAAACTATTATTTAACACAACAAATAATTCCCTAACACAAGACACTTAACATTTGCTATTTTTTCCTATTCTCATTGTGCCATTCGAACCAAATTTTCCTTGTGCCATTCATAGTACTACTAACCAACACAAACTATTTTTACGATGACTATCCAAAAAATTTATAATCTTATCAAACTTTTTGTGCTGATTGCTGCTTCATTTGGTAAGATACCTAATATTAACTACATTTTAAAAAATCAAAAATAGTAATCTCTAACTGCTCTCCAGCCATACCAAGACAAGAAACAATCCCATCACTTCTACCTAATGGAGCTCTACATGAAACACTAACTGACCCATTTCAACAGCAGCGTTGGATTTCAGTACGTCCCTTCCAGGATTATCCCCGTCCTCACAATGAAGAGTTGGGTCTTTTACTTCAATATTTGGATAGTAAGAGGAATGCTCCACTCTTGGATGAAAATGTCGCGCAACTAGTAGGTGAATCACCTCTAGGGACAATGCGATTTGGAAAACGTCGAAACACCTCACCACTCGGAACAATGCGATTCGGTTAATTGTTGATATTACCACTTTTTTACAGAATTAATTAAGCATGTCCGAAACCTTATTTCTTACTTAACAAAGAATAAACTTATATTTTGTAATAAAAGTACTTTTTAAATTTTGATAAATTAAATTTAAAATTTGTATAAAAAAATAAACCCACCCTCTTAACGACACATTCGGCAGGCAAATCAATTATACCAACTTCGCTAGCCAAATAAATATGGTCATCAGCAGTAACGCAATATCTTGCTGGTCTGAGACCATTTCGATCGAGAATAGCGCCAATATAGTGTCCATCGCTGAATGCCAAAAGAGCTGGTCCATCCCAGGGCTCCATTTGCATAGCTGCCCACCGATAGAAAATCCTTTTTTCGTGACTTAATCAAATAAGTTAAAAAGATAGAAATTCAGATAAAAAAAACTTCATATCCTCGTCCTTTTCCCAAGCCTCTGGGACCATTGTCATTGCTGCTTCAGGTAATGAACGATTGCCAGCATGCACAAGAAACTCTAACACATTGTCAAAAGAACCTTAAATTTGAAAGATAACTGAAAATTATTACTCAAAAAACAACCTGAATCAGTCATTTCATTTTCTACCACAGGATAAAGTTTGTGAATGCTTTCACCATATTCACGAGAACTCATAATCTAAAATAAAAAAATTCCATAATGAAAAACATTAATATTTATGCTTACTCCTTCTCTAGCCTTCATAAAGTTGATATTCCCTTAAACGATATAAAACAATTAGTATACTTTAAATTAATAAAAACCTCTAAGTGTATTAATTTCTCCATTGTGAGCCAACATTCTATTTGGTTGTGCCCTACTCCAACTTGGGAATGTATTAGTAGAAAATCTTGAGTGAACCATTGCCAAATGTGTTACAAATTTAGGATTCTGTAAATCATCATAATAAAGAAAAAGCTGATGAGAAGTGAATTGACCCTAAAATTTGTGGAGAAATTCAGAGTTAATCCGTTTAAGACAAAAACAAACCTTATAAACAATTGTGGTAGCAGAAAGAGAAACAACATAGCAACTAACTCCTTGCTGTAACATTCTAATTGTCGTCTGTTTACGTAATAAATAAATAGCTTGATGAAAACGTTTTTGATTTGAAGCAAAGTCGCTTGTTACAAAAACCTACAAAATTTTTAAAATAATATTTTAGTTAACCTTTAATTTGTTTTACTTGTCGCATCAAAGGTTCAGTTTTTCTTGATTCTCTTCCCAAGTGATCAGAATTAACTTTTAATTTTCTCCAAGCGAGCACTTGTAGTTTGCAACCACGCGCCAAATCGGAAAAGGACTCCTTTGCTTGTTTGTATGATTCGGGCGAAAGAAAGAGAATTCCAGTTGCATATTGTCCAAGAGGAGGAAGGTCAATATCATTAGTCCTAACAATAAGAATAAAAAAATCTCAAAAATACAATTTAATAACCTTTTAATGTCTTCACGATAGAGGTCATCTGGAATTGCTGTCATAACACCTGCTCCATCACCTGAGTCGTTGTCACCAACACATGCACCACGATGAGCTAAATATTATGTAGTATATTGTTAACCGAAAATTTTTTTATTACCCATCCGTTCAAGCATTACACGTCCAGCCTTGAGAATCTAAAATAAAAGTTCAAATTCTAATTGTTTAATTTACAAATTAAAAAAACCTCATGAGTTTGAATCCCTTTTACCGAGGCACAGAAACCAACTCCACAAGCATCCTTTTCAAGCTGAGGTCTCCAAAGAGAATTTTTAGCTGCATATTCCAATTGTTCTTCACTAATAATAACCATCTAAAATATTTAATTAATTAGAGATGATTAGAATGAAAAGATATTGTATTTTTAATTATGAAAACAAAAATATGTCGAATGCAAAAAAAGTTTTTTCTACAAAATAAAAAGGTTTGATTGATTAACAGACACTTGATTAGAAAAGAAAAAATAGCCAGCAATCAAAATATAATTGCTCAACTCTTGCTTTGCTTTCGAAATAAGAAGGAATTACCCACGAACTCTCCCTTCCTTAATCTATACGTATCTCATAAATTTTTGACTTCTTTTCGATTATAAAATTGATTACGCCGATTAATTTTTTTATCATTTTTAATCGCGTGTAAAGTTAAAATGTGTTTACTTGTTAAAAATATATGGAATCAGTTTGGTTAAAAAATACGATTTTATAAAACTAAAATACGAAATGATTAATGCTCCCTAATTGGAAAAAATCTAAAAAAATAATTAATAGCAAAAAAAATAAAAATGATGTATGTACTTTGCTCGTTCGATGGATAACCCTTCTCTCTCTAATTGTAAAAATATTAAAATGAATAACGATCGAATGAAAGGGTGAAGGGCTTAAATTAAATAGCAATGCTATGTATAAGAAGAGACGTTTTACTTGTCAAGAACGTGTTTATTTTTAAACAATCATCTTGAAGGAAATACGGAAGAGTCGAGCAATTGAAATTTAAACAAACAAACTTTATTGAAGTGTTTAAAGGGTTGGAAAATAATGAATTTGTTTTAAAAATGTCTGAAGATTAAGCATGCCAAATTTTTTTAAATAAAAACAAAAGTGACAGAAAAAATGATAGAAAGCAAAAAAGGAGAAATGACAGAAAACAAATAGGCCAAAAAGAAAATGAATTAGGTATATTGCCTAAATAGCAAAAAAAAGTTCATTTACTCTCTAGTATTAAAAGCTAAAAATAAATGGGGACCATCAGGGACTTGGGTAAAAAAGCCAGTCATTTCTATTTAGATGGCGGCGCAAAAAAAGGACTCTTCTCTCTTTTTTTCATATCACACAGTCTTTAATTATGGAAAACAAAAAGAAAAAAGGGGGACTTTAAAGGTTTAAAGAGGAGTAGTAAAAAAGGGTTAAAGAGACAAATTCTTTTACTAAAGCAGTCATTGCAGGAAGCAAAATAAAAGCTGCATAAATAAAAGCAGACACCGCCACTACAATGGCAAATTGGAAAGAGGACTATAAGTAAAAAGTAAGGTGTGTAGTGTTTGGCCAAGACTTTGAAGTAGACAATCGTGAAAGGACAAATGAGTATTAAAAATAAATGAAAAAAATTTAAAAAAATTAAAAAAAAAAGAATAAATTGGAGGGAATTACGAGATTTAAAATGTTTATTAAATTTGTTTTGGAAATCCAAAAATAATGGATGTTATATTTAAGATGGTTTTCCTTCACTTGTAACAACCCCAATTATATACCCTTTATCCCAGAGCATTCCCCTTTGTTTTGTTCTATATCCCAAAGATTTGTCAAAAAATAGCAAAAACCAAGACATAATAATTTTGAGTACTTTTTTCCTGCCCATTTCCATTAAAACTTTTCCACATTCCTTTATCTAAAAATCCATTTGCCATGAACCTTCAATTGGAAAATATTTTTTATTCAAACCAAGGCCAACAATTTACTATCGTTCCAATCACAACCGATCAACATCGTGCAGAAGTGCTCTCATTTATGCAAACACAGTTTAGAGTACAGGAGCCGATCACTAATGCATTAAGTTTAATACATAGCAAAATAATATTTGGAAGATAAAAATCAGAAATTAAAGATAAAAATCAGAATGGAAGATAAAAATCAGACATTATAAAAAAACTAAAAATTGAAAAAAACATTTAAAACCCAAACACTAAATTCCTTAGAATGTTCGGCACAGGATACTCTACTTTTCTACAAAGATATTTGTTCGGCTTGTTTTAAGGTTTTGTTTGCTAACCTAACGTTCTTAAAACAGTTAATTTAGTATGATCTTTCTTTAATCGCACATGATTGTCATGGCCAAATAGCCGGCATAGCCTTAAGCAGTCTTTGGCAAAGAAATGAAATTCAGACTTTTAAATCATCAAAAAATAAAGAGTTTGGTCAAGGTGATAAAAAATATTTTATATAAAATAATGTATTTCCAAGAGATAAGAAATGGGCCTTACATAGGTTTGGCCAATGCCAATCGACTTTCTATTTTTCTGGAGATGGTTGAAAGTGATCTTAATTCTATATTAGAGAATGAAAAATGCGTATTAAAACTAGAAATAATATCTGTACATCCCATGTTTCTTAGGCAAGAATTTTTTTAAAAATACCTACATACTTTCAATGACAATTTTTTAAATTAAAGATTAGGACTTGCTTCTAGTCTTCTAAAGAAGAGTATTGAAATTGCACGCGTTGCAGGGTGTTCTCATATTATAACTAGCGCAACAGCTGTCGCGTCTCAAAATCTTTTCAAAAAGTTTGGATTCAAAACTGTTCACAAAGTGTTATTCAAAGATTTTCTGGAGGATGGAGAGCCTGTTTTTAAAAATTTACATGATAATGGAAGTGGAGCTGAATTAATGTTGTACAAATTGGATTAAGGAGAAAAGGAAAAACACTAAATTTTAAGCACATTTTCAATACAAATACCATATTTTTAATTACGAATTTCCCTTTCTTTTTTCATAAATTCAGGCCATATGTTGCTGCTCTAACTTTTTTCCCATATCTCTTTAAAATCCTCTTTATATGTGATTCGCAGATTCAATTTTACGAGTTCCTCAATCGGTAAGAACAGAATGAGAGAAAAAGGAGGAAGGAGAAAATCCGCCCGCCGCCGCGTTTTACGAGTGCTCTGGCAATAAAATCTGCCTTTCGACCGCCATCGTTGACGATTTTTTTGTGCCGGTCGTAGTTTATCCGTCCTCCATTAAATTAAAAATCGACAAACGGTTGGTCAACTTTGAAAAAATCATCCAATCCTCTTCATATTTTTTGTCATTCAAAATTAATAACTGAAGAACATTGGTCATGACGCGGCATTCCACGTCCAATGTTTTCCTTCTTTTTTGGACTGCTTTATTCATTCTTCCGTTTTATTGTATCTCCATCAAATGGCTGTAAAATTTTTCTTAGTTTCCCAGCTAAAATAATTTTTAGAGCACTTCATAGGGTACAGCCCGCATGGACAAATTCAGGAGATTGCCCTCGTTCACGTGAAGAACGCCGCGTTTTTGGCCTTATAGCTTATCAGGCACGTGTTTGTGTTCGTCTGCCTGAACTTATACCACATATAATTAATGCTGCTTCTTTGACTGTCGATGTGTGCCAAGCAGCATTCGCTGACCGAAGATGGAATTGTTCCTCTATTTTAACTGCTCCAAATTTAAGTGCCGAGTTAAACAGTGGTTGGTAATTATTAATCAAAAAAGAAATGAAATTTACTTGAATTTAGGTACAAAGGAACAAGGTTGATAAAAAGATATTTAGTATGTAAATCTGTTTATCATAGCATTTGTCTATGCGCTCTCATCAGCAGCCGTTACACATCAAGTATTTATCGCAAAATAAGTTTAAATAGGTATCTTAAGGTAGCAAAAGCTTGCTCCTCTGGTCAATTAGCAAATTGCCCTTGTGGTTTTGGAGGTTAGTAACAAAGACAAATGAGAAACTCTATTAAAAATAGATACCGTGACGACAACAGCTCCAATTGCAAGCGACCATTTTCAAAGAAATTTTACTGAATTAAGTTATAAATGGAAAGGCTGCAGTGATAATGTCGTTCATGGACGAAGAATTAGCCGTGAATGGAGTGATTCAAAATGGAGACCAAATCCTGCGGAAGCAGTTAATGAAATTGCAGCTCGAAATCGTTGGAATATTGTTGATGCTGAAAGAATTGGAGGAAGCGATGATTATATAGAAGACCAAATGAGGGTTTTAAAACTTAAGAGGGTGAATTTAAATAGAATCAGGAAAATCTATTAATTTTTTAGCATTCTCCAAACAGCAAACGTAATAATGGACAAAAGGCGCGCATGAATGAATTCAACAATGAAATTGGTAGACAAGTTGTAGAGCAATCCCTATACAAAAAGTGTAAATGTCACGGAGTTTCAAGGCTTCACATTTTATTTATTAATCATAAAATCCGTTTTTAGCTCCTGTGATGTAAAAACTTGCTGGTACACACTTCCACCACTCGAACATGTTGTCGCAGTTTTAAAAAAGAAATATGATAATGCTAGACCTATGCTTGGTTCTATTCCATTAGGTGCTATGAGAAAAAGATGGAAACATCCAGAATCAAATGATGAACAATCATTGGTAAAAAATAGAAAAAATATCGAGAAAAGGAATTTAAATTTGAAGGTTTATTTGAAGAACTCGCCAAATTATTGCGAGGAAGATGCGGCGACAGGAAGTCAAGGGTAACTATCAAAAAATGTTTTAAAAAAATCATATCCGCTTTTACAGAACTATAAACAGGTAAATACCAGAGTATGCAAAACATTTAACAATATCAAAGGGAATGCAACATAAGCTCATTCGGTACAGATAGCTGTGAGAGCCTTTGTTGCGGTAAGTGCTTAAAATTTAAGACGGTGCAAATCAACGAAAATATTTGCCCATTTCCTTTCGTAAATTTACAAGAGAATTGAACAAAATTTTTATACAAGGACACGACAAGAGTAGAAAATCAAAATACAATATTTTATGTACAGGCAATAAGATCAACGAGAAAAAACCAAAAGCATATTAACCTAAGAGGGCACACATAGAATATATTTTGATTGTTCATCTTCCTATCATCAATTTTACATACTTCCTTCTTCCTTTTGCCGAACATTATTCTCTTAGAGTTCAGTCATATTCATAGGCAGCGGCGCTCGAGATGAAGGAGGAATAGTCAATTTGGGTTTTTTGTTTGACCCGCTGCTTGACATTTTGGATTTACGGCTATCAATAAGTGAAGTACTCTTGGACTTGCTTGCAGTTTTGCTTTCGGACTTCGTTTCGATTGTGAGCTCTGTCTTCTTATCGATGGTCACTTCACTTTTTTCCTGCATGGCCTTTTTGTCTTTCTTCATCCGTTTTCCTGCATACTTCTTATTATTCTTCTTCGCACAGAGCATTAGGCAAGAAGCGACCACAAAACTAAATTATGCCGAGGATTAAAAATTTGAAACCATCAAAATAGTAAAAGAAAAACCTACGTCAACAGATATACAACAATGTTGAGAATGACGTTCAATGATGACAACATTTCCTTGACTGCCAGACAAAAATTGCTGTTCTTTTGACTAAACACTTGTACAACGTAGGATGAAGATAACTTTTACAAGTGAGGATCGACAATGCGCTTTTATATAAGAAACATTTCACCAAAAATTTTTACGAAAGGAAATGGGCTTTTTTACTCTTTTAAATTTTAAATTAAGGAAGAGGATATACCATCTCTCAGGTATAATTTTGAAGAATTGAAATGATTAATATTCGAGCTTTTCCCATTAAGGTTCGTATAGAAGAAAATTGTCAATGCAAATACGTTCATTGCTGCTATATTAAATGTAAAAAGTGTTTGACTACATTAAGCAAATATTTTTGCAAATAAATAAAACTTTTTTTGCTATTTATTTTTCGTTCTTAAGGAATAATTTAAGGATTTGCTGTACCAGCAAATTAATGCGCAGAAAAGATGATCTTTTTTGTGGAAAAGAAGCAAATCTCTTTTTTGCATTTAATTCACTCTTTAGCTAATTAGACATAGCTTGAGTGCACTCTATTTTAATTAAAGGATGTAAAAGCTTATCAGGAAAAAAGCGTTGTAGTCTGATGAGAAAGCGGAGTGTGTATCCATCCGGGAATAATTGTTCTTCGCCAGCCAAGATCCCAAAATAAAAGCTGCTAATTCTTTCCAAAAATATCTTTTCACTTTCATTTTTAACAAAAATGATGTTCTTGTCATCTTCTATGGCATTCGGGATCCTTTTCTTCTATAGCTCACTAATGGTTATAATAACCGGCTGTGGACTACCTCCAGCTCCGGCACCACCACCGGCTCCGTGCTGCGCTCCTCCTGCTCCACCGCCTCCCCCACCCTGTTGTCCATGTCCACCTCCTGCGCCTATGCAGTCTTGTTGTCCATGTGCAGCAGCACCACCACCTTCTTCTCATTGTGGTGGCTGTATGTTTGGTGCACGCAGGCGAATGTATTCGTCAGCAAGTTTGCGGAAGTATTGGCGAAGCAAAAGAGAGGTCAGTTATCAGTGATATTGAATTCATTTGAATTTCAATCAAAGCACAAGATTTTAAGATTGACGTGATGAAAGTTAATGAGTCAATTGCAACACAAAAGTTACAATATATCAATGTCACCGAAGTGCCATGTCCGCGAGCAGAATGGTACAGCCCAATGCGCAAGGTATTATGTCCCCGATCTGGTAAAGCATTCAACAAAAGTTTGAGACTGTTTAGAGAAATGTTAAACAGAAATATAGACATACATAATTGAAGGAAAAACATAAATGAATAAAAAAAGCATATCAACTTAAAATAGACAATGACCTGGCACAAAGAATAGACAAAAAACATTAAAAATTATCTGACTACACAAACAATTTAATAAAAATAACCCACCAAACCATTCCAGGCAATGATCAGCGGCAATCCATCTGCATCTGTTCAATCAATTCAAGCCAAACTTCTCCATGAACATGACAACAAATTTTTGGTGATGTGCGCCCGTCATGAACAATTTAGAGGAGAAAGTGTTGTCATACCAAGTGCTCTACAAATTAACAGTTCTGGTGTTGACTTTTGTAATGTGAATGAACAATCCATTTGGTGCCAAGCAATTGGAATAATTTCTTAAATTTTGTCTAACACTAATGACAAATTGATGTTTCAATTAATTATTGTAATAAACAAAAATTTTCTTAAATCAACAATCATGTAAAATATTTATAATATTCAAAAAACAAAACAAAATCATTTTTTGATAATTCAAATAAACAATAAAGGAAAGAAATTTATAGTAACCAGTATTTGTCCATAAGCGTAGAGAAAAAAATAAAAATCCGTAAAATTAATGAGGAAAATAGGTATCTTTACATTTAATTATTGGCCTTTTCCGAAATAAAAAATTTCAATCTACGCCCATGATAAGTAAATTATGTTCTATATGCGCAACTAAAATTGAAAACAGGCTAATAATTGTTTAATAAATATAAAAATTCAAAAAATAAGTGACGGGAGGTAAGTTTCTTTTGGCTTAAAATTTAAAAGTATGTACTTGTATATAATGTTGAAAGAAGGAACCATAAAAACCTCGTAGTATTTTTCATTTGAAGAGAACACCAAAATCTATTAACTTCCGCACTAATACATTGATAGCCAATTCATCCGAATTTGAACCATTCTCAATCATTAACTGAGCCCAGTCAAGCAAAATAAAATCGCCAAACATTCTGAAAATTATTATTTAAAAAATTTTCTAATATTTAAATTCAAAAAAATAACCCATTAGGACAATCTCGCTGTTTATTTTCCACATGAATTCTCAATTCATTATTGTAAGCCCTGATTTGTTCAGCATGGCTGCCGAGCTAAAAAAAAATATATATTGAAAAATTTTATTAGGAAAGTATTCATGAAATTTCAAAAACTTACTTCCGGAATAGTGACGACAACAAATTGAGGAATTGAATATTGGTAAACACAATCTTCTTTACTCTTCTGCAAATTATATCCACTCAAATTTTCCTCAAACCACTTTTTGAGTTTAATAGTTGAATCCAGAGAAGGAGTTCCCTCTTGATTAATAAGGTCGTATCCATAAAGTATGAAGACATAGCTGAATTCAAATGCGCAAAGCTGATTCAAAATAAACTGATGCAGAACATCCAATTGTGAAATAAACAAGCTAAAAGAAAAATTAACGTTAAAATATTTTCTGGAAAAAAAAACAAACTCCATATGTTTGTGAAAATCCAAACGAAAGATATACATATTCCTAAATACTTCGTCTTTAACTCCTGCGAGCATGGAGTCTGTCAAAAAAAGACGAGAAATCCGACAGAGTCTATCAGCAGGAGCAACAAACTTATCAGCAAGATTTTGTTCGACGACATTTCTGGCTCTGCAGAGAACATCAGCTGCCAGAGCTTTAATCTCAGCTTTCAATTTCCTAGTTAATTTTCTGTGTCCAATATTAGATGGATCTACTGCTGGTATTTGGCCCAAAGGTCTGTTCTAAAAAAACAAAAAGAATTATTTTTGAAATTAAAAAACCAAAAAATTAGTAGAACCAGGAACATGCACCTTACATTCGTTTACATAATCATAACGTTTAAAGACATTTCCTTCCTCAATGACAAAATTGCGTACAGTCACTTGTAAGGAGGTTTCTTTATCATTATCACGAAAAAAGTTGACCTAAAAAATAATTAGAAAATAAAAATGATTAAAGTCTCACATTTCGACCCTGTTTCATCTCCTTCCTCTTAGCTAAATTAATAATATAATCGATGGTATATAAAGATTAAATTAGTTTACCTTTCTGCTCCTTTAGATAATCAGCCCGACGATACTAAAAACGAAAATATTTGTATTGTTATGAACGAGAAAGGACAAGACAAAAAACCTTTTTGATCTTTGATGAATACCCCGTCTTATTGTTGGACGAAGAAGGGTCAGACATTTCTGTTGCACCAGTATTATTGACCAAAATTGGATCCACATCCACATGCCAAGGAGGTTTTGACTGTTGAGGACCACTGAATTCACTAAAAATAATTTTAAAAAATCACTTTAAGGAATTCAAAAACGCATACCTATAATCGTCGTCAACTGATTCCTTCAAATCTCTGGGTTGCTCGACTAAAGAAAAAATTTAAGCCTAAAACTTATTATTAAACAATGAAACCTAAATCCAGTCTTTGCCTTTTCGAACTACCTCCTTCAGTTTCCATGTCAGTATTTGAACAACTCTGATCTATACAAACTTCTCGCGTTACTAGAAATGAAAAAAAAAAGTTTAAAAATAAGAAAAATAACCTTTAGGAGCAATTGCCTTGGCAGAAACAGTTGATTTATTACGTAGAGCACATTTTAATGATGAATTTTTAGAGTAAACAGGCAAAGATGAAGAAGTACTCATTGTTGAAAGTTGTAATCGAGGATTAATAGGCGCTGGTGGAAGAGGTATGTCGTGGTGAAGATCAGGAAGAGGCTCATTGGAAGACGTCGCACTACTACTTTCTTGATGTTCTGTTGGATCACAGATAATAACACTATTACTCATCTGAACATTTTGCATCCCAACATTATTAGAAAACGCATCGTAATTCTCTTCTTGTTTCACAATAATAACAGAATTTTGCATAATTGCTTGTTGCACATCTGTCTCTTCTTCAACTTCCTCCGATTCTTCTTCCGCATCACTCATCAATTCATTCTTAACCTCAGTTGCAATTTCATTTAAATCTTGCGCATTAGTGTCCTCAACTTCTTTAATAACATACGTTTCGTCAGGCTTTGCAGGATCCTTATCATTTGAGAAAAAATCATCCAAACTTTCTTCACGTAAACTAGCTCTCAAATATCGATCATCATCATCGCTAGCCTCCACATAGTCCAAATTTGCTGTTTCTTCATTTTGTGTCGTATCGGATGAGACATCATGTATTTGATTGCGTTGTCCTTCACCAGGTGTAACATTTCGACGCAGAATCATCTTAAAGAAAACAATCAAAAGCAAGTTAGATAAAATAAAAACCTGATTATTTGACTGGTTTTCGTTTGAACAGCTGTTCTGCCTCATTGTGATTTGCCTAGAAGAACTTTCAACTTTAGCTTCATTGTCAGCATTTACAGGTCTTGTCTCATTTTTAAGTCCTTTATGATTCACAGCCTTAACACGTCTTCGTGAAGGAATCTTAATTAAAGATTCTTCATCCTCATCCTCCACCTCTTCTTCAAACACATCCTCCATCGGACGATCAGAATACGTTCCAAGATTTACCACGGATCTTTTAGACGTCTAAATTTTGAAAATAAAAATAACCATTACAATTAAACCTTTAAAATTGCCGAATTATAAGGGTTATCCTTATTAATGCGAAGCTGTTCATCCTTTTTGGCATCATCTAATGGACGAGTATTTTGATTGCGTTTAACTTAAAAAGGAAAATTTTCATAACTTTTTAACAGAAAAATTAACCTTTCCAAGCTAAAACTTTGCATAATAATTTCCATAGGTAATGTGCAATTAAAACGAAATCGTCCATGTCCTGATATTTTTGATTCTTATTTCGCGTAAAGTTGCCCACGTATTTGAGCATTATTACGTTCACGTCATCCTCTGAGAAATTTTAAAAAATGAAAACAAACTATAAAAACCTCTGTTATCAAAAGCATTACGCATTAACTGAAGTACTCTATCTGCTTGTCGTTCCAATGCCTGCGCAAAAATAAGAGTAAGCTGGTCAGATTGAAGCTCTTGTATCTCGTTCCGAATCCAATCAAACATAACAACTAAAAAATTATACTTGTAAAAATAAAATTAGAAAATAAAACCAGGAGAGAGAGTGCCAATATTTGTCAGGGAACCAGAAGTTCCAACACTCATTCTATTATTATCCATTTTATTGAAAGTCGATTGAATTACTAACAGGAATAATTCTAATTTTAATTTAATAACCAAATTATATCTAAAAGAATTAAAAACTTTATATTAAATTGAATTCTCGATTAAAAATAAACAAAATTACTTTAGGTCGTCAAATTTTTAAAAAACATATAAAAATTAAACAAACTGAAGCCAGAAAATTTTTAAAAAAAGGAAAAAAATTTTGCCAAATTTGCAAAACGGTAAAGTCCGTTTCGGTAAATCCTTTTAGAAAAAGCCGTTTCAGAACAGGATTCGGAAAGGTCGTTTCACACCTTTTTTATTGTTTTGAAAAGTTGGTTTTGGAAATGAGGCAGATTACGAATTGGACTTTCCAATCAAAAAAAGAGAAAAATATATTTTGAAAATTAATGTTGTATATTATACAAAACATATCTAATATTATTTTTAATACTTTAAAAATTTTATCAAAAATTTTTTTTAAATTTTTATATCGGTTTTTAATATTTTGTTTTTCATTTTCCTGCATCACCGAGACGATTAATAGAAGCAAAATTTTTTAAAATATGATTAACTAATTCTGCATTTTTTCTTTTTGAAATCAAAAATTGAGTTGGAGGAGCTGATCTTTCACCAAATTCTTGTTTTGATTTCCAATGATTTATCTGTTAAATTTTTAATTTATTTTTTGATCAGTTACAAACAAAAAAATAAATTTTACTTTCTCATTATCACCAGTTATCGGTAATTCATTATTCTGAAAAATTCCATTTGGCAAATTTTCTTCATCTGAATAGCCTAACAATGTTCGAATCCAAGCATCACTTATTGGAGGATATTGGGCTCTCTTAATTTTTTTTTAAATTTTTTTTTCAAATTTTTTAAAGCAAAAAATAACCAAATAGTTAATTGAACTTGCTGTAACTAATGTTCTTTGTTTGGGTAATGAGGCTAAGGCTACTAGCAGTGATAAAAATAAAAATGTAATTCTTGATTGTTCTGAAGAAAAAACTGCCAAATTTTGAAATGCCATTTGATGTCTGAAAAAATAAAAAAAAAATTTTTTGAAAAAAAGAAAAAATGTGTGAAAGAAAATTTAGGAATAACCCAAGAATTTTTAATGTCTTAAATTCTTAATCAAATCATATGCACAAATGTACGAAAAGAAAATATAATAAAAAATATAATTGTTTCCAAGTATATTAAGATGTTTTAATAAAAAAATTTTTTTCGCGCAGACAGAAGGGCACATTAAAAATGCCAAATAAAGCTAATTTATGTGTGACGTTTTTGTGTATATTTTTTTGCTGTTAGATTTTTCTTTTAAATTATATAAATAATTAATATATGTGTGGGGGAGATTTTTTTAATTTTCAGTTTGGCAAACTCTACGAGAGTACACACATTTTTTCCTTGTTTTATAATGATTTCCGTTTTTATATTTTTCCTGGCAAATTTACAATAAAATGTGTGTACTTAAAAAATCACAAAACATTATAATTAAAATGGCACGTGTATTTAAATGTTTTTTTAATAACTTTATTTTTCAAATTTAACCTATAAACTAAAAAATATATCAGAAATTATTTATAATTAATTAATTCTTGTGTTTAAAACAATTTTAATTTTCCGCAAACGCAAGCTTTGGACATTTAGTAGTTTTTGGGTGTGGTAAAAAAGGCTCCTCCCCTTAGAATTAAAAAAACAGTTATTTAAAAAATTGTTTTAGAGGTAAAAATATTAAATATAAATAGATTTTTTTCCAAAATAGAAAAAATTTAAAAAAATCTTGAAATGGAAACGAATTAAAAAAACTCTCCTTCTCTTCATAATTAAATCAAAAATGCGTTGGTTTAAAAAACAAGCACGAAATTAAAATTTTTTTTTGCTTTTTAGTTTTCTTATTTTTACATGTATTTTGTAGTCTTGTTTGACAAAAATTGTCAAAGTGTTAGCAAAAAAATTTCATTTTTTTTGGAAAATTAGTCCTACTCTCAAATTTCATTTTCTATATTTGGACAATATAAAGCATCAAATTTTTATATGCTCTAAAGTATTAAAAAATAAAAAAAAAGAAGCTTTCAGCGTCAAATAATCATCAAAAAAAACTACCAAACTTAGGGAAATGAATTGGCGGGGGATTCGGTCAAATAAAAAGAGAGAATAATAATGTAGTAGAATTGCCTCATTAAGATGATGAATAAAAAATTTTGGAGTTGAAAAAAGGAGAGAAAATTGAAATAAAAAAAAAATCGGAGGCGTCCAAATTTTTTTAAAGTTAATTTTTAAATGTCAAAAGGTTAATTGAAAATGAAAGACAATTATTCAACAATTTTAGAAAGCAGGTGGTGAGAAGTAAAAGAAAGGCTAGTTGGACTCTTGGGAAAAATTAAAATTTTATATAATTTGTTGAAAAGATTTTTAACACCCAGAAAATTTAATTAGCAGAAAAGCATTCTTGCAAAAAAATTTTAGACAAAAGCATCTTTAGGTCATAAAGTAAAAAACAAATAAGACTAGAAATTTTTAAGTAGTAGATAACTATGGAAATACTAAGGGGTAGCAGAAGAATTTATCTTGTTAATCGAGGTCCAGACATATTTTAAAATTTTGAAAAAATTTAACTCACCACAAATTTCATTTCAACAGTTCAATGCCACTTTTAATTGTTTCCTTCCTTCCTTGAATTAATTTAACTTCCTCTTTTTAATTAATCTCAACAGCTATGGTAAGCATAACTCCAAATATTGCGTAGATTGTTGTTGCGCGAATATATACATATTGTTGTTGCGCGTGTTGTTATATGGGGCAATTGTCACAACCACCAAAAAGGAGTAGTATAGAAAATTGATTGGATAAATCGAAGAATTGTAAGGGCACTTTGTTGTTAAATAAGGATTGAATGACCGGATCGACAAAAAGAATAAGCAGAGCAACTGACAAGCTTTTTCTTTATAATATGGTGTAGATTCCATCATCCACAAAAGGTAAAATATAAAGTAGTTTATATTGAACAGAAAAGCAGGAAAATGCTGTGACAAAAATAAGGGCGACCTTCAAAATAATTTTTAAAGTTATTTTTCTCCTCCCAATTTATTGCCAAAATTTAAAATATTGTGCAAATACTATCCCAAAAATTCTACAATTTTTAAACATACAAAATTTACTTTAAAATGCAAATTTTTTACTCACCATATATTCTTTATTTTAATTTTCTTAATATTTTTCTTCACTTACTTGTAACTCCAACATTTGGTATTGGCACCTCCACACGTGTACAGTGTCCAGAAGGGCATTTCCTTTCTCGGTTTAGTTCAGCATTTGATGGCTCTGAACGTTTTTATAAATTTGGTTGTCAAGCATTCAATAATGATCTTTGGAAATCTGACGGTGAAGAACGTTGCGAAAGCACAGAGTTTACTGCTTTAGAAACAGGATCTGATATTTATTTGAGCTGTGATGGCAATCAGGCATACTAAATTATTAAAAAAATATTTTTAGAATAAGTAAAAAACTTTTTAGTATACCGCAGGAGTTCAAATAGTTGAAACAATACCATCAACTACAGGGCAATCTCCGATAGAACATTGGCAATTACTTTGTTGTCATAGCAATTCAATACGTGTACGGACATCTGATTGTGTTGAGACGAAATTTATAAATGATTTTAGACGTTCTTCTACATTCAGTTCTTCAGCGCAGGTTTTCTGACTATAAATAATTTGACCATTTTCTTTAAAAAGATTATTCGTCGTTGGCAAGCAATGTCAGAAAACAGGTTAGAGAAGAGCAAAAATCCAAATAAATCCCTATAAATCAGTGATAAACGTTGGTGGCTTCAAATATGCCCAGTTGATGTACATCCTGCACCTAAAATGAGAAAGAATGGAGATGTTGATATAAGAGCGAGAAGACAAATACCTGTTAAATGGAGTAATTCGAGATTTTCATACACACCTGTAAGAGAAAAATATTTTAAAGGTGAGTTAAAAAATAATTTTTCAAGGAACAACAAATTCCTTCAAAGTTAAAACCATTTTTCCGAAGAGGAACACAAAATATTAACCCAAATAAATGGCCAAGAATCCCACCACGTTTCAACACTGTAAATTCTTATTCGGTCGGAAGGGGTAGTGAGACCGGAATTGGAAGATTAGAACCACAAAAAACACAAATTACAACAACCACAACATTTCCTTCTACAACATCTTCAACGCTAAAAACATCCCAGGCAAGTTAAAAACAGTAAATCCTACATTAAGTTTTCAGTTAAGTGTTGCAGAAAAGGAAGAAGAGGAAGAAACAACAACAACAACAGCAATGATTGAACAAAGGAATATTACAGAGAACACTACTCCCACTACTACTAGTAAATCTGTCAGCCGTCGATTAATTCCATTAAGGCATTCTCGTCTTTTGCAATTTGTAAAAATTATTTTATTTCCCTTCTTTTATTTACCAAATTTTGCAGAATGAAAAAGCACGAACACGTTCAACCCCACAAGAAACAACAACTGAAAATGCCAAAACTAGAACACAAACAACACCAATAAATTCAAATGAACCAAAGAAAACAACAACAACACATCCAACAGATGTTTTGGATTATTATGACATGTTTGTAAATTTCCCCTTAATATTCTTTAACTTTTCTAATTTTTTTATGTATGACGAAAATTTTGACAAATCCAAACATCAAGGAAGTGGAGGACTTTTAGATGGAGTAACTGATTTTATTCAAAGCCTACAAGATGGATTAACACTTGCACAAGCGGCATTTCCAGCTAAAATTAATATGGAACGAAGTGATGGAAATGGGAGAAAAGGATTTCAACTTCGAATTGCAGTAACCAATCCACCAAATACTGTGGATTTGAGGAATAGAAAAGAAACAGAACTAGCCTTTTCGAAAGATGAAGCTTCTTCTTCTTCAAATGAAAGAGATGATAGTAAAAGATGGGATGATCGTCATAATATTGGATCTTTTGTTCAACAGAGTGATAGCCCAGTACCACAAAAGAAAATTATTCCAAAAAGGCCAGAAGCAACCAAAAGGGAATCAGTAAACACAATTGAGTCAATGTTGCAAATGATTGGTTTATGCCAGGGACATCCTGAATTATAAAAAAATTTAATTGGTACTATATGTAGTGATTAGTATCAGGTTTCGAAAAGTTTCCGAAAATATTCAGCGGAAAAATTTATTTTGATCGATTATTTGTGAAATTATTTTATGGAACCCTATACAACCCTGATACATTGAAGATTCTATTTAATATTTTTTGTTAATAGTGTAAAATAATATTTTAATTTTCTAAATTTGTGATTCTAAAATTTAAAAAAAACCTTATTAAATCATGTAAAATGAGAATAGGCTACATAACACTCGCATGAAAGAGATACATCAATAAGTAATCAAAAAACGCATGTATCAAATGCCAAATCAGCTATTAGAGGGCCAAAGTGCCTGCGCTTCTTTCCTCTTCACTCTTAAGAATTAATTTTTAAAAATGATAAATTCCCATAAAATCGTCATTCATTTATTTTTAATTTATTTTTCATTAATTTTATTTGGTATTTATTGCCAAAATCGTATAATGAATGGCCGACTTTATGCTAATTATGAACCTTGTCCTTTTCCAAAAGTTGAGATTACAAATAGCACTGATCCGTTTGTTGCTCCAGAACAAAACGTACAAGAAGACAAACCATCAGAAACTGAAGGAAAGTTTGTTTTAGAAGTGCCTCAAGGTACAGGAAATATTACAATTGAAGCGGTAAGTCTAATTTACAATTCTAAAATGTTAAAGAAATATTTTTTAAAGGAATGCCCATCAAAAGAGACAGGAAACGAGGGGACAATGATTAAATCAAATTATGTTATAGAATTAGCAAAAGTTGAATGGGAAGGGGCTAATGAACTATTACTATTTAATGATGTTGATCTTTTAGCATTTGGATACCCAGAACAACCTATTGGTATTGCCTAAAGAGTGTGCCCTTATGTTCATGATGAACCTTGTTTCATTCCATTTCGTACAAAACCTAAGAGAATCCCAAAAACAGAAGTTGAAAAGATAAAATTAGTTTATAATTTAAAAATTTCATAGTCTATGAGCTTCTAATTTATAAGTTTGTTAATCTTTATTTACTTATTTTCCTTTTCTGTAAAAACCTGTTCTCTCAAATTTTCATCCATCAAATCATAAATACCACATACCAAATTAGCTGGCATTGATTTGTCTAAAAAATTTTAATTTTATAAAAATCGATAAAAACCTATTTGTTTTGGATAAGGTAAATTTAATGAATTCATAATCTGTACAAATTCGTCCTCAGATTTGCTTAGACGTGGATTGAATTTTTTCTCTTCCCAAACAGTGGTGACCATTCTACCCGTATAATCTAAAAATAAAAAATGTCTAGACACAAAAACATGTTTAAATTAACCATGAGCAGGGAACAATAAATAATCAGAAGGAAGACTTAAAATTTGTTTATGCACCGAATTATAAAGTGTATGAGGATTGCCTTGTTGAAAATCTGTTCTTCCACATCCTCTAATTAAAAGGGCATCGCCTGTAAAAGCCATTCTAAAAAATAAACAAATAGTTGACTATTACAATTATAACCTGTGCTTGTGAAAAACATAAGTGAGGCAACCTAGAAAAATTTTGACATAAAAATAGGAACAAAATAAAAACCATTTGTGTGTCCAGGCGTTTCTCTAACTTCAAGTTCGTTATTCTCACCCCATTTAATCACGTCATATTGCTTGACCATAACATCAACTAGTAAATAAAATATATAGAAAAGATATTTAAGTTACCTGCCTTAGCTCCAGCATTAGCAGAAATGACAGATTTCATTTTAGGAAAACCATTTACAGAACGTTTAATTTGTCCAGTCCCAGTAACATGATCAGCATGAATGTGAGTATTTAGTCCATAAACCAAATTTAGTCCAAGTTCCCGAATTAGCTTAAAAAGTAAAATTTCAATTTTTTCTTTCTTTAATACCTTCAAGTCTCTGTTGGTAGTCTCAAGTACTGGATCAATTATTAATGCTTGCTTTGTAGAATTACAGCCCAATATATATGTAAATGTGCAAGAAATTGATTCAAAAAGCTGAAAAATTATACATTAAACAAGAGAAAAATAACGAATTAACCTGCCGAAATATCAGATTTGACGACATTAGTTGTGCAAATTAATTAAAAAAGAAAAACCAAAATCTTGATAAAACCTGAAGAAAAAAACAAAATATCGTTAAATGATAATTAGATATTTAGAAAATTAGATATTTGAATTTTGAGATTTTCAATTTGATATTACGAAAATCGGTATTATGAAAAGGAAATTTGAGACGAAGAATGAGAAATAGTTCAGTGACCGTCTCACCTGTCTAGACAATGAAAGGAAGTTGACAGGGAAATTGACGAGTTGGTTAAGAAGAAAATCATTATTGATAAAATTTTGACAAGGAAATGAAATTAATATCTTGCTTTTCACATTTCTAACGATTTATTAATTTTTTTTTGATTTTTAGAGGGCATTTTTATCTTAAATAACAATTTAAGTTTTTACATTTATGGATAAAAGAAAGAAAAAGGACAGGATATCAAAGGTTTGTTTTTTTAATAATTCTGAAATATATAATTTTCTTATTTAGAAAGGTTCTTCTAATGAAAATCCTGACAAACTTACAAAGGAAGAGGATGCGGTTAGGGGACTTTTAAATTAAATCTTTGAACTTTTTTTCCTTTTTTAACAGATTGCTCGTTGTGTACGATTTAATTGTCCTACTAATACAACAATGTTTGAAGGAAATGAAGTTCATTATTTTGTTGGTAGGTTGTTTAAAACAAACTTTTCAAAAACCTCCTTAATTTTTCAAGCCAAAAAAGCTGTTGATACACTAGTTGAATCCAAAAAATATGGTGCTGGATCAAAATCCAAAAAATTTCCCGATGCTAAGACAGCCGAATATTTTTTACAATCATTATTGGAAAGAGGACTTTTCTTTAGAGCAAAGAAAACTGTTTTAAAGAAAAAAGAAAAAGAAGTAACGGAATCATCAAAGAAAAGCCAACAAGATGGAGGAAACAAATCACCAAAAATTGATAAAAAAGTAAAGGAAAAAGTAGAAGAAAATGAAGAAAAAGAAGAAAAGAATGATGGAGGAAATAAAGAACAGGTTATTACTAATTTGGGGGATAAATATCCAGCATTAAGACCCAGCTCTAGTGTTAACATAAGTATCCATTTATGTATTTTAGAACCTATTGTGTGCTATTGTGAGTGTATCATAACTCTGGGTGAGTGAGGTCTTTATATCCCCTACAATCATCCAAATCCATCGATATCCTCTTAATCTCCAAAGCGTACGGTATTCCCTTTCAAAAGTTGTTGGTCTTCAGGGTTGACCCCCTTGATTAAAAAATCTATTTTTTTAAAAAGGAAGAAGACAAGAAAAGAAAGAAAAAGATTAAATTAACTTTTAATGATTTACAAACATTTGATGTTGAAACAAATGATGTTTATGTTTGGGTTTTTGATCCAACACCTTTTTGGAAACAATGTGTTGGAGTTTTAATTGTTCTTGGAACTATTGGTGGTTGCCTTTTCCCGTTATGGTTTGATTTTGTAATTAATTTCAAAAAAATTCTTTAAAATTTTTAAGGCCAGATTGGCTTCGTTTAGGTGTTTATTATCTTTCTCTCACTGGAATAATTCTTTTTGGAATTTTCCTTGGATTTGCTTTAGGTTTCTATTTTATTGGTTCTTTTTTTATAAAAATTCATTTTAGTTAGAACTATATTATTTGGTATAATCTGTGTTTGCAGTCTTGGTATTTTTTATATTTAATAGATCTGGATTCAGACCTTAATTTTCCCTTGACCTTGATTTTTCTCATTGACTCAAGGTCAAGAATCTGGTCAGGTCCTCAACCAAAATCAAGGTCAAGGTTTTATTTAATTTCCAATATCTAATATTTAACCATTAATGTTAAATACAAAAAATTGTAGGTCGGCATTATTTATGGATTCTACCAAATTTGCTGGAGGTTTTATCTTTTATCCTCTGCCTTAAAAATGAAATTTTTTAGGAATGTGGTTTCTTCGAGAGTTTCCAACCATTTTACACTTACGTAATTTTAAAAAAATAAATTTAAAACCTTTGGATAAATTAAATTTAGGAATACGTTCCGGGTGGATTTTTTGGCCCAAAAACGGAAACAAAAAAGAAAGATGGTGCTAATAAAAAGAAAAAAACGAATGATGATAATGATGAAATTTCTGAAGAGAAGAAACCACTCCTCGAACCCAAAGGTTAAAATAAGATTAATTTAAAAAATATTTTTTTTATTGAAGTTGAACCTGCTGACGGAGAGCCAGTTGAAGCAATAAAAGAAAATGTTCATGAGCAAAAGCAGGATCCTGATGATGAAAAGAGTGTTGAAGAGGAAGAAGAAGATAAAGAAGAATCAGTTACAGATGAAAGCACCAGTTGGGATAAACTTTCTGAAAATAGCCAAAGATCTGAAGAAAATGGGGAGCTACAAAAAAGTGATTAAAAGTATATTAAAAATTTAAATTTTATATAAATATGTGTTGATGGTTATTCCATAATTTTTTTTTAATTTTCGGGATAGGGAAAAAGTTATGTTTTAAAAGCTAAAAATTCTAGTAAAAATTTTTTTTCACTTATATTTTCGGTACTTTTTTTCTTATGTATTTTTTCTTTTAATCTCCCTTTTTTCAAAAAAAAAAACAAGAATGCATTATATAATATATAAATACATGTGTAATAATATACTCGTTTTTTTACATTTTTATGTTTTTCATTCAAAATAGAATTTTTTTTTTTTGAAAAATAAAATGTTGTAGATTTGGTGAACCAGTATTTTTATTTTTTGATAATATGCTCTAAATTTAATTTGTAAAAAAACTTTTAAATATTTTGAAGCCTTCGTTGTGTTTCTAAAGAGGAAACAAGTGATTCTGCTTCTTGTATTGCTTCATCAACAATAGAATTGGCCATATTTTCAACTGATGGTAAATTGGAAGAAAAATTTTGATTTTCAACAGCAGTACTTGTGGTTGAACTTTCATTTGTTTGCTCCAAATTATTTTCAAAATTATTTGTAGATGTTGGAATATCTTGATTATTTGGTTCATTTGAAGCCTTAAAAATTAAATTGAAAAAATTTTAAAAAAATTACAATATTTTCCAAAATTTCCACTGCTCCTCTAATAGTAGTAGACACATCATTGCTTGGCCTATTTTCAATATTTGTATTCCTTAAAGTATTTCCATTTTGTGAAGTTATTCTAGCCGTTCGATTTTCATTCACTTGTCTAATTCTAACCAAATCAACATTTCCATCTCCATTCTAATTTTTTAAATTAAAAATTTTATGTAAAGCAAAATTAAAAAAACCTCAGTATTTATTCGTCTAACTGCATTAATTAAGCGTTCTTGATATATAATATATGGAAGTTCGTAATGATGGAAGAAATAAACCATCGAATGCTACAAGAAAAAAGATTAAAGTGATCATTTATTATTAAAAAAACCAGAGTAAATGCAGCTGAAGTTAACAAAGCTAAACTGCTATAGACACCTTTATAGGTATTTAAAAAAATTTCTGAAAACAATTTACCATTGTAGTGATATTGATAAGCATAAAAAGCAAAATGGTAGAGGTAGAAAAATCTGTAAAAAATTAAATTTAAAACCACTCAAAAAATAATCAAAAAACCTCAACCAATAACGCCTCCCAATTGAACTATGGCAAAATATTGCATCATATTGATCAGCCATCCAAACAACTTTAAAATTTATAATATAATTTTTAGAGAGATCGAGATTTTTTAAGGAACTTGAACAGATTCTTGACCTTGAATCAAAAAGAAACCAAGGTCAAGAAAAAATTAAGGAACTCTGAAAATACCTCGCCGGATCCAGAAAGAATCAAGGTCTGAATCCAGCTCGATCTCTAATAATTTTAAAATATCTTTTCTTTCTTACATAAAATAACATAAAAAGCAGTTGTTGTATCATTAAATATTTCACTCATTATTGCTTCCATTCCTTAAAATTAAAATTTTTATTCATAAAATGACAAAAAAACAAACCAACTAACGCCAAAATAACAGTTAAAAGAGGAGCAATGGGGAAAATTAAAGGTTGATTTTGTTCAAACATTTGAAATAAATCAACAATAAAAACAAAGATTTGATCATGACTAAATCGAAGAAGCATTGAAATTGCAAATGTCTTTTTGAAAAAATTTTTGAAATAAAAAAATTTATTTACTCACGAAAATAAGCATAACAAACAATGCTGTCAAATATCTACTAGCAGAAGTTTCTCCAACATTAACAAAATGATAAAGTTCTCCATTAATTAAGTCTCGTAAATAACCTAAAAACATAAAAAATTTTTTAGGTAATTTCAATTTTGTATCCACCCAGCCCTTTCTTCCCATCTTCAAATAACTAAAAATGGTTTTATTTCATTATTAGGAAGTTTGACCATTTTTAGAACTTTGAGAAAAGGGAGATAATTGAATACTATTAACAAAAAAAAAACCTCTCTCTGTTTGATTTTCAGAAAGTTGTTTTACTGAAGACATAACCAATTCATCTATTCCAATTAATAACCGCATTAAAGGTTTATCTCTCCAATCTTTCAAACATTTATCTTTTCGAATATCAAGCTTAAATTTTTATAATTTACAAAAAATACAGGTTAATCCAAACCTGTACATCCATAATATTAACTCCCAATTCTTGGCGCATTTCCGAATTTAAACGTAAAAGTCCATAATGAAGAGAAAATTCAAATAAATTCTTTAAAAATTTAACTTAATTTACAAAAAAATTTTGAAGCTTGAATTACTTACGCTATAAATAGGAAAATATTCATTTGAACTTGAATCTAAAAATAATTTTCAAATAAAATTAAATAATTGGAAAAACCTTCAAAATTTCCATTCTCATCTTTTTCATGTTGAACATCAGTTTTAGAAAAAATAAAATCTTTGAAAAAAAAATAAAAAGTTAAAAATATAAAAACCTTCATCAAAAATTTGTTGAAATTTTCGAAATTTATCCATCACCCAATAAAAATAATCTACCATAAATGGAAATAAAAATTTTCTTGGACGTTTAACACGATCAGGTTGTGAAGTAATAAGTAAATTTTTTGGATCAACAGTTTTGAACGGATTTTTTAATTCAGAAGGTAAACCATATCCTTTTAAAACTTCAGCAGGATTCAAAAAACACGTATAGAAATCTTTAAAAAAAATTTTTTATTCAAAAAGAGATATAAGAAAACAAACCTTCGTCAAATCGACAAACACCAGAAGATTGTTCTTTAAAATTATTTTTAAAAATTAAAAAAAGTATTTTAAAAAATATACCTTCTTTATCAATAGTTCTTAACATATAATTTTTAAACTTTGGCAAATTATCGTGAACAATCTTAAATGAAAGAAAGTTTTATTTTTATTGGTCCTATGGACTCATTCAAAATAAAAAAATCAAACCTCAATCCTTACAATTCCCTTCATTGGCCACGTTTGTTTTATTTCATTTAAACAATTTGCAGGATAATGTGCAGCAAGAAAATGAGTATAAATTAAAATTGATAGGAAAACTAGAGCCTAAAATATAAAAATTATTTAAAAATATCATTTTAAAAAATTACATTAAATAAAGTAAGAAATTCAAAAATTTTTCGAAAAAGAGGAGGAAAATTTGTGTAGTAAGGAAGTGAAAGGCGGACCTAAAATAAATTAAAAAATTTTTAATTTTAAAAAATTTCATAAAAATAAAAACAAACCAGCATTGCATGGAATAATCGATCTCTAACAACACCAAATCTTGGATTTGCATCACCAACATGATTACCAATATCATTAACAGAAACACGTTGATGTTCTATATAAAATGTTGTGCTGAAAAAATTGGCAAAAATTATAAAAAGAAAAAATAGCAAAAAATAAACTTTGTAGCATTTGTACTTTCATTTGGTTGTTGAGTTGCTTCAGTCATTTTTCTGTATTTATTCAAAGTAAAATAAAATCTTAAACAGAAGAAAAATATTATTTGCTAGAATTCTTATCAATCAAAAGTTGATAATCAAAGAGATTTAAGCCTGGACACAAATGGTCCCTTATGGTCAAAGCCTGTTCAGCGTGGTCAATTCTAAGTTGGACGTTCCAGCGACAACAATTCAGGGTGTTACAAAAAGACTCAGATGGTCCATATCAGCAAAGCCTGCTCAAAGCAGCTGATTCCGTGCCTGATTCTCACACTGACATGCATGAATTTAGCGACCCAAACTCCTACAACCCAAACTCAGTACAAGAAATTCAAGTAAATGTTAGAACTTCAACTACTAAAGCCTAACTAAAATTAAAAAAAAAAAGATTTTAAAAAGTATTAACAAAGTTATGATACAAAAACATAAAAAATCTTAGGAATATTCTTATAGTGCACAAATATTTTTTTAATTTAATTTTTTAAATTTTCTTTAAATTCTGATATTTTTCCTTCTCTCGATCCTTTCGAATCTTCCTTTAAAAATTAAAAAAGATTTTTGAATTAAAAAAATTTTTTTCCCAACCATTTTAATTTCCTCAGGTAAAAGGCACATTTCTTCCAAAGAATTAATTAATCTTTTAACTTCCCTAAGTTTTTCATCAAGTAATCTTTTTTCACTACAAAGTTTTAACAATTGTTCTTTACAAAATAGCCATTCTTGTAAAGCTTCAACATCCCCTCCAAATTCATAGGCAATTTCTGCATCTAATTGTTTTTCTCTTTTGTTCAAATATTTTTGTATTGATTGTAAATCGTTGATCCTTAAAAAAACAGAAAAATTAAATTTTTTAGAAAATTTTTTTTAACTAAACTGTTCTTGTAGTCGTTGATTCCACTCTTCTTTTTCATTCATTTCAATTTCATTTATTTTTGAAATACCATTTTTCCGTTTAATCCTTGATGGTTGTTCAACCAATTGTTTTTGTTGACAATTTAATAAAATATCCAAATCTGCTATTCTTTCAATTTCTTCACAAAAAGTTTGAAGACGATCAATTAATAATTCATTATTATTTGTTTTATTAGATTGTTGAATTCTTTCAAACAAAGAAACAATTAATTGTTTTATTTCATCCAAATCACGTAATAACAATTCTTTATCTTGTTCTCGATCAGTTGCTTTTCTTGCCAGAGATTCTATTGACTAGTAAAAAAATTATTATGAAAATGAGATCAACCCAGATGTTACATAACTCCCTATTGACCCGAAAGGTCAACTCCAAATGTGCGTATTAAGGATTTGTACGGATTAAAGAGTTGTGGGTATTAAAGGAAATAAGACAAAAATTCTCTCGTGAAATTATCAGATACGGATCAGAAAAAATCAACAAAAACCTAGACCCCTTAATTTAAAAAAATATACTTGAATTCGACGTTTTTCCAATTCCCTAAGTTGTTCAATAGAATGCTTTTCTGGATTTTCAATAGCAAAATACAAACTATTTTGTAAGGAAGCTAAAGAAGGTGAACTACTTAAAGAAGATGATGTTGATGAAGAAATTGTTGTTGTTTGTGAAGATGGTGGAGATGAAAAATATTGAAAAGAATTTATTAAAGGTTGGTTGCTGTCTGTTGAAGTTTTTAAATTTTCATTTTTATAATTTTGTGTTGTTATTAATTGCTTCATTGGAGGAGGAAACTGAGAAAATTGTTGTGAATTATTGTTAGGTGCTAGTGAAGAATTTTCTGTAAATTTATCATTATTTTGCTGTTGTTGTTGACCTTGATTAATTGATTTTGAATGTTTTGACATTGATAATTGTGTTGCCAATAAAGATTGTTTTTTAGGTGGCAATGGTGGAGGATTTAATAATAAAGGCTTTGGAGATGTTGAAGAATTTAATAGATCAGAAATTAAACTTGCAGATGAATGATGCCTAGGTGGGATAGGCAATGGATGAACCTTTAAAAAAATTTTCTAAAATTTAAAAAAAAAATAAAATTTTTTATAAACCTGAACAATTGGTTTTCTAAAAGCAAAAGTATTTAGTGTAGTTGGTTGTTGTTGTTGCTCCAATTGAAAGGATTGAAGAGTTAATGGCGATGACATTTTATCAATAGAACAACCACCAGTATTATTATTATTTCCTCCTGCCTTCCAAGAACCTTCAAAGGAATGTAAATTTGAAAATTGTTGTTGTTGAGGGGAGCGAGTGATTGATTCAAGCCTGAAAAAAATTCTTCGGTTAAAAAATTTTTATTTTAAAAAATTTTAAAAATTAATAAAAAATTTCTATACTTATTCATCCGATCAATAAGCTGTCCAGCTGAAAGCCTTTCCAATTCATCACTGCTAAAATTAGTAGTTGATGATGTTATTGTTGTAGCCTCTCCTCTATTATTACCATTATCACCTCCCAATAAAGAATGGTAGCCATTTTCATTAATTAAATTTCTGTAAGCCATTTGTTTTAAATTATTGTTAACAACAGGTTCTGTATTTCCTCCCCCTCCTACATTTCCTCCCTTATTTACAACATTCTGTGACATTCCTCCACTTTGTTGTTGAAATTGTTGTTGGGCTCTATAATAAAAAATAAAATTTTAAAAAAATTGTTTGCCCACTTTTGTCGAATTTTTCTTTGCGCTCCTGAAGGACTTCGATGTAAAAAAATATTGTTATTAGACTGTTGTTGTTGCTGTAAAATTAAAGAAGTGTTTTGATGTTCAATAGATTTATTCTCATTGTTAGTCAGACTAGTAGTCATTGAAAGAAAATTATGATTACGATGAGGAAGAGAATGAATACAAATGGAAGATGATGAAGAAGAATTATTTGGTGGATGCTGCTGAGAAAAAAAATTTTTTTATTTTTGGGAAAATATATTTAAAAAAATCAATTTATTTTTGTAAAAGGAAGAATTTTTAAAGAAAAATGTGAATGGAAAATAAATATGAAGAAAATTGGGGGGTTTATTTTTGGGTAAGAAAAGAAAGCAAAATAACGATTAGAGAAAAAAGGTGAATCATCCCCCCAGTAACTATCGGAAAATAACAAAATTCTTTCTTCACAATATTTCACCAATTCCATGTTTTACCAATAAGGGTAAAATCCACGTTTTGCCAAAAACTTATTGTCAGAGTAAGGGTTTTTAGCCACATTGGCAAAACGATGAATGGTGAAATATGGGGAGCAATATAGAAAAATTAATAGAATATATTCAAGGTCATTTTATTGGCAATAGAAAAATTCAAACTGAATTTTTAATTAAAAGGAAAAGTAATTAATTAATTTTAATTTAAAGATAAAAATCTTTTTTTTAAATCACAAGTGCAAACAAATGTGAATGCTTTTTTAAAATAAAACTGACAGCAAAAAGGGATCGCCAACAAAAAATTTTTTGAATAAAAGAATTTTTCCCTTTTTTTACTGTCCATTTTTGTTGGCCGAGTAGCCAAGAGGACAGATTTATATATTAAAAATATTGACGGCTGGCGCGCAAAATAATAATAATATATAAAATGAAGGTAGGGGGACAACAACAAAGAAGAAAAATAGATGAGGAAGAATTGAAAGAGAAAGATTTATTTGGAAGAGGATAAAAATAAAAAGGGATTGACAGAAGAAAAGGCCGTGAAGCTGACACAAAATATTCAAAAAAGAGGAAGAAAATGATTAAGAACCCCCCCTCCCCCTTTCCCAATTTTAAAAATAAATTAATTTAAAAAAAGAATAACCTTTTGTTGTTGTGTAAAATATTTAAATTCTTCAACATTTGTAGGAAATTTTGAAATTGAAGTTGCAGGCAAAACTAAAAATTAAAAAATTTTTTTAATTTTAAAATTTTTAAAAATAAACCTTCATTTAAATTAGATAAATTAATTCCTTCTCTATTATTCCAATTCCCAAATTTAAGGTTAACCAATCTGTCTTTACCAGTAATTGTATCATTCCGATAATTATTCATTTAAGAAGCATTTATTTTTTGTTTATAATTTCCAAAGAAAAAATTTTTTGTAACATCATTTTTGTTGCTAAAATCTGTGCAAAAGTGAAAAAAAAAAGAATTAGAGGAGAACGAGGCGCTGTTGTGGACAAACATTAAAAAAAAGTACAAAAGAGAACAAGTAAAAAAAACAACAAAATCGCCTGGTCCAAAGCTTTTGTAATCTTTCAATAAAATGAGCGACTGGCTGCTAATTCTTTTTTTTTTAAATTGAGAAGGTAAAGAATATAAAAAGGTAAGGAAAAGCTTAAAAAGAATTAATTCCTTCCCTTCCTTTCTTCTAAAAATATTTTTATTTATTTATTTCCACAGCAACGATGACCAACACAACAAATGGCCATTTAGTAGAATAAAACTCAAAATTATTTACTAGGTTAAAGAAAGGAGAGAAAAGGAAAAAGAAAATTGAAACAAACCTATATAACAATTATAAAAGGTCGAAAAACCAAGTGTCTGTCAACAATTGAGAAGAATTTTTAAAAGAATAAAAAAAGAAAAAAAATTTTTCCTTTTTAAAAATCAGTCGGTCACACACACAAAATATATTTTCTTCTCTTTACAAGTGCAAAAGCTCATAAAAATTATTTTTTCCTTTCTTAAAAATATATTATTTCCTGTAACACATGCCCTAAATAAAAATTTATAATTTATTTTCTCTATTAATTTTGGTTCCTATTCTAAAATTCAAAAAAATAGAAAACAACCAAAATTCACTCCTCTCAAGTCTTTCCCCCTTCTCTCTTTCCTTAATAAGATTTAACAAAAGTAGAGCTAATTTTCCTCTCTTTCTTAAAATCCTTCTCACCGGTCACAATAAAACACTTAAAAACGTTCACCCACTTAACTTTTTACACTTTTAAAAATATTTTTAAATTTACGCCTAATATAAATTAATAAAAAAATAAAATACTAATGCAAAAAATGAAGTTAGGTCATTTCATAAAGTTTTTCTATATTCTGTCCACCAATCTTTAACACGTCCATCCCATTCTGAATCAATTAGAACTTGCTAAAAAATAAATTTATTTAAATTTATTTATATTTAATTTTATTTATACCCTTGAAATATTGCAATACCAAAATGCAAATTTATTTTCAAGTGAAAAATCACGAAATGCAACAAATTCGGCTTCTAAAAAATTTTTTGGAAATTTTTTTCTGGAAAAAGTTTTAACCTGAATCAAAAGCTGAATATAGAGTACCTTAAATAATTTATATCAATTTTAAAAATTTAGTTTTTCCGAACCTTCCGCACATGTAAACCTTCGTCTCTCTTGTTCCCATAAGTAAATCTATAGAAAAAATTTACTTTAAAACATGTCAAGAAATATAAACCTGATCAGTAATTGTTACAGGAATCAATGAGGTTGACGACTAAAAAACTAAAAAAGTTTGAAAAAATAATAAAAAAGAAACCGTAGGAATAGAGGACGAATGTTGTTGCTGCATTTGTGGATGCGAATTTGATCGTAAATATTGACAGATTTGACGTGCTGTTATACCCGTCTAAAAAAGAAAGAAAATAAAGAGTAAGAAAGCTGATAATAAGAAAGTTAACAAACCTGTAAAGCCCGTCTAATTGAATCTCTGCTGAGTAAACCTAAAACAGATTTTAAAGAATATTTTTTCAAATAAATAAAATTCACACCAATAGAAACATTTGGAAATCGATAAATAATTTCAGCAAATGTTGAAATTATTGCCAATTGAAGTGTTGAGTTTGTATAAGCATAAATACTGGAAAGAAAAACTTTAAAAATAAAAAAAAAATTTCCACAAACCGATAATTTGTTTCAACAATAAGAAATCCATTTTTGTTTAGCCCTTCTCCTTTATTCTCCATTGAATTTTCCACAATTTCTCCTCCATTTCCAATTTCTCTAGTTATTTCAACAAATAAAGGGGTTAATAAAAACCATCTTAAAAAGAATTTTTTTCAAAAAAAAATTATTAAAAAATACCCATCCTTTCTTTTTCGAATGAATATAAGGCCAATTTCCCTAAGTGTCATTAAAAATGCTTGAATATTTTCTGGCCATGTTTGATCGAGAACTTGAGGGCTAATTTTCCCTTTAAATTTGTTAAAATTATTTTAAAAAATAAATTAAAAAAAACCTTCATTTGGTTGAATACAAATAGTTAGTCTTAAAAAGAATTCAATTAAAGGAAATATTGGCTCATTCTTTGAAGATAAAAAACGAAAATAATGAATTAAATAAGTCCAAATTTGTTCACTTCTACTCATTAAAAGAAATTGAAATCCAGATGAAGAAATTTCTGGTTCTCTTGTGCCTATATAAAAAATTGTTGTTAAAAGACTTACAAGGGAATCTTTCGAGATTAAAGTCAAAACTTTGTACTTTTTTTTCATACCATTGGGTGATCATCGATCTACTCAAGAAAATTTTTTGGCTTTTTCGTTAGGAATACGAAACTAAAAAGTTATGGAGCTTCAAAGTTGTGCAAAAATGGGGAGAACCCAAGAGATGGTAATCGATGATATTCTATCGATTGGTACCAAAAAAGCATAAAGTTTTGACACGCAGTTCGGGGGGTTCCTTTATAAAAAAATAAAAACAAAAAAACAAACTTCCTTTGATTAATCCAATAAAATGAAAAAGTGAACGTGTTGTTTCTGAAACACTTTTATCAGGTGTTTCATTAGGAAGAGCCAAATAACATAAAATTGATTCCCATCTCGAAATACTTTTTCCAAGTAAATCTTTATTTGCTGATTTTTGTGATTTATCATCTAAAGGGTGAGAAGATAATCCTGACAATTTATTTAGACTAGTTAAAAGGCTTGCAATATAATTCATTCGAAAATCTAACTGAAAAAAAGAAAAATTTTGTAAAAACCTCTAAAAATTCCCTACATTTAATCTCAAATTTTCATGTTCCAAATCACCTTCTAAAATACCCAATTTTTTAAGGAGTTGTAAAGAATTAATAGCTTGTTTCCACATTTTTTCATTGCCAGAAAACCAATCCCTAAAATACAAAAAAAAATTTAAAAAGAAAAAAAAAACTTTAAAAATTATTTACTTGCTTTTTATAAACATTAATTGTATCAAACACTGTTGAACATCAAAAGGTAACATTCTCATAATAGCAATAACACAATGCTGCGATTCATATAATTCTATAAAATAAAATTTAGAAAAAAATTATTCTAAGGTTCACAAACGTTGAATAAGATCTTCTCCTTGAGTAGACAAAAATTCCAAAAATGGTCTATCATTAAATACTGATTCAGTCATCACCAGAAAAATATTATATATTGGCAAATAAAGGGGTAATAGTTTGGCTGACCCTCCCATTTTTCCTAGTTCCCTGACCATTTTGAGCTTTTTTGCCCGATATATAATTTGCCATAAAGAGAGAAAAAATAGGGGAAAATAGAAAGAAAAATAGGGGGGGGGGAAGTCAGCCAAACAATTACCCAAAATAAAAGTAAGAAAAAAATATAAAATAAATATAAAATCTTTTTTAAAAGATTAATATAAAATAGAAAAAAGAAAAACATTTAAACTTTTATTAACTTTTTTTAAAGTATTTTTTTTAACTTTTTTGTTTTTACGAAGTTACAGAGAGAATTGGGAAGGAGAGAGAGAGGGAAGGAAAAGTTATAATAATAATAATAATTTTAGATCAAAATCACGAGAATATAGAAGAACCACCAACTATTCCACTACTACTATTACTATTATTAGTACCATCTGCTGTTGTTTTTTGTATTGAAGACATTGACAAAGGGATTGTATTTGTTGTTGATATTAAATGCGGATGTTGTTGGTTTTGATGTTGCTGTTGCTGCTGTAGTTGATGCGGTTGTTGTAGTGATGACTGTTGTTGTTGAGAATTATTGTGTTGTTGTTGAAATGGAACAGCTGGTTTTCCTTCCAAATCTTTATATTCTAAAATCATTTCTCTTGGTACCTTAAAAAAATTATTATTTAAAAATTTTTTTGAATTTTTTTATTAAAATTATACCCTTCTCCATTGTATTGGATCAAAAGCATTATATTGACATCTTTCATATGTTCCACCAATTTCACGTGGTGGAGCTGAAAATGCTGCCCTTTGTAGCCAAAAACGTTCAATTTTGTGAAACCGCCAGTCACGCGCATATCTAAATAAAAATTAAATAAAAATGTTCAGCCCCCTCATCCCAAGCAGGTATATTTCGGGTTACACAAAACCAGGACTTATTATAGGTTACACAAAACCAGGACTTACAATTCAGAAGCAGCAGCAACTTGATAAACTTCGCCAGGGCAGTTATAAAAGAGGTAGAAAAGAACATCCTCATGAAGTTTATTTAATTTAATATTTGGTAATTTATCCCTAATTGTAGCATTTGTCAAATATTCTTCTGGTACTTTTGCATCCAAGTCCTGAATTCTACAAGGAAAGTCCGCCCATGGACCACCAAATGTTTGAAATAAATTCCTTCTTAAAAATGAAGTTTTTGTTTCCAAAGTCAATAAAATTTTCTTACTTTGATGAGTTTAGATTTAACCCCAAATTTGTCAAGTCATGACCTAGGGCGAGTCCAACTATTGATGGCGAGCTTTCAATTGTTCTTAAAAATGTAAGCAATCCAGCCATACCAAATCTTTAAATAAAAAAATGAATAAAATTTATTTTTTATAAAATGCCCAACTGGTCATTGAGCATCCCTGGCGGAATGTTCGTAACGCGTCCTGCAAAATATTCAAGGTGAATGATTTAAATAAAAACAAATACCATCAGGATGTGTTCGTATTCCTACATTCTCAGGGGCAATTTCCGTCACATTTGGCCTTTTTTCTTTCAAGTCGTCATTCACCAATGAGGTACTCTTCTGCAAAAAGGGAAGTTACAAAGTAAATTTCAAATCAAAAAGTAATTTTCAGAAAACCTGTGGTTGTTGACTGCCATGCCCCATTGAACTCGCCAAAACAGGAAAGTCATCATCATTAAACATGAGCTTAAACCTAACTAATTGACAAATAGTAATGTTGATCGTTTTGCTTTTTAATTTGTGTGAATGCAAAATGCTATAACAAAATTAATTTTTTTTTTAAAAATTTGTGAAACGAAAAAGTAAATATTAGCAATAAATACTGAATGAAAAATAATAAAATAAAGTTGTTTAACGAAACTTTTATACTCAAAAATATATAAAAAAAATTAATTTTCTAATTAACGATTGTAGTCGAATCTTCCTTCTCCTTCAGTTTATCCAAAGTAGAATTATTGGCAACATTTTCTAATTGTCTATTTGTAGAAATTTCTTTTTCTTTATCACACGTTGAATTGGAATGTTTTTCTTCTAAAAAAATTTTTTAGATATAACTTTTAATTAAAAAATAACTTGAATCAGTTTTTTGGAGTTCTCCATTTGTTCGTTCACATATTTCAATATCATCATCATCTGAGGACGAACTACTTTCTGATTCACTAGAAGTTGACTCTGAAGTGGAAGTTTCAATGTCAAGTTGTCGAAATTCCAATGGGCCTTTATTTACATAATGTCCATGTTTTAATGTATCCATTGTTGTTGGTACCCATTCATCGTACTAAAAAATTATGTCAATTGGGTACTCTTGTGTTATCTCCCCCCATTTTATTTTTCTTCCCCTAACCTTTTTATTACTCAAAAAAATGCACATGGGTAAAATTGAATCTATGTCGTGAGTTACCCGGTTTTGAAATTAGAGATCCAATCCTATCGTTGTTGTGTGTACCAGTACTTCTATTTATAATACGTTCACAGTATTACTAGAATATTTTAAGGGAAATAAGGACCCTTTTCATCCGGAGTTACCATACACAAGCATGGTAACTCTGGATGCTGGGTACCAGAGCTGGGTACCTATCGCCATAATTTTTAAAATTATGATAATCAGATTCAATTGTGCCTTTTATTATGGCGAAAGGAAATGGTTAGAGGAAGAAAAATAAAATGGGGGGAGATAACACAAGAGTACCGTCAATTGAAAATGGGGATTAAAAAAATCTTGACATTGATTTAAAGTAAGGACCTCGATCAGATTTTTGATCTTGTGTCAAGGAAAAATCATGTCAAGATTTTCCCCCGGAGTTAGGGAAAATAGAAAGAAAACTATGAAACCCTCTTTGATCTTGACTCTGGATCCAGTAAAAAACAAGGTTGGAATCCAGATCCCTATCTATTACCTAACATCAAAGAAATAATAAAAATACAAACCGCTTCAGTATCGTCAATAAAATCATCTTCTTGCACATATCCAAGTCCTTTGTCCATCACATCTTCTGGCACAAATTTAAGAGGTTTTTTATTCTTCTTTAGTTTCTTAGATCCAGTAGTTGGAGATGAAAAGTTGAGCGTTCCAGTGCCCTTAAATTCAGCATAAAAACAATTAAAAGAAAATAAACCCAACATATTTTGCTTCAAGGCGTCGAACAATTTCCTCAGCATCCCTGTCATGAAATCCATCACAATTATTAACATCTGTTTGTTTGGAATCAAACTAAAAAATATAAAATTTAAATTAATTTTATAATTTCTCACTTACATTCAATTCTCGACAAACTTGTTCAAAATCAAAACGGGGATAATTTCTTGAAGTGGAGGGAAAAAGCTTGAAATCAATCACACGAAGACTACATTCTTTTTCGGCTGGATTTTTCTTTTTTGCAATACCAATTGATGGAAACATTGTAATTTGAATATTTAATAGGAAAAATTAAAATTTAATAAATCGATAGAGACTCGACTGTCAGATTCAGCCCCAGCACATTTCAGCGCCAAATCTTCTCAACAACGGATATGGGACTACCCGGTGCTGGAAATTAGGCGGACCGATTGGCACAACTGGATTGACAGCTGAGGCATGGCTCAAAACAATTTGACGCTTAGGCGCCTAACCCATAAGGCGCCTATGCGTCAAATAGGCGCCTTTTGGGTCAACCACTTTCAAGTAAATTTTGCGTAAAAAGCAACGCAATCTCAATTAAAAAATTTTTTTGCTAATTTTTAAACTTAAATCAACAAATCAAATTAAACATTTAAAAGATATTACAACAGAAAATTAAAAGCTAAATATATAAAAGCTCAAACAAAAACAAGAAAACCTAACAAAATTTTTCTCTAAATTTTCCTATAAATTCTTTTTAACAATAAATATAATTTAAAACCTCTCTCACTATATTATTGCCAGCCTCAAATTTTTTTGTTCATTTATTTTTATAATTCCTCCTTTTTGTTCTTCCTTTTTATTAACAACATCAACATCTTTTTTTGTTGCATACATTAAAACCATGAGTAAAGGAAGATATGCAAGTGTGTAACGAAATAAAAGACGAGCATTTCTATAAAAATTTTTCATTTTTCTTTAAAACTTTAAAAAACCTTCTTACTTTGAATCTGGTTTCGAATAAAATTTCCATCCAAGAATTAACATCCCTAAATTTAAAGGAGCAGAAATTGCAGAAAACGTCCATGTTGTAAGTTCTGTCAATGGAGCCGCCAATTGACAAAGAAAAATGAGGATAATAGAATGCCTTAAAAAATTTTTTCCCCAAAAATTTTTAAAAAACCTTAAAGTTGTTCGACGGCAAAGTCCTTCATTTGTAACACACATAATTTTATATCCAGCATTTTTATAATCTTCACGTAAATTCCAACTTAGCGCATTAAAATGTGGAAATTGCCATGAGAATAACAATCCTCCAAGTACACAAGCAGCAGCATCAAGACGGCCAGTTGCAGCTGCATAACCCATTAATGGAGGTATTGCCCCAACTATAGCACCAACCCAAGTACAGCTTAAAATTTTTTTAGAAACAGTCCTTGTTCATATCCCGCCCTAACCACTATTCGAGCCTGACAATGAGATTAATTTTCTATATTTTTCCTCAGAAGGTCAAACTCCAATAAATATCTAAAAAAGCTTTTAACCTGTGATGCATTCTTTTCATTGGAGTATACACACCAGCATATAACGCAATATTTAAAAATCCAAGGCCAGAAGTTAAATGATTACAACCTCAAATTAATTGAAAATTTTAAAAAACCTTTAAAAACAAACATAAACAAAGTATTCCAAGTCCAGCAACTGCTGTTGTACCCGCAAAAAGACAAGCATGATTTGGTGTTAAACGACCAACTGGCAAAACTCTTGACTGTGTTCCTTTCAATTTTTTTCAACTTTTAAATTAAAAAATCTTAAAAGAAAACTTCTCATTTGCCCATCAAATTGTCTTTCAATAATATTATTACAAGCACAGGCAGATGCTGAAAGTAAAGCGGTTCCCGCAACGCAAGACCCAAATAAAGCTGGAGAAACACTTGCCAAAGTAGGCGACATAACTAAACCGCCCATTGTTGTTGACGTAATTAATGCTGTTAAACGACATTTTGAAAGCTTAGAAAAAATTTTATTTTTAAAAGTTATAAAATAAAAAAAATAAACTTGTAAATAAGCACTAATTAAACTAATCCGTTGAATAGGTGATGGATGCATTTTTTTTTGGTTTGAGATCAACTAACAAAAAATATTCTGATCCTGACAAAAAATTTTAATTGAAAAGTTGACCCTATTAAAACCCTGTAAAAATGTTAGAAAAGAAATTTACTCGAAAAATCAAAATATTTTAAATATCATTAAATTAATGAAAGTTATATCTAACAATAAAACTTTAAAAAATATTTAACAAACACAAAAAAATTGAGAATTATTTATGCTTTAAAAATATATAAATTATAAATTTAGAGTTAAAAAAATAAATTAATTAAAGCACAGCATTAAAAATATCCCTACCCCTTTTAATTACGGACTTTTTTTTCCTTTTTGCGGACATAATCATTTTTTAAAAGATAAAATATAGAGAAAAATCTATAAAGTAAAAAAATTAAACCTAACTTTATTAATGTATCTCATAAAATATGCCAAATAGAAAGTTAAATTGGGGAAGAGAGGAAGCAACAGAATGTCCGAACAGAAAAGAAAAAATCAGCAAAAAAAAAAAGGTAGGGATAAAATACAACAACCAAATATATATCAGAATCCTCAAAATAAGTTTAAAAACCAGTTTAAAAAACGAAGATAAATTAACTTTTTAAAAAATATATATAGCCATGACGTATCGATTAAAAAGATTTTAAAAAATAAATTAATTAATTAAAGCACAGCATTAGAATTATTGTTGTTTAAGTGTTGCAAATTACTTTTTTAGATCGTTTTATAATTAGAAAGCATTTTAGATGTTGTTAATTAAATGAGAATTTTTGTTGATAAAAATTTTTAGTGTAGTAATTTAGTATGAAAATTTTTTTAAATTAGTTGAGTATAAAAAATAGACAAGACGAATCGATTAAAAAATTATGTTGTTTTAGTGATGTAGTTATTTTTAAGTAGTTTTAAATTTGACAAATTGACCAATTTAAACGGCGTCTATCACCTAAACAAATTTTTTAAAATTTCTATTTAAAAAATTTACAAAAACAATTACTCTAAAAATTAAAAAAAATAAACCCATTTAAAACCATTTTTGTGATACCCATGTAAAATTTAAAAATTTAATTTTCATTTTTAAATTGGTTAAGTATCTATATTAATTTTTATTTATTAATTAATTTTTATTTAAAATTTAAATTTTATTAAAATTGTTAGTTTTTTTTCAAATTTTATTTATTTTTTACCTTGTATCGAATAAACCAGAAATTACAGGTGATGGTGTAATTTTTATATTTCCTCTCTCAATTTTTAAATTGCAAATGTTACTTTTTTTATAATTTTAGTAACATTTTGTGATTTTTTTAGAATAGAAGTTTTATTATAAATTGTTGAATCAGGATATAAAGTCTTTTTCTGAGAACTAAAAAATGGTTTTAAATGGAATTAAATCCCATAAATTGGAAATAGTTTGGTTTATTCCACCCCTGTTTTCCCTATTCCCTGACCATTTTGAGCTTTTTCTCGATCTATAATTTATCATATATCATTTGAAAAAGCTCTTAGATCTGGGTCGAATGGGTTATCTGAAAAATGAGGAAATGAACCCTTGCTTGGAAAAGCTCCTTTGAATATATAATTTGCCATAAAATGATAATATAAGACGCAAAGGGATTTAGGAAAAAAGGTGTGGAATAAACCAAACTATTACCGCTAAATTTTATATTTTTCTCCAGGAATAAAAAGCCGAAAATTTTCGAAAATCTGGTGTGTCCCAAATATACCCATTTATTCGCAATAAGGTAGAATGTCTTCAAAATAGTTGAAAATTCTTGCTGATGTAATCGTCAATAAGCCAACTAACTTGATGATCTGTAATTTCAATAAACTTGGCCATATTAAGCCAGTAAGTTGTTAAATAGTAAATTCAACAAGCTTTCGAATAAATGGGTATCTGATTCATGATCTTGGACCAAATCAGTACTTTGTTTGGGAGGGATAGTATCTCACTATAAGATACCCACGCAAAAATAAAATTCAAAAGTTTACCCGTTATTTTTAGAACTCATTGACAATGCTTGAACTTGTTTCTGCATTTGTTCCATCATTTCCACCAACTTATTGATGGATTTTTTTTGTTCCTTTAGCTCTTTTTTCACTTCTTTTTCCTGTTAAATTAAATATATGTATTTAAAGAGAAGGTCTTAATAAAATATCAAATATCGTTTAGTTTAAAGTATAGAAAAAAACTCAGATAACATCAAATATCAACTCAAACCTAGTTTCAAGCAAGCGCATAGTCATGGGGGCTGACATGAGTCCCTATGATTAATAATAGAGTAAACATCAAAATTTTGGCGCACACCCAACGTAGCCCCCCCCCCCCGAAATCGAACCCCTGGCTACGACCTTGGTTTCTAGTATCACTAAATAAGACTTAAAACTTAGTGAAACAGAATAGAACAAAAAATAAAATACTGGAGAGGATGATGATGACGATGACGAAGAGTCAGCACACTTGTTTTTACGTGATTTATCATTGCCAAATTGAATAACACCACCCTTATTAATAATCACTACACCCATTTTTTGTCGTTTATATTTTTTTTCAGAAGTCTTCCTGTTGTTGTCATTCGTCGAACAACTAAAAATAAACAAAAAATTAAAAAATTCTGGAAATCATTTCAATGCGCTTTTAGAATATGGATACAAACCTAAAAAAATCAGCAATGTTCATCTCATCCTGGATATCTTCAAAAGAATCCAATTCGAGCTTTCGCTTTCTTTCATTAGAGGCCTTTATCTCCCTTGCAATTTGTTCTTCTCTAAATGAAAAAAAATATAAAATTAACTTTTAAAATTATAAAAAAAAAAATTAGAAAATTTCATTTTCAATTAAAAATTTCATACAAAAATGCTTTTTAAAAGAAACCTCAATCTATTTTGCCGAAAAGATTCCTTCATCATCTCAGTAAAATTACGTAGTTCAGAATCGTCGTTCTCACAAAACATTTTTGTTCGATAAAGTGAACTAGAAAGTGTTTTTAAGATAATATTTAGAAATTAAAAAACAAACTTGAGAGAATTTTGTGAACTTCCAAATTCACCTCTACTAAAGAACAAAAATATTTTTTTGGCTCCTTTTAATCAAAAAAATAAAAACCTGAAAGAATTATTGTGGAGGTGAGAGTTAAGTGTTTTCAAATGTTTGTCTCTCATTCTATTTCCCCAGCTGCTGGCAGACTCACCGCTAGTAAAAAAATATAAATAAATTTTTTGTTTCTTTTAATTAAAAACTTGAAATAATTTTGTTTACTGTCCCCAGAATTATTCTCGAGTTCATTCCTTATTGTGCTGCTAAAAGAATTTTCTAGTAATTCACTTCCTGAAGCTTCATATCCAGTGTTGTTATCAGACCTCATTTTTTGAGAAGCATTGATGAGTTTATTTTTATAAAAACGATCCATATTTTATGGAATGGAAATTAAAAGCGCTAGACGAAAGCCCCTGAAAAAATAACCAGAAAATGTTTAATAATAAGTAAATTTCGAATAAAATTTAGATAATAACAATTCAAAAGTTTACAAGAGAAAAATTTTTTATAATTACGAATAGTAATTATACGCTTATTTTTTAAACGATTATGGGTTTTATAGGGAAGAGAAAGGGCGGAGATGATAAAAACATATTAGAAATTATGTGCCTAGGGAAAATGTGTAAATTTGTAAAAAAATTTATGAGAATGTATGAGAAAGTAAATATATTAAAGGAATAATTTGAAATGAGCAAAATATTCAAAAATATGTATGAAGATTTTAAAATGTTAGACAACTGAAAAACTTTGATGTAGGGCCTTGTTGTAGGGGCTCATTTAAAAAAGGAGGATGGGGTGTAGTACAATCCTTGCTCTATTCCTAAAGTTAAAATATATCACTGGCTATCAAAAGTACATAACAAAAAATATCAATGACTATGAGATCTATTTAAAAATTTTAAAAACTTTTAAAAACTATTTTCTATCTTTATTCTTCTTCTTCATTATTAATATTATTCATTTTTAAATTTATTCCACATGCTTTTTCATTTTGTAATAACCACATTTCTGCATATAAGCCTTTATTTTCAAGTAATTGTTCATGACTACAAAATTTTTAAATTGATAAATTTTTGAAATTTCCCAAACCTTCCAGTCTCAACAATTTTTCCTTCTTTTAAAACCAAAATTTTGTCTGCATGAATAACTGTAGACAATCTATGTGCAACCTGGGAAGAAAATTTTTTTCAAAATTTTTGCTTTATCCTACAATTAAACATGTTCTTCTATTACACAATTCAAATAAATTTTGCTGTATTGACCTTTCAGTTTTTGAATCTAATGCTGAAGTTGCCTATATAAAAAATAAATTAAAAAAATTAAAAAAAAATAAAAAATAGAAACCTCATCCAATAAAATATATTCTGGCCTTTTAAGTACTGCTCTAGCAATAGCAACCCTTTGTTTTTCACCTCCACTTAATTTTAATCCGCGTTCACCAACCAAACATTCATAACCTTTTTTTTAAATTAAAAAAATCGTTTTTAAAAAAAATACCAACCATCAGGATGTGAAGTAATAAAATTATGAATAGCTGCAGCTTTAGCAGCTTCTTCAATTTCTTCATTTGTTGCCGTTGGCCTTCCATAACGAATATTATAACGAATTGTATCATTAAACAAAACAGTGTCTTGTGGGACAATTGCAATTCTGCTACGAAGTGAAAACAATTTTAACATTCGAATATCAGTCCCATTAAATTTTATTTGACCATCAGTTACATCATAAAGACGAAAAAGAAGACGAACAATTGTTGTTTTACCACTACCTGATGGTCCAACCTTTAAATAAATTTTTTTCAAAAATTCTCAAAAAAAAATACCAAAGCAATAGTTTGTCCAGGATCAACAGTAAAAGAAAGATTTGAAAGTACTGGCTGTCCAGTTTTATAAGCAAAAGAAACATTACAAAATTCTATACGTCCAGGAAATGCTTCCAATTCTTTTGCACCAATTGCGTCTTTAATCTTAATAAAAAAATTTTTAAGAAAAAAAATTTTTTTTAATTTTAAAAAACCTCAATATCTTGTTTTAATAATTCTCTCATATTTTCCCTTTAAAAAATAAATTTTTAAAAATAAAAAAAATTATAATACATGTCAATAAATGAACGTTGTATTGTTCTATAAATTGTTCCAAAAAAATTTAAAGGACCAAAAAGTTGAAGTAAATAAGTTGTAAATAAAACATAATCACCGGCACTTAACATTTTTCCTTCTATATTATGAGATACAATAAAATAAGCAGCTAAAAGACATCCACTTGTTAAACCAAACCCAATAATTGAATTTTGACAAAAATTTAATGCAGAAAGTGAAGCATTTGCTTTATATTCAGCTTTTTGAAAACTAAAAATGAATGTTTTATTGAACTGAATAGACCTGAAATGGACTCAAAACATACCTCCCACAATCAGGGATCTTATGGGTTATCCGAAATCCAGTCCGGCTTTTTCCTTCTTAAGCCTCCTCCTCCCACCACTAACTGAACCTATCCGAGACCCGGAATTTTTTTCAACCCAAAACTCGACACAGATAAAGTTTCGAAAACCCGACCCGTCTTTTTTCTCACCCAGCTACATCACTAATCCCCATTAATCTATAAAAACCTTTACATTTGATAAGCTTTCTTGTAACGTTGTGTTTCCAGCTCTTCTGCATTATAATGCTTAATTGTTTCATAATTAATTAGAGAATCAACACCAATCGCCCCAGCCATTTTATCACTTTCATTCATTGCTCTTCTATGACTTATTCTCCATTCAGAAATTACAACAGTAGCAACTTTAAAAGAAATTTTAAAATTAAAAAAATATTTTTCCTTTACCCAAATAAATTATCATTGTAAAAAGAACAAGAAAACCAAAATAAATGTTAAAATTTGTAAAGAAAAATATTGACGCTAAAATAATATCTAATAGAGAAGGAAGTACATTGAAAAGAACATCTTTAAAAGAAAATTTAAAAAATTATTTTTTTAAAAAAACAAACAATTTAATAAAGTATTCATTGAATCAACACCTTTTTCCATTATACGAAGAACTTCACCAGTTCTTCTAAAATTTTTTTTAATTTTATTTTGAAAAATGAATTTTTACCTGGAAAGATGCCAACTTAATGAAAGTGAATGTAAATGGCGTAATAAATCGACCTAAATGTAAAAATAAGAGATGTCACAGGTTTCACCCGATAGCAGGATTTTTTTTGAACCGAAACCCGATCCGAAAAAAATTTCGAAATGATACTGAACTCAACTTTTCTCCCTCCTCCTCCTAATTGACAGCCCCAAGCATACTTTTCCTTTATAATCCCCAAACTGACCGAACCGAGAAACAAAACCTAGAATTTTCTACCAACCCATGGCATACCTAGTAATACTTGAACAAAAAATGAAAAGATGAAAAAAACCTCAATTTCTAAAGTAGTATATTGTTGAATTCGTAACCATAAAAATGAACGTATTGTGTTTAATAACCCTCCTTGCGCTTTAAAAAATTGTAAATTAAGAAAAAATATTTAAAGTTAACCTCCACTTCCTTGTAAAAATTTAAAAATACTAGCAATTAAAATTAATTGCCAACAAAAATAAGGTTCTTTTGACGATAAAACATCAACAATCCATTTACTATATAGTGGAATTAATACGTTAATTGCTCTTCCAATTGCTAGAATAAATAAACAAGCAAATACAGTTAATTGTAGTTGAACATTTTTTCTTGGCCAAATGTAGGGCCAAATGTCAATAATCCAAGAAATTCCATTTACCCAAGCCTTTAAATTAAAAAATAAAAATTATAGGTAATCCTAAAATTACAAACCGATTCATCTTTTCTTTTTAACACTCTTCCAGTTATACATGAGAAGAAAATGAAAAATATGTTTACGACTCCAATCACATAAATTGCAAAATATGACTCGTAGACACTTGAAAAAAACAAATTTTAAAAATTAATTATTAAAATAAACCCATTAGGAAAACATATACGCCAAAATATAAAAGGTATCAAACAGATCAAAGCACATATTGAATATGAAATGTTTAATAAAATAGGCAAATCATATTTAAATCGATTAATCCATAATCGAAAACATGTAATAGACCAAAATACTGAATTTAATATACACAATAATATTGGCTGTAATGACAACCAATTTTTTATAGAAAATAAGCCAAATAATGGAAATAAAGCATTGATTAAATGGCCAAATAATACCTAAAAATATTTACTTTAAAAATCACAATCAGAGTCCAGCGAGCCCATCTCATAATTTGGCCCAAACCGAGGATGTCACGGGCTATCCAAACTATCCCCAAGAAATTTTTCAAAACCTGACCCGATCTTTCTCTCTTAACTCTTTTAATCCACTTATCGGACTCGATCCAAACTTTTTTCGACCCGACCCCGAGCTTAGAAAAAATTGGAAACCCAACCCGGGTTTTCACAGCCGGTGTCAGCCGCGGTTTTGGAATTTTTCAGCAGTTCCCAATCTTAAAATTAAGCCAAAACCCTACAAACCTATTTAAAAAAAATTTTTTAAATTCACAAACCAAATAAAAAATAGGTTTAAGATAACCAGAACGTAAAATTTGTTGACCAGGTAAAACTTCCTTCCAAAATAATATTGACGTAGAATTTGTAATAATTAGAATCAATAAGATAATCACATAAAATATAAAAATTGCACACAGATCAGGCGGCCAAAAACTTTTTGGAAAACAAAAATACATTTTGTACAAAATTTAATCACAAATTTGTTTTTAAATTTAATCTAAATAAAAACTAAAAGAAATTATTAAATAAAAAAAAATAAAAGAAAATATATTTATATACCAAGGAAAATGGTTTCCATAGATTCATTGATAATAATAAAATTATTAACAAAAATAAAGTCCTTAAAAACATCTGTAAAATGAAAATAACAAGAACATTTGTATATAATTTACCATGAAAAGGAATTTTTAGAAAAAAATATAAAAGAAAAAAAACAACTAAATAGAATAAATAATTCCACGTAAATTAACAACATTTTTAAAAAAAATATTTTTCTTTCAAATATATAAAATTTTTTATATTAATAAAATCAACAAGGGAAACGAAAGCAAAAAAAGAATAACTTTCTTTTTGTAAAAAATATTTTTAAAAAATTAAATTATATAAAAAATCTTCTCTTTTTTATTTTAAGCAAATTTAAATGTCCCCGGAACTGGTTGATTTGCATCAAAAGAATAACCACCAGATTGAGCAAGTTGTTTTGATTCAACCAAATTTTCTTCTCTTATACAAACATCAGTTAAAGCTTTTAATTCAGCAATTCTTTTTTCACCCAATTTTTGTTGATCACAAAGAGCATCAAATAACAAAGGATTATTTTGTTTCAAAACTTGAAAAAAAATTTTTTTAATAAATAAAAAATTTAATTAAAAAACCTTCAAATGTATGTTTAAAAAGGACAAAAACATTTAATCCTTGTTTATCATCTTGATCATCAATTAAAGTTGTAAAAGCCTCCAAATCATTTTCTTCCTTTATGAAAATAATTTTTTATAATTTATATTTACTCTTTGGATTTTTATTTACTTCTTTCACTAGTTTAAGCTTGGAATTATCCTTAAGATGTACATAAAGGTAGATCTTCCTTTCATCAATTTCACTTCATCATTACCCGAAGCCAATTCAAATGAAAAACATTTGTAAAAAGGTAAGTCTGACCATTATGTCATGAGGAAAACTCTACGACTCAAACGAGGGAGGGATATCCAAACAGTACCCTAATTTAATAAAAAAAGAAAACCTGAAAATGATGATAATCTTCATCATCTGTTACACTTGAAGTAGTTTCATAACCTTCAAATAATTCATCTTCAACACTTTGTTCTTCACCCATACTTTTACTAGTTGTACTTTGCCTTTTACGTCTTTTTTTGTTTTGATTATTATTTTCATTATCTACAGCTTCCAAATATTCCATATTATCTTTAAAAACAATTTTTAATTTAAAAAATTAAAAAAAATTTTCCAAACGTTCATCAACATCATCATCAGAATCTTTAAGTTCACCATTCATTCTTTCATTATTATCATCACTTGATTCTTCATCTTCATCATCTGAATCTTCTTTAATTTTATCCGCTAAACCTTTAATACAACGTTGTAAATCTTTGAAAAGATCAATTAACCAATCCATCATCTATACAAAGAAAAATTAAATCATTAAAATAATTAAAATATAAACCTTTGTTGCTTCTTGTTGAAACATTGTAGGAATTAAACCACTCGATAAAAGACGACATAAAAACCATATTAACATTTTACGGTCATGTATTCCCTCAAAATTGTCTTTATTGTCATATAATTCTTCCAAAAACCATTCAAAAGTAGTTTTTTGTGTTGAATTAATTTGAAATTGTTCAAAAATACTTGTTGATAAATTTGAATCATTATAGAACCCGGCAACCAAAACCTAAAAAATAATTTGAAAAAATTAAAAATTAATTTAAAGAACCATTAAAAGTTGTGATTTATATTGTTCTAAAGTGTGCTCGTCTTTTACTGCAATTTGAAGTTGAGTTAATACCAAACGAAGAATATGTGGCAAACAAGAATTTGGATGACCTTGACTTTGTAAAACAAAAACCTTAAACAAAATATTTTTTAAACAAAATTTTTTCAAAATTTCCAAAAACCTCAAGCATTTTTGCCGCATGCGCTTTTCCAAGTTCATCACTATCCTTATCACAAATAGTTTTTTCACACATTGATAACAACATTTGAATTTTTTCTTGTGATGACAAAAAAACTTCAGAACCAACTGTTAGAAAAGCATGTAAAACTGGCATACAATCTAAATTTAAAAAAATTTATAAATGAATTAAATATATTACCAGCAAAAAATGTTGCTCCTTCTTCATTAAAAGTCTTAAATACCAAATCATAAATTTGCCACATTTCCGGTGAAATTCTAACCGCAATTAAAGTATGGATTAAAGATAAAGCTTCCTCAAAAAAATCTAAAATAAAACAAAAAATTATAAAAATAAAAGCAAAATTACTTTCAGAATAACAATCAAAAATTGTCAAAATACAATTTCTAACGACAGGTTCAACTTTTGAAATAATTTCTGGATGATCTTCTAAAAGTCCTAAAATTGTTTCTAATGTACTCAAAATTCCCATAGCTCCAACTGAATGATCTTCAAAAATTTGTTCTTCATCGTCAGTATTTTTAACCATTTTGTTAAAAATATCAACCTACAAAAAATATTTTTTTAAATTTGAAGGGTCATGGGTTTGATACCGTTTGGCGGTCATAAATTTTTAATCGTTTTTAAATAAAAAAATTTCAAACTTTTACCAATTCAACAGTTATTTCATAAGAAACAGGAATTATTTCTTCTTCAAAATTATCAACTAAACTATCAACAATTGTAGGTAAATCATCCAAATGTGTTTCAGAAATAAGCCTCAACACAATTATTAAAACATCACGGATATGTGGACGAATAAATTGAATTACTTTAAAAAATTAAAAAAAACATTTAATTTAAAAAATATTTTTTATGTCAAACCTTTTTGATCTTGGTCATTAATTAAAGATTGAAGAGCTAAAGCAGCTTCAACTTTTACAGGCACTTCTTGGTCTTCTTTTATTGCTTTTATCAACGCATTAACAACTCTTTCCAATATAGTTGAATTCTTAAATATCGTTTCTGAAGCAAAATGAATTACATAACAAGCTCTCAATCGAACAAAACGTGACTGAAAAGAAAATAATTTGATGAGAGTAAATGGCGATAATTGTAAGGCGTTCCCAACAATGAATCCGTGTCGGTTTTGTGTCTCAATCAAAAAGACTCAGTGTCAAAACTAACATTTTATCCCAGTCTTAGAAAAACTAAACATTTCTTTCCCAATCAACTGTCTGAAAAACACGACACGGATGTCGCTGTGGAAATATAAAAAGAGTCAAACGTCTAATAAAAATAAAAAAATTTAAGTTTGGTTTACCGGATTCTCGATCCTTGGAGTCACTGAGGCATCAATTAATTTTTCAACATCCTTTTTGTATTTCTAAAAAACATTCATTTTAATAAATTAATTTTACAAACATTTAATTTATTCAATTGAGTAGAAATAACAGAAATCATATGCAAAGCACCATCAATTTGTTTTTCATTTGATGTTGGTGTCAAATTTTGCATAATAAATTCAAGTACGTTTTGCATTATACCTTGTCTTTTTGAAATTACTTGAAGTAATGTAGAAGCACCGGAAGATGGTTGATGAAGATCCTTTTAATTTTTAAAATTTTTTCTTGATTATTTTTAAAAAATTAAACCTCATAAACATCATATTTATAACGTAAAAATTCTTCACAATCTTCAGCCCAAAGCTCTTCATCTCCTTTTGAATAACATAGCAAAGGAAATATTACATTTTTGAGCAGCAACTTAAAAAAATAAAAATGGTTTTGAATGTAAGCAAAAAGCAAACAAAAACTTGACGGGTAATCATACACAACTGTTCGTCTTAACTAGAGGTAGGAAAACCAAGACCTTAACTTTCAGTGAGGACCTTGAGCAGATTTTTGACCTTGAAGTCCTGATTCTAGTTTAACCTAACCCTAGCCTCAAATATATAATTAAAAATAACCTCAAACTTTGGTTTAACAACAAGCCAAACTTGTGCTTGAATCAACGCATCAGACAAATGGACTAAAACAAGATAAAGCACATGTTCTGATATATATTTGCCATTAATATAATCATTTAGAACATTAGCCATCTGAAAATTACTTTTAAAAAAGAAAAATAATTTAAAATAAATACCAAAGATTCAACAATTGGTAACAAATAAGAACGTGAATATTCTTCAGCAAATGATAAATATGCTTTATCAACATTGCCTTTATTGCCATACCTTAATTTAAAAAAATAAATTTTACAAATAATCGAAAGAAAACAAGAAAACCTCTCAAAAACTCTCTGAACGATTTTCATTGCCCATTTTTTACATTTCCACCAAATTGTCCCGTCACGTTCATCTTCCGGAACACTTTCACATTCAGCAGGAGTTGGCTTTAGAATGATGTCAATAAAAAGTTTGAGCCATTGAGAAAATTCATTAATTGAGAGAATTTGAGTATTTAATGAAAACTAAAAAATAGAAAAGATTTTTTAGAAAATTTAAAAAAAAACCTGAACAAAACTATAAAATATTTTAAGTATTTGTTTTTGTAAAAGACAAGATGAAGATGAGTGATTTTCAATAAGTGTCGAAAATCTTTCACGAATTATTGGAAGAATTTTGGACATAAATTCAACAAGTGGAGTTCTTTCTTTTTGCCTCTTGTATCTAAAAGTGGAGCATATTTAAACAAAAACTCTACAAAAAATTATATGACAAACCTTTTCGAGGAGATAAAAACACTCCTTGGAATAGCCCAAGTTTGGGTCCGTTGGCCACGACAACCAACCAAGGACCTAAACAAGGACCCTATTGTTCACCCTTAATTAGTTAAAAACATACTCAAAAATTTTGCAGAGCCTGTGAAGAATAAGCAAGGCACCGTTGAGTTCTTCACTTTTATCAGAACTCACAAGAGGATAAAGTTCAAGAGTAAAAGATGGCCATTCATCAGGAAAATCATGACGCATAATATTTTGAATCATTGTGCACAAATGAATTCTAGAAAATAGAAGACAATAAAACGAAGAATAAAATCAAATACTTGATAGGTTCCGGTGCAATAATAATAGTCTCAATTATATGTTGCTTTATAAATAATTTGTCTTGTTCACTAAATACCCAGTGACTTCCAGGTGTATCCTTGTCAACATACCAATGTTCATAAAGTATATTTTTCATATAAATGACAGCAGCTTGTCGAACAGCGCAATCCAAGTGCTCATCTTTTATGATTTGAAGAAGCGCTTGGGGAAATCCAATCAGTGAAGCAACATAAAAATAGAAAAGTATAAGTAAAAACACTAAAGTAAAGTACCGTTTTAAGATATTCAGAAGCTCCAGATTGTCCTTCGGGTATTGTTGTTGATTTTAATGCTTCAATTATATGATTAAGTTCCATAGAATTAATTAAAATCTAAAATCCTTGTTATCAATTTAGTGAAAAAATGATAAAAACTTTGGAAATGACAAGAATTATAAAACATTTTTTCTAGACTCAAAAAAGCGTACTCTAAAATACATTTTCTTTCTTTCTCTAATGGATGAAATAGTGTGTAAGCCGTGTCCGGACAAAATATCGAATCGTTAAAATATGGAATAGGCTAAAAAAGGGTTAAAATCTCGAATCGGGTAAAAATGGGTTAAAATCGCGAATAGGCTAAAAAGGGGTTAAAATGTGGAATCGTTAAAATATGGAATGGTTAAAATCTCGAATAGGGTAAAATAGGGTTAAAATATGGAATCGTTAAAATATGGAATGGTTAAAATGTCGAATAGGCTAAAAATAGGTCAAAATGTCGAATTTTTTAAAAATAGCGCCAAAACTAGAATCCGGACGGTACCGTAATACTGACGGTATTTTTCGGTATTCCGTGTCGGTAGTACGGTAAGGAATGCCGACCGATAAAATTTAAAAGCTAATCGGTATTTTTCGGTATTCCGTACCGTATACGGTACAGTTAAAAAATTCCGGGTTTTATTAGAAGCTAGGCACTCCACTCTAATTTAACGTATCAAGATCGCGTTATGTTTTCCGGATCCGCACGATCATTCCGGACCGGATCCGGTCGATTATGCTTGATTTGTCCGGTCCGGTTTTACTCGGTAAAATACAGTGAACTCAGGCAGAAAAGATTGCGACTGACTACGATATACGAAACTTATCAAGCAAATTATCAATAATAAGTTGATAAGCTGATAAAATTATCAATAATCAACGTACGGCACTCATCTGACCCTTTTTTTTAAAGAATTCGACATTTTGACCTATTTTTAGCCTATTCGACATTTTAACCATTCCATATTTTAACGATTCCATATTTTAACCCTATTTTACCCGATTCGATATTTTAACCATTCCATATTTTAACGATTCGGTATTTTAACCCCTTTTTAGCCTATTCGCGATTTTAACGATTCCATATTTTAACGATTCCATATTTTGTACCGGAGCCGTGTAAGCAATTGTCATTTTTGAATAAAAACATTATGCCAAAAATTATAATTTGCGAGATTACGAAACACACGAAAACTAGAATTTCATGAGTGCGCAACCACTCTACCGGTGCTGCTGTAGAGAGCACTATACTACTCGTAAATCCCAAACCTGTTGACAAAATTGATTTGCTGATTCCGACCAAATTTTGTTTTCCACCTTGAGTTGTTCCATCAAACACTCATGATGACCATATCTAAAAGATCTGTAAACAAAAAACACAAAGTGAAAAAATAATCAAAGAAGAGAAATGAAAGATAAAGGAGTGGATTCGCAAGATCGCATTTTTAGCGTGCATTTTTCAGAATTTTGATTTTTTAAACTTACTAGATCTAGATGTTGGTGAGCATGGCCACCAGTTTTGTTGAAGAGCATGGCCACCATTTTCGTTGAAGAGCATGGCCACCATTTTCGTTGAAGAGCATAGCCACCATAGTTCCACCAAAATCCATCACTAAAAACTCACCCCTCGAAAAAATTATTTTTTTTTAATTTTTTAAATATTAAAAAAAATAAAAAGGATTAAACCACACCACCACCCAAACAGTGCTTACATGCAACCATCATCATCCTTCGACCATGAGCACCATGTTGAGCATCATCTAAAAAAGAAAAAATGAAACAATTCTTATTTAAAAAAACACTACGAAACGAAGCAGTTGAAGCAGGCCACCAGAGCACCACCAGCTGAAAAACTCACCACTCAAAAAAAAATTTTTAATTTTAAATATTAAAAACTTTAAAAAATAAAACCACACCAATACCAAAACACTGCTTACATGCAACCATCATCCTTCGACCATGTTGCTGAAATATTAAAAAAATTATTTTCAATAGAAAAACAAAAAAAAATAAAAGAAAAAAACAACTCGACGCACAACATGAAGAAGATCATGGCCATGCTGCAAAAGAAAAAAATGTTTTTTGAAAATTAATTTTTATTTTTAAGTTTTTTTTTTAATTTTGGCGTCGCGCGCTAGGATATGATAGAGAAAATAGAAAAGAATATGAGAAAAACACGAAAGGAACACGAAATAATGAAAAAAAACACGAAAAAACATGGTGCACCACGTATAATAAAAAAATAATCATAAAAAAATTAAAAAAAAGTTCAAATAACAGTGTGCCATATTTTAGCACTTTGACAAAAATATTTTACACAAAAATTCAAAAATTTATTCTAGAAAGACGAGTGAATGACCTATCGAATATCTAAATGACTAAATATGTGTGAATGTCTAAATATCAAATTATGATTTATTATTATTAGAATCAGTCAGTAGCTTGTAAAGAACATTTCTGTGTGTCATCTGATTTCCAAGTCCATGTCGTGTGTAACCATCTGCTCCATGAGCCCTATCATAATGAACGGTGTCAATCATTTGGCGAGCTAAAAACATTAAAATTATATAAATTAAAAAAGTATTAATTTCAACCTTCATCAAGTACTTCTTTATAAGAATTAAATGTGAATGTGCTCTGTTGATTTTCTGTTTCACTAATTTCATGCAATGCTTCCACAAGTGTATTGAGGCGATGAATCAACATTCCAATTGTTTGTACATGAAAAAGGGAAATTTTAATTTATTAAAATTTTTGAAAAGAATACTATAAGAATTCCCATCAAAAAGAAAATTATTCCAATTCCAAGCGGATCAACTTTTAGCGCTTCGGTAGTATCTTCAAATTTTCCTGTTGTCTCATTCATTTTTGTCCATTTGAAGCCCTCTAAGAATTTTATAATTTTTTTACAAAAATTTAAATATAAAAAACCGTATGGTATGAATTTCACAGATAAAACATCTTTATGACGTTGAAGCAAAAAGACTGCCAAGACAAGCAAACCATTCATTAAAATGATCGAGAAAGCAATTCTATTCCTTAAAGAGACTAAACCAGCAGCAATTTGAGCTTGATCTTGGGCGGTTGATGCTATCGGCTTAATTGAGGATTAATTAAAAGTAAATATTAAATTTAAAAAAACCTTCAAATATCTGTCAATAAGTTCATCCCAAAATGTTTCCTCACCAGCGCGCAGCTTCCCTCGATCGCAGCATTGAAGATATTCACAATCCATCCAAAGGGAACGTTTGCAGGGGTCGGAAATAACAGAATGTCGCTGCAAAGTTTGTAATCTTCGAACAGCAACTGCCTGAAAATATTTTTTAAAAATCATGATAAACAAAAAAATAGAAAAACCTCATAACCACTCCTTATGGGCAATTCTGTCTCATTTACTTCTCTGAGTACAACATCAACCATATCCATTGGGCGTCCAAACCTTCTATTGTCTGGTGTACACTCTATTGATGTATTTGAGTCCTTTAAAAAATAAAAACTGAAAAAATAAAGAAAAATTTTTAACCTTTATTGTAAGCAATAAACGCTCAGTTCGTTCAATTTTCCTTTCCAAAGTTCGAATCCTAGCGCTTGATTCTTCTGACCCGCGATATCGAATAAGCAATCTTGTAAGAAAAGAATTTTCATCGTTTAAATTTGCAACTCTTCTCAGAACTCTTTCAGCAATATTTTCTTTATAAGTTGTTTGTCCAGTAGCTTTGGCAACAGCTTCTCTTGTACCCCAATTGATCACATTTAAATTGATTAAAGAATAGAGTGAAAGAAAAACATAAGTTGAAGGAATCATCAAAAAGAAAATTGCTCCAAATATAATATTTGAAAATTCTTTTGGATGAATGCATGAAGCAAATGAGAAAATAATAACCATTCCAAGGACAAACATTGATGTTGGTGAAAATACTGTTTCTAGTACAATTTGATTGGTGGTAGCGATGAGAACAGCCAACATTATGAAAGCATAAACGACAGAAGCAATTTTAGCAAATATCAATTGAATGCTTGAATCCAAAGCAAAACAACAACAAATAAATGCACATACTGGAATAGCATTGTAAACAAGAACACGCGTTGAATCGACAGCAAAAGCGGCAACCTTTATTTACAAGTTTAAAGGATTGTAATTCAGAAATATTTATAAACCTGAGCATAAACAAGCATTGTAAATATTATAGCAGGACCAAGCAATGAAAATGCAATAACAATCATTTGATATATAATATAAAGCCTTGAAATGCTTGCATTGTTTTTTGAAGCTAACTATAAAACAAGCTTGCACTTATAAAATGGAAAAAAACAAAAAACCTTATAATCCGCCAACAAGTCCAAAGTATTAGCAATTGAAGATGGCGTCCACCTTCGCCTTTGATTAAAGAATTCATCAAAACCTTCAGGTGCATAAGTTTCTGCATCAGAAGCAGCAGCGTATTCAATTCGATAACCCTTGAAAAACGAAATCAATTTATTTTTATGAAATAGAAAAACCTGTTTAAGCATTAATGTTGAAAGCCATCGATCTTCACCTTGGTCATATTGGACAAAATGTCTTGGTTCAGAAGCAGTTTTTGTGTATTTATTCATAATATTGTCGTCCATTAATGCTGATGCTCTAAAAAGTGAGAAACAACCTGGCGCGCATAAAACACATCCAAAGACGTGTTCAGCTGCTTTTTGAAACCAATGAGCAATTGCATATTCAAACTTTTGATACCAAACCATTACGCCTTACAATTAGAAAAATTTATAAATTGAAGAAACGAAAAAATATTACCAGTTCCAATAGGATGAATACGTCCACAGGCACAACCAACATCACTTTTTAGATTCATAAGGTTAATCAAACGAAGAACAGCACAAGGTTCAAACTTTGAATCACCATCAATTGCTAGAATGTAAGTATTGTCAGCCTAAAGAAAAGAATGTTTGAGAACATTTTGAATATTAAAAGCTAACTTGTAATTGACGATCTTCAACGCTAAGATGAGAATCAACAATTCGGTGTCCAAGCAAATAGTACATGTACATAACCTAAAGTGTTAATTAGAAACCCAAACAATGAATAAAAAAACCTGTGACCACCGCTTCTTATGTCGAATTAACCGCTTATCTTTAAGATGAACAAAGAGAAGAGCGCCTCCACTCAATGCCATAACAATACGTCCACCATAAGGAGTATTGACAAGAACACGTGTAAACAAGTCTGTTTCAGCATTTTCTGATCTTAAATAATACAAGAATAATTTTACAATTAAATAACAAAAAAAAACCTAGTCAACTCAATTAAAACATCAAACAATAATTTGAAGTAATCATTGGGTACTCTTCCACATTCTCTGTCATCAACCCAAGCATCGTCAAAGAAAATATGAACTTAAAATATTAACAAAAATTGATCTTTTAATTAAAAAAATTTGTTGACTTTCTAATCGAAATTTGATTCCATCCTCGCTTTGTCGGACAGACTGTTCAACATCAAGTCTGTGGAAAACAAAATCAGAAAAACTAACAGAAAAATTAAACAAACTTTAGAATAGATCGAAGCATCTGCGTCATTTCATTTTTTGTTTCATGCCACATTGTTGCACAAACATATAAAGTAATAATTCTGTCCATATGACCATTTATAATTCGAAGAGGGCTTTCCTCAGGCTCAACATCTTCATCAGAGTCGTAGTCAACATCCTTTATGTTTTTGAAAATATTACTGTGTGAGAAAAATTTAGTGGAAAACCTTCTTTGCAATTGAATAACGAAAAACAACAAGTGACTGGCAAATATCCAATCCACTCATCATTGGTGTCATCGACTCAATTCTAAAATTTAAAAAATCTAAAAAAATGTTAGAAACAAAAACATTTCATCAGTTTTGTCATATTTCTTCCCATTTGTAAATTTTAAACTCCAAATAATATAAGAAAATAACCAAATCCACGTTATATAGTAATCCTTTACAGATCCAGTAGGATTAACACCTGAAGAAATTGAAAGTTAAAGAAATTCAAAAAAGTCACCAAAAACCTTTGATACAAAACAAATTAAGATCAAAATATTTTAAGATAACGTTGATCCGACAAATTGGAAGTACATGACATAATCCGTGAAAACTCATTAAAAGTAATGGAGTTGATAAAAACACTGGATGGATACAAGTAAACAAATTTAGACGCATTGCAGCCAAAAAACGAAAGCAAATACGAAGGTAGAAATTGAGTGCCAATGAAATAAAAGCAAATATGAAAATCTTTCTAAATTGGTAAAAAATTTAAAAAAACTTTAAAAAAAGAAATACGCTTGATCTCCAAATACTCCTTCTTTGCTTTTGAATAGCATTAAAATTAAGGTTCCAACAGGAATATTATGATGCCTTAATGAAAAATAAAGAACTGAAGACGTGCACAAAAAACGAAGGAATGAAGCAACCATTCTTGTTTCTGGATTAAGTTTTCTCATGCCATATTTAATCTTAATTTTAAAAAACATAAAAAATTTTAAAAGAATAAAAAAACCTCATAAAGTTCTTGAAAAAGACCCTCCTTTTGTTTAGTGTCAACCCAACTCTCCCAAAAACCAAGAGAACATAGAGTAAAAGAAATGGTAAGTAACACACCAAATTTAAACTTTGGATGACCATCAAAAAGTGCCCATAAATAGCCAGCACTAAATAGAAAGGCAAAAAGAAAAGCTGATGGTAGACTTGCGGTAATGCAAGCAAAACGCCAGCGGATTGAACGGTTCAAGTCAAAAGAACGGTGAAAATTTTGGAGGGCATTTTTGATGTAGTAGAAACAGTGAAAGGCACAGGTGAACATTATACAACGTGAAACGTCCAATAAAGGAAATATATTCAAAACGGCGAGTGAAAGTCCGGTAGCTCGAAAAGATTCGAGAAGAATAAACTGAAAAATTTATATAAAAATAGACATTAGATAAAATTTCTATAGGAAAGGACCTTTCCAAAAATGATTTTTTGAAGTCCCTATTCATAAAAACAAAAAATACAAACCATTCCTATTAATGAACGATCAGCTTTTGTTGTAAGTCTAATTTTGAATAAATCCTGTACAAAGGCGCAGACATCTGGAATCGTTTGAATAAGCCATAGAGCAGCACAAATTGAACTCAATCGGTCAAAATCTTGGTCAGTTGAGGGGCCTAAGATTTAATCAAAAGAAAATTTAAAATAAAAAAACTTTTGCAATGTCCATAGAATTTTGTGTCAGCCATAATATAGTTAAGTCCAATGTTAGTTGAGAGAAGGATAATTACAGATTTGGAAACGAGCACAGCCACAAGTGAAGAACAATGGGAAATTACAAAAATGATCAACTAAAAAACAAAATTTGAAAAATCTAGAATTAAAACAATAAAACCTTTAACCATTGTAACCAACGAATGTAATAAGCGTGAGATTTTTGCGGTGTACGTTTAATTCGAGGGTGAGTCCTAAATGCATCCCACTGGTGGTGATCGCGGTAAAAAAGCATTAAAAGTCTAAATACTTGAGAAAAATGAAGAATTAAAATGTCAAAAAAGATAATTAAAAGAATAGCAAAACTTAAAAATTAATGGGACAAAGAAAAATAAAAAAATTTTATTCCTAGAAAAAATTTTGAGAATGTCAAAAAAACATCAAATTGAAGACATCGAATTGGAATAGAGTGCTTCTGAAACTGCGTGTTGAGAAACTGGATGTTTGTTGACAGCAAGATTCACATTTGCGTCACCGCTAATTCCCAACTTTGCTGAAAATATAGAAACACCTATAGAATTAAAATTCAACAATTACATTCAAGTACTCCAAGTATGGGGAGATAAGCATAAACAGTGCTGACATCATTAATCCAAAGAGAGATTGTGTAGCCACGAAAACGCATTGCAAATGTTAATCCTAATATTTTAAAAGAATTTCTGATGAAAAAAATTTAAAAAAATACCACAAATCTTGTTGTTATGCTCGTCAAATTGGCCGGCGAATAATAATTCTAAGAGCTCAAACCAAAGCTTGTCCAAACGAGTGTATTGATATTGACGACCAAACACCATTTCAATAGAACCTCCGCCTTGATTATGAGGGTCTTCCCACATCGGTTTAATGCCCTCTTTGAAAACGTAGTAACAAATTTCAACTGAAATTTGTTTGATAGAAAATAAGATTACTCAAACTTACGTATAGGAAGTTGACTAGGTGGTAAAATGCGATGCTTGAGTGCAATAAAATCTTCAATTGAGCCGATAATACATTGTTGTTCCATGCAGTCGGACCATGATCTGTTTCGATCCGCTTAAAAATAAAATTTTTAGTTCAAGTTAAAAGACTTTAAAATACCAATATGTAACCAAAAACTCCATCTTGGAGATAAAAAATGGAGTTCTTCAGTTGGCGATGATAAATGCCCAGAACTTGAAGAAGTTTCAAATTCGGAATCGTCACTTCCAGATTTATTCATAAGTTAGTTTAAAAAGTTTTCTAAGAAATTGTAAGAAAGTTTGCTAAGCACAATAGAAATCAAAAAAAATTGTGCGCTAACAAAAGAAAGATTAAGATCAATCAACAATTAATGCAACGATCAACTTTCTTTATTAAAAGTTTAATGTAGAATATATAAGGCTAACAAGTGTAAACAAAATAAACTTATTCGCTGAGAAAGTTAATAAGAGTAAATTAGAATTTCGTTTGAATAATGCTTTGCGCTTGCAAATGAGAAAAAAATAAATAAAAATAAGTAGAAATGCCCTTACAAACTAGAGACTTGAAGAAAAAAATTTTCAAAAACTTTTGACTCTTTAAACTCCGCAAATTTTTTAAGAATTTGGCATAATGTAATTTTTAAAAATTAAAATGTCATAATGTCAACAAGGCAAATTCATTATGATTGATCGAATTAAATCAAAGAATTCTTTGTTTTTTGCGATTGACACGATAAATAATTGATTGACAGCTGCTTACCAGACTGATTTTTTGCACTTTTATTCTTTGATTTTTATTATTTTAAAAGTTGTTCTTTTCGTTTCATTACGTTCTAGACAATTTTTTATTTAGATAATTTTTACTCTCAAAATTTATTTTTTCTTAGAATAAAAGTTTAAATTTAATTTATTTTTATTTTAGGCCATTGGCCAAATTACAGGATGTTAATTTACATTTCTCGACACAATTATTCAATTTTAAGAAGGACTAGAGGAGACTTTTATAAAAAATGCCGGCTTCAGAATCGATGTTTTTGCGAACAAAAGCAATCTGACAAATTACCTCACAAAGGAATGGTTGTTTCTGCTTTAAAAGAAATTAATTCAGGTTTTTTTTCTTTAAATTTTTTTATAATTTTCAAAAAAATTTTATAGAGGAACATCGAGTTTCGTTGACTCCCTTAGCTGCAAATACTTTACTTAAACGAGGAATCAATGTTAAAGTTGAAAAAGGAGCAGGCTTGTTAGCCTCAATTTCTGACGAAGAATTTACAAAAATAGGCGCCAAAATTGTGGATAAACAAGAGGCTGTTTCTGCCGATGTTTTACTTAAAGTTTGTCTTTTCTCGTGAATTTCTTTTTCAATTTTTTATTTTTATAGGTTCGCTGCCCAGAGGCCTCGGAAGTTTCTTCATTTCGCAGTCACTCAACTCTAATTTCTTTCATTTTCCCTGAAAACAACAAAGACGTTGTTGATTTACTTGCTCAACGTAAAATGAATGTTTTTGCAATGGATAAAGTTCCTAGGATTTCGAGGGCTCAGGTTCCTTTTATTTCTTTTTTGACTTAAAATTCGAATAATAGGGATTTGATGCACTCAGTTCTATGGCTAACATTGCTGGATACAAAGCTGTAATCGAGGCAGCAAACAATTATGGGAAATTTTTCTCTGGACAAATTACTGCTGCTGGAAAGATTCCTCCGGCTAAGGTGCTAGTTGTTGGAGGAGGCGTTGCTGGATTAAGTAAAAAAAATTTTTTAATTTAATTTTTTATAAATTTTTAAGGCGCAATTGCAACAGCCAAAAATTTGGGCGCCATTGTTAGAGGATTTGACACTAGAGCAGCTGTTAAGGAACAAGTCCAATCACTTGGAGCTGAATTTTTAGAGGTTTTTAAAATTATTTTATACGATCTTATTTTTTGTTTAAAGATAAAATTAAAAGAGTCTGGTGAAGGTGTTGGAGGTTATGCTAAAGAAATGAGTCCAGAATTTATTGCTGCTGAAATGGAACTTTTTAGACAACAATGTAAAGATGTGGACGTTATAATTAGTACGGCAGCAATTCCTGGAAAGAAAGCTCCCGTTCTTTTTACTAAAGTATGTATATTTTTTAGCATAGAGTTTAACGATGAGGCAGCCTATAAGGCCGTAGACACCAGAGAGTTGGGGCATGCTTTCTTGGGAAAAATAAAATATTTAGGAGGCCCTTTTTACCTGAAATCCACCCTCTAGATGGGCCCTTGCTGTCTCTCAAATAATTACAAAAATTTTCTAGGAAATGATTTCTTTGATGAAACCCGGCTCTGTTGTTGTTGATCTAGCTGCGGAGTCAGGAGGTAATTTTGAAACAACAAAACCCGGAGAGGTTTATACCAACGAGAATGGTGTTCTCCATATTGGATACAAACAAATGCCTAATCGCCTCCCTGGACAGAGTTCAGCTTTGTATGCTAATAATATCACCAAATTTTTGTTGGCAATTGGTGATCAAAAAGAGAACTTTTTTATTGATTTAAATGTAATTTTTAGTTTTTTTACTTTTTATTTTTATCTTTTTTAAAGGACGAAGTTGTTAGAGGTTCAATAATTTTACATAATGGTCAACTTTTATGGCCTCCTCCTGTTATTGCTCAACCATCTCCTACACCTCCACCAAAATCAAGTGTTGAGTTGGAGACAGTTAAACCAGTTGAGGAGAGCGATTTTACTAAAAGTTTGAAAAAGGCGTCGCTTTATGCTGGAGGTTTTCTAGCCTTTTTTCAATGAAATATTTTCTCAATTTTTAATTTTTTAGCAATTGGATCAGCCAATTTACTTGGATATGTCAGTCCAAATATGGGCTTTACTCAAACAATAACTACATTTTCATTAGCTGGAATTGTTGGTTATCACACTGTTTGGGGTGTTACTCCAGCATTACACAGCCCTTTAATGTCTGTAACTAATGCAGTATCTGGAATTACTGCTGCTGGGGCATTACATCTTATGGGAGGTGGACTTGTTCCTCAAAATTCAGCACAAGCATTAGCTTTGGGTGCAGCATTTGTTTCTTCAATAAATATTGGTGGTGGATTTACTATAACAAAGAGAATGTTGGATATGTTTAAACGACCAAGTAATTATTTTAGAATGAAGAATTATTCAAAAAAATTTTTTCCTCTTAATTTAGCTGACCCACCTGAATACAATTATCTTTTTGGTATACCTGCTGTTGTCCTTCTTGGTTCTTATTCACATGGAATGCTTTATGGCTTTGAACAAATCCACGGAATTGCAGCGCTTACTTCCTCTCTATGCTGTGTTGGTGCAATTTCTGGTTTATCTTCACAAAATTCAGCTCGTATTGGTAATTCTCTTGGAATTATTGGTGTAACAGGTGCTGTATGCACAACTCTTGGACATTTGCATCCCGATCCTCAAACTCTTGTTCAAATGTGTGCTGCAATTTCTTCAGGTTCTTTAATTGGTGCGATCATTGCTGGAAGAATAAAAGTATTTTCTCGAATTAATCTGACAATCTAAAAATTTTTTTTTTGCTTAGGTAACAGATTTACCTCAACTTGTTGCACTCTTCCACAGTTTTGTTGGAATTGCTGCAACTTCTACATGTGTTGCTAATTATTTGACTGAATATTCTAGCTTTTTGGCTAATCCAGAAGGTGCGGCAGCTATCAAGACTTGTCTTTTCTTAGGAGCATATATTGGAGGAGTAACATTTACTGGCTCATTAATGGCTTATGGAAAACTTCAAGGTTTATTTTCTAAAAAAACTCTTTTAAATATTTTATTTTTTATTAAGGTCTTCTTGCTAGTGCCCCAACATTGTTGCCTGCAAGAAATGTTCTAAATTCTGCTCTTTTACTTGGAAATTTGGCAGCTATGGGTGTCTATTTAGGTACAAATGATTTGACTTTGGGTCTTTCAATGCTCGGAACAACCTCTCTACTTTCTTCTATTATGGGTGTTACATTGACAATGGCTATTGGAGGTTTTATAAAATTTTTCTAATTTTATTTTTTTAATTTTTAGGTGCTGATATGCCTGTTGTAATAACTGTACTTAATTCTTATAGCGGTTGGGCACTTTGTGCTGAAGGCTTAATGCTTAATAATAATTTATTGACAATTGTTGGTGCATTGATTGGAAGTTCTGGGGCAATTCTTTCGCATATTATGTGCAAAGTATTTTTAATTTATTTTATCTTTTAATCACTTTTAGGCAATGAATCGTTCTCTAATTAATGTTATCTTGGGAGGTGTTGGAACAAAATCGCAAAAATCAGGCCCTGCTCAACAAATTACTGGAACTGCACAATTTACTGATGTTGATCAGGTTAAAAAACTTTTAAAAATATTTGAAAATATTTTTATCATTTAGGCAGCAGAAATGATAAAAGATGCAAAGAAAATTATTATTGTACCTGGATATGGACTTTGTGCAGGTTTTTTAATTTTTTACACATTTTAGATTTCTTTTTAAAATTCAAGCACAAGCCCAATATCCTATTGCTGAATTGGCAAAAGTATTGGATTCGCGAGGAACTAAGATTCGTTTTGCTATTCATCCAGTAGCTGGCAGAATGCCTGGACAATTGAATGTTTTATTAGCCGAAGCTGGTGTCCCATATGACATTGTCGAAGAAATGGATGAAATTAATGATGACTTTTCTGATACTGATTTGGTTTTGGTTATTGGAGCAAATGATACTGTGAGTAAACTGAAAGAAATTAATTTTACAAAAAAACTTTTTTTTCAAGGTAAATCGAGCAGCTGAAGAAGATCCAAGCTCTTCAATTGCTGGAATGCCTGTACTTAAAGTATGGAAAAGTAATCAAGTTATTGTAATGAAGAGAACTATGGGTGTTGGTTATGCAGCTGTGGATAATCCTATCTTCTTTGATCAAAACACACATATGCTTCTTGGTGATGCTAAAGCTGTTTGTGACAAATTACTTGCAAAAGTGAAGGAAGATGGAGTTTAATAGGTTTCTTTGACATTTTTCTTGCCATTTTTTAAAATTTTGTCTCTCATTTTTAGTTTTGCTCAATATTTGTGATTTTCTCATATTTTTTATAGGATTCTCTAATTTGTAGGAGCACAAGTTTTTATTTTTTTAAATCTTTGAGGAAACCAAACAATCAAGACTCTTCTCCAAAACATGGTTTATTTGACCTTAATCTTCTCAAGTCTCAATTTTTTTATTTTTGCATTTCTCTTAAAATTGCTTTGTTGCCATGTTTCTTGTGTTTATCTTCTAATACCTTCACATATATTTTTAGGTTTGTAATTTTGTAATATTTTTTTCTTTTTAATCTTTCCTGGACATTAAAATGCGTGTACTTATGTAATTAGTAAACGACTTAATAAAAAAATTTATTTTTATTTTTACACTTTTTTAAACTTAAAGTGGTGGGAAAGAAATATTTCAATAATTTTAATGTTTTTTTTTCATTTTAAACATCTCTAGGAAGAAAACTAAAAAAATATAATTGTGTGAAGAATTATTAGTCCTTAACATTAGTGGTACTTTTTCCTATTTTCTTCTTTATTTCTATTTTCATTCTGACGACACACTAGGCCCTAATACTTTTTTTGTCCTTTTCATTTACCTCAGATGTTGAGGGGGGTTTTTTCTCCTCTTCCCTATCCTAGGATTCTCAATGTGCACCCTTTCCCTATATACACTCATGCATATACTATTGGCCCAACTCTTCTCCTCTTTTCCCAAGCTTACCCACTAAATTTTCCTCCCTTTTTTCAAATACTTTATCGATCTATTCGTTGTCCAGATAGACTCATTCTCGACTGGCTGGACATTTTTTTGGGGAAATTGGGAAGGAAAAAGGAAGAAGATATTGCATCTCGAGAACTGGCCAAGTCATCCATCCTTCCTTTTCTTTCCCTTTCATGTCCATTATGCCAGTTCCCATCATTTTGTCTTTTTTTATTGACGTCAGTCCATCTTCTCATTCTATTTTTATTTGGCAAAATTGTAAAAGAGATAAACAGCAGAACAAACGAGCGATATTTTATAGACCATAAATAGATAGAGCGCGATTATCGTAAATAATTACGTCAAAAAAACTTTGAAGAATGCCGTTTCTGGCGACATTATTAAAATAATATTAGAGTGAAGTCTACTCTTATACATACCCATTAATTAACACGATTCTTTTTTACACTTTTCATCATTTTATTTTTTCTTTGAGAAAATAATAACGCTACCCTTTTTTGTTTTAAAGGCAGGATTTGTCAAATATTAACATTTTTACATTTATTTTCTTTTTCAATTTAACAATAAATGGACCGTAGCGATTTACAGAGAACCGGTAAAAGATTTTTTTAATTTCTGAAAAATTAAAAAATTTAGTCGAAAGTCTACGCCACCAATTACGTATCCAACGGGTGCCAATTTCTAGATCTGGCGGTGAATTGAAGCAATATATTGAACAACATCAGCCTAACGACCCGCTTGTCAATCCAGTGGAGAAAGCACGGTATTATTTAAAAATTTTCCCCATTAAAAAATTCCAGGCGAGGGGCAAAACACCGTACGGTCATTAAAATAAAGACCGTCCACTTTTACGAATAATAAATTCGATGCCGATATTTTATCTGAATCCTTAAATATTGGACGGATTTATAACCTGTGCGGACGGCATCGGACGGTGTTTTGTCCTGGAACGGAAAATTCTAGACTCGCTCACAACTTTATTTAAAATTATAAAAACCTGTAAAACCTTTTTTGAATATTTTTTTGTATTTTAGAAATCCATGGGCAGAAAAATCCAAATGTGAGGTTCTCTGATTGTTCAGAAATCAAAAAAAAGATGCTCTCTCGTTTTTTTTCACGCTTTTCACCTGCCTCATTCTTAAACATTTTTATATATTTTACATTTTCTTAAATTGACCTTAAAATAAAAAGCTTAAATAAATTTTATTTCAAAAATATAAAGGTTCAAAAAGAGATCGAAAGAGGTTTAAAAAATAAATTAAAGGCATTGAGGAATACTTAAAAAATACTCTTGTAAATTTGTAAAATCGAAAAATGTTCCATATCCAATTATAATTCGTCTATTATGCTGTAAAAGCTCCAAACATGGCTGAGACATTTTAAAGACAAGCATAGGGCAAATAGCTTAAAATTGAAAAATAAAAATTTTGAGGTGACATTTTGTCCCAAAATCGATGGAATTTTTTGAGATGACAATTTATCCCAAAATCAGTTTCTCCCGAAAATTTTGTAAATTTAAAATAAATCTTACATCCACTAATGAACACAAAACACAAGTTAAAAGAACAATTCCAATCTGCCAGTCAAGATGATTTTTTGTTGGCACGCCACAGCCTTGAATATTGACAGAATTGTTGAATGCCCTGCTTCCCGGTAAGTATTGAATACACAATGGATCTATAGGTTGAATGGCCCAAGCGCGGCCTTCTTGTGATTGTCGACAGCAAGAACGGGGAACTTTAATTTTTTGAGTTTAAAAAATAAAATTTAAAGAAAACCGTATGAACGAGTTCCCCTCTCAGTGTTTGTCAAATACCAAAAGGAGTCAGAATATTCACTAAAGTTGTAACCACCACAGCAATGATGCTAAAAAGTAAAATTTTATTAGTGAAAAATCAGTTAAAATTTACATAAAATTGGACAGAATCCATAACTGGCAATACCCAACGGTCTCTATTGTACCTTCAAAAAATTTTTTTAATTCAAAAAAATAAAAGCTAACCGATTTTTAGAAATATTGGACAAATAATTGCTCATATTTTCATCAGAAAACTTAAAAAGTGGGGCATTAATGAAGAATTAAAAATTGCTGTAAATATCCCAATAGAAGCCCCGGGCGTTAATTTTTGAACTTGTAATAGAGCATGGGTCTCTTAATGGAGCTGGGCTTCTATTAGAATATTTACGATAAAATCAACCTTTGTTTGGTGTAAAATGCACAAAATGACAACGCCAAGTTTTGCAAGGAGTGCAATCAATAGAAGGAGAATAAACTAAAATTCTAGTAATTCAAAGAAATTTTTTTCAAAAAAACAAACCGATCCAAGCAAAAACCGTTCCAATTTTACAGCACCAACACACCCTACCGACCCCACAAAAAGCATCAACAAAGCAGTTCCCGCCATCAAATAAATTCCAAATTTGAGCAAAGGAGCATTCTCCGAAAAGTGTAGCAATTCCAACTGAAAATTCTGTGCTGGATCAAGCAATAACCAAAGCGAAATTGAAAGAAGTACAAAACCGCTAGCCTGTGAGTAAATTAAAATTTAATAATTTTATGGCTCTAGTTTAGGATATGCGTCCAATGAGCGTTTAAGCGTCCCATCAGAGATTGGGCTGGAAGCCAACATATACTCTGATGCGACGCATAACTTCTAGGACGCATACCTTGTAGCGACGTATAAAAGCTTATGGGATGCATGTTCTAAATTAGAGCCAATTTTATTTTCTTAAATTTACCCATAGAAGAAAATTTGAAAAATACAAAGAAGATTGTAAACAACTTGAAACTGGCGGAACAACACGCATCCTTCTTTTTGAAAAACTTTTTTGGTTAACAAACGGAAAGATGAATTTCTAAAAAAAAAGAATTAAAAAATTAATAAGAGAAAGAAAAACAAACTCTGAATGATTGAAAGAGTGGAGAAAATGAGATAAAATGTCTCTCCCCCTCCCTTTCCTTCAAATATTTAGCGCTTTGCAAAAAATAAGTAAATGTCGGTCGTCCCATTTGAACTGTCCAGTCATTCTTTTTCGTTTGCATACATATTTTTGTATTTGTGTTGAGCAAAGCAGAAAGGGGTCAACCAACAAAATGAAATCATTTAGGGGCTTGAAAGGCACAAAGCAAGCCGAATGAGCTTAAAAATAAATTATAAAAATCAATAAGGGGGAATTAGTTAAATTTTTTGACTTGTTTGAAATTATGTAGTCCAAGAATATTTGTTTCGATTCAATACCAACGATTGGAATTGGCGATTTAACTCGTGAGACTCGATAGTTTTACAAAAATCTTTTTTAAATATTTCGCCAACTTTAATTGTCGAAATCAGAACGCCAATAAATTTAATTTATGCTAATTGAGACTCAGCTTATCGCTCATGAATGGTTAATTTGTTTATGAGACTTTACTGGTAAAAATGTATAGAGCATGCAGAAGCATGAGTGTTTTTAGGGATAGTTGAGAAATGGGGAGAGAGTGTGTCGAGAGAGTAGCAAGAGAGTGTGATTTGCTATTAATCATGAAGTTCATTCGCTTTTTTTTTACTTTTTTGTTTGCTTTAAAATTTTTTTTGAAATTTTAGTCTTCGATTTGAATGAATGAAAGGCAATAATTCACATATTGCCTTTTCATGGCCAATTATTGTTAATGAAAATGCGCTCAATGAAGCAACACAACAACAAACGCCAATGAGCCATTCACATCCTTGTTTATTTCTGGATGGAACAAAATTTAATGAAGACAATGGAAAGAGGTTTTTAATAATTTTTGTTAGTAGGATATAGACATTGAAAGACGTCGATGTTTTTAAGGAAAATTTTTTTAAATTACCAACTACGATGAATTTTAGGGTGTTTGAATTCCTGGCCTAATTTTCAATTTTTCTAGACCTGAAAATCTTCCTCAACAAGCTCCCAAAACAACAACAGAAGTTCCCTTCAAAAATAATTTGTATAAATCAGAAAGTGATCGAACAGAAAAAATATCGACTAATCAACAATTAGAAAATGAAAATAAATTTTTGAATGGAATACAGCAACAAAACAATGATCAAAATTCTACAAATTTGATTCAACAGAAACAACAAATTGGTTTCTTTTGAAATTTTATTTTTAAATTAAAAAAATATTTTTTAGAAAAATTACAACGTAAATGTAATCGTTTGGAACAATTAGAATCCTCATACAGAAAAATAGAAAAAGATTATGAAGAAATGATGGAATGTGAAGAATTAAGTTTAATAACCTTTTATAAATTAGAGCACCAATTGAGGTTATTAGACATTGAAAATGAACAATTAAAAATTGAAAATTTAACTCAAAATTATCCCAAAAATGATGAATTTGGTCAATTGAAGATTTTGGAAGAAAAAATTGAAAATTTGGAGAATTCACTTTTAAAAAGCCAAGAAAAAGCAAAATTGGCAAAAGAAAGAACAACTTCAATAATTAATTCTCAACAACAATCAACTTCAAATAATTTAAATATTTTTGGTTCAATTTTGGCAGCCAGTCGTTTAATTGGCGGGGAAATACAAAAAGTTGGAAAAATGAAAGCTCAAGAATTTTTGCCTGTTGGGACAGAAGAATTATTTAATAAATTAAATAAAGAATTGGATAATTTATTAATTGGGACACCAGAAAAGGGGCAAAATGAAAATAATGAGAAAACAGCAACAACGTCTTCCAAGTTTGTTGATTTATTGGATATTCGACGATTTAATGTTTTTTCGACTGGTAAGAGATAAAAGAATTTTTGAAAATTAAAAAAAAATTTTTTCTAAAGATTTTGATCAATGGTCAATGTCTGCAACTACTCGGGATCAAAACAAGGAAATGGTTGTTTTATATTTTTATTTAATTATGGGATGATTCCGTAATCCCAAAAACTTTTCAAATACCCATAGCATTACAACGTCATTTCCACACTTTGGATTTTGGAGGCCTTTAGGGTGACTGACAGGGAACTTTGAATATTGTAGACATTAACTGAGAAAATAATAGAGACTTAAACAAATTTATTTAAAAAAAAGATTTTTTTGGCAATACTCTACTTTTGGTCCCTCATTTTTTCGATTCAGTCCCTCGCTCTTTCGAAAGAGGAAAAGTCCAGGTATTGGATTTTGTGCAATCCATGATACCCCTAGTCTCCCAATAAATTTACTTGACAAAATTATATTTTGAAAGCTCTAGTCTCTACCAACAAACATGAGCGACGAAAATCGAGAACAATTGCTTTCGTTATTGGGTGATGAAGAGAGAGGATTTGATGAAAATAATTTTTGTGAGAGCAAAGGAGAAGTTCGAGTTTTGAGACAAAAAATTTTGCAAAAAAGAAAAATAAAAAGTCAACCAAGGTTTTTTTAATTTTTTTAGAAATTTTAAAAATTAAATTAATTAGGTCTTTGATGGAGAAAAGAGCAGCACAAAATTTTAAGTTTGACTTGACAGAAGAGGAAAAGGAAAAAATAAAAGAGCCGATAAGTGAAGAAAGGGAACAAAAAATAATGAAAAGTATTTTTTAGATTAAATTTTTAAATTTAAAATTTATTTTTAGTTTTAAATAAAATAATTAATAATGAAGAGGAAGAAGAGGGGAATTATGGGAAGCAAGAAGAACTGAGAAATGATAAGGAGGAAGATGAAGTTGGATTGGGAGATGAAGAAATTGAAGAAAACTCAACTCAAATTGAAATTAATTTGATAAATTTAAATTCAAAAAAGGAAGAAAATAAAAAATATATTTATGAAGAAAAAGTTTTTGATGAAGAAAATTATGGAGAAGATGAAAATTCTGTGTTTGAATGGACAATTGAAGATGATGATAGAGAGGTTTTTTTAATTATTCGGATTCCTTCCCCTTCTGAATTTTAACTTTAAAACATTCCAAGTCTCTTCTTCCTAATCTTCAAAATTTTTTGTTTCTTCAGAAAGCATTTCCCCTCACGGCAGTTTTGATCGCAGAATATTCTAAAGAAAAAGTCATTTCTAGTGTAGTGGAAAATTTTTAGACTTTCAGTGGTAGTGGGGTTTAAATGGGTAAAGGTTCGAATTCCACAAACGGAAAATAATTTTATTTTGACCGAAAATTAAAAAAATCTTTTTTCCTGACTTTCTTTCTCTCCTAAACTTTTTTTAAATTTAATTATAGATTGGAGTAATTCCAAGTATAGAATTGTCTGAAATGTTGGAGGACATTTCTATTCTTCCTCCTCTTCCACAAGAACCTTCTTTAAAAGTTTCTTCAACATCGAGTACTTTATCTAGCACAAAATTAACAACAACAAGAACAACAACAACATTTTCTCAATCAAATAATTTTTATAAAATTATTAATAAAATTTCAAATTCAAAATTTTGGATTTTATTAAAAATTCCTTACAAAATTAATTATTTTGATTATTGCCAACATTTTTTAATTGTTTGTTCAAAAAATAGAAGACCTTATTTTATTATGATTTCAAGTTTGAAGGCTTTACAAGGCAAAAGATGTTGTTCACCACAATGGAATAAATTGGGAATATATGCTGATGGAGTTTCTATAAATGGTAAGAGGGGAGGAAGGAAGGGGGGGTTTAATCAGAAAATTGGAATTTGAAAATCGGAAGTTTAAGAAAATCACAATTCCTTTTAGATGATGGCACCCGTTTATGGCGTATTTGGAACGGCGTCGGATTTTCACCAAATTCACAACTCGATTTAATTGGACCTTCTTCAACATTTTCTAAAAATTCTCAATGGTATCAAATGACAAGTAGAAATGAGGGATGTCTTTTACAAGTTGAATTAACGAGTAAACATGCTTGGTATTTAACTGATAGAGGAGTAATAATTTTTTAAAAAATTCTAAAATTTAAAAAAAATTATTTTTAAGGTTTTTGTCCAAATGTTTTTACCAGCCTCAGGAATGGGTTATTGGTATAGAACACAAGACGATGATGAATTAGATGTTTTTGTTCAAATAACGGCATCAGATGAAGCTGTCTGGGTATTAAATAATTTTGGAATGGTTGCTGCAAGAGTTGGGCTTAGAAGGTGTCCGATGGGTGTTGATTGGGCATAGTAAGATTTGAGGATTTTTTTTAATTTTTAAAAAATTTTTAAAGCTTGGACAATCAACCAAAAAAATTTGTTTCAATTTCAATTTATAAAAGGATAGGATTTGGACTTGATAATCAAGGCGTTATTTGGTTAATTAATGGTGTGGGGTTGGAAAGTCCTTTTGGTGTTGATAATTGGTTTAATTGTTCTCCTTTACAGGTTTAAATATTTTTCAATAAAAATTTCTAAAAAATAATTTAGGTTAATTCAATACCAAAAATGTCACCAATTAATGAATGGCGATTAAGTGTTGGATCAATTGGGATTTTTGTTAATGTTGGAACTGCTTTGATTTATTTGCCTGAACCTTTTATTGGTTATTTTTCAATTTAAATATTTTGTTAATTTTTTTAAAAAATTCAGAAAGGGACACTGATAAAGAAATTCTACTTTCAAAAGCACGAGAAATGCCTGAACGCACACTTTCTGGAGGTTCAGCAACTTCTTGGTGTGAACTGGGTAAATAAAAAATTGCTCAATAATTTTTTGTTATTTATAATTTTCCCTTGCCTTAATTTTTTTCACTTTTTTAATTCTTGTAAATAATCATCTAAAAATAATCCTTAAAATCATTCCAAAATAGAAAAATATATAAAATAGAATTTTATTTGAGCCTTTAAATAGTGGGTAATTAATGCATAGATTATTTGGTGGTACAATGTTAAGGCACGATTAAGAAAAGATTTTAAGTTTTGAGCTGATGGCCACAGAAAAGGGATAGGGGACAGGGAACTTAAGAAATAATTAAGTAGAAAATTTTAGTGAAAAGGTTGTTAAGTAGGCAACTTGTGAAGTTTTCTAGAAAAATTATATAAATAATAAACCTCTTCCTAAAAATATGTTTCTCATTTATCAATAAGATTTTGATTACCCAAAGAGCTCCTTCTAAAAACCAATTGTTTATGACCTGTCAAAGTATCAGAATCTCCTTCCTCTTCTTTAACTTCTACAACGTTCACCGCTTTACCGTTTCTTTGTTGCTGTTGTTGTTGGATGTAAGCAGGCATAGGAGGAATTGGTGGAGGCTCTTGACCAGGCTCTTCAATGCTTGCCATTTGATGCACTTAAAAATTATAAACTACTATTTATTAGGAAAAAAAGAAAACTTTGTCTTAATTGTTGGTGACCCTGATAAGGCGGTGGTGGTTGTGTTTCTCTACGTTGCTGCGCCGCTTCTTGATAGTTTGGAGGAGGTGGTGGAGCGGCCAATTCAGTGACAACATTTCCTTTTCGAGTTTCCACTGAGTGGTCTCGCAACAATCGACGGCAACCACCTTCACGTCGGTTGGACACACCTTGAAAGGGGATAGTATAAAAAGATCAAAAATTTAAAAAAAAAACCTCCGTTCCTCTCAATCCCAGCCATTAAATGAAATCCACCAGAGGAAACTCGATCTCCTGCCAACCTTCGCCTCGTTGCCTCTGGTAATTGCTCCAAATACGCATTTAATTGACTAGCAGACGCATTAACCAAATAACGTCTGGAAAAAATATTTCATATAATTATAGAAAAATCGTTAAATATACTTTTTACTCGAAGAGCTAGTAGAAGAGGCACTTTGTCGATAAAGGGGAGTGCCTCCATTAGACGGTTGTTCTTCTGATCCAGGCGAAATATCAGCATGCGCAAGGGGCTGTTCAGAGGAAGAAGAACGTGATTGACTTCGAATTTGTTGACGTTGTGGTGAAGGCAGATCTGCGGGCACACGATTCATTTGAAGATTACTGACAAAAAGGGATACTTTAAAAAATTCCGAAAAATATTTTTACAAAACCTCGGTTTTTGTATATTTAATGTTGGTGGTCTTTCAATAATTCTATTCCGTTTTTCTGCCAATTTCCGACCAAGTTCCTCCATTCGTGCCATCACATCTTGTGAAGCAATCCTCTCATCATAAAGTGTTGCACCACGAGCACTAGTAGGTAATTCAGCTGTTGAGCGATAGAAAAATTTTGACCCTCGAATTGATGAAAATGGACTGTTATGTTCATTCTAAAAATTTCTTTTTAAAATTTTCAAAGAAAAAAATTTAATAAAAAAAACCAATTCAGTTGGATAATAACCACCAATTCCACTACCAGCACCTCCAGAACTAGCTAAAGAACTTTGACTTCCCATAAAATGACGCAAATCCTTTTCCAGCATTCTTACACGAACATCTAAAGATCGACGTTCTTCTGCCCACTGCATTTGTATTCTCATTTTATCATCCAATAATTCTTGTATTCTTCTTTCTTTTTCTGCTTTTTCAATTTCCCAACGTATTGTCATTGCTTCAATTTCTGTTCCACCACCACAATTTTTTAAATTTTTTTGTTGCTGTTGCTCATTTACGCCACCAAATCTTCTTTGAATTTGAAGTAAAGAAGTTTCTAATTGAGAAATTCTTTCCTCTTTTTGATTCAATTCTTTTTTTAATTTTAACATTTCGTCTGTTGCTTCAGGTGTATTATTATTAGCACAACCAGCAGCAGCCGTTATTGCACCTCCTTTACGTCCAAGACTTCCTATAGCTTGTGAATTATTTTCTTTGGCTAATTGAAGACGTAATTGTGTCAATTCCATTTCTAATTGTGCTACTTGACGTCCATGCTGTTCTTTTTGACGTTGCTTGTCTTCCAATGCTTCTTGTAAAATTCTTAAAAAGAAAAAAATGAGGAAATCAAGACAAGGGGGAAGGAAGACGCCAAAACGTGAACGAAAATATTTCTTCCGAGGGGAAAATTGGGAAAACCCGGCAAACGGAAAGGAAAAAAAACTTTCTTCCAAATTTTACTAATCTTTAAAATTTTCTGGTGGCGTTGCTTGAAGAGATTCCATATAAACCCCATTTCCATATAAAAACAAAATCTATAAAAATTATAAAAACCTTTGTAAATGGGAACATTTATCAACAACAGCAGCTGCATCTATCGCTGCACGTTCCTTAGCTGCCAGTCTTTCCTGTGCATTAGCTAAAGCCTTCTCCAAAACTTCAATGTGTGTCCTTTGTTCCTCCAAAGTAGCGCTTTGTGCATCCAATTCCAAACGTTGTCTTTCTTGTATAACCAACAATTCATTATTTTTTGGAATTAATTCATTCAATAAAAAATGTATTTGTTGGTCATTATTAACTTCCCCCGTCTTTTGTTGTACTCCAAAGATTGCACCAATATTTGCATTTTGTGAACGTAATTGCTCGTTTTCAGCGTCCAATACACGCAATTGATGTTCTAATTTTTGTATTGCTATTTTACTCAATTCTTCACGTCTTTCCTGTTGACAAAGCATCTGTTCATAATCTTTTTCTATTTTTCTGTAGGAAGATTCTAATTGTTCCAAACGATTACATTTACGTTGTAATTTTTCTAAAAAAATATTTTTTTAATTTAAGAATAAAATTAAAAAAAAAACCAATTTGTTGTTTTTGTTGAATCAAATTTGTTGAATTTTGATCATCCTTTTGTTGCTGTATTCCATTCAAAAATTTATTTTCATTTTCTAATTGTTGATTAGTCGATATTTTTTCTGTTCGATCACTTTCTGATTTGTACAAATCATTTTTGAAGGGAACTTCTGTTGTTTTCTTGGGAGTTTGTTGAGGAAGATTGTCAGGTCTAGAAAAATTGAAAATTAGGTCAGAAATTCAAACCCCCTAAAAATCATCGTAGTTGGTAATTAAAGAATTTTTTCTTAAATAAAGACATCGACGTCTTTCAAGGTCTCTATCCTACTAATAAACTTTATTATTAAAAACCTCTTTCCACTGTCTTCATTCGATTTTGTTCCATCCAAAAATAAACAAGGATGTGAATGGCTCATTGGCGTCTGTTGTTGTTGTGCAGTTATTCTTGATAAATTTAATTCTTAAAAATAATTTAAAAACCGAAACTTTTTCAGCAAGTGGCTAGTACTTCTTTCAGCAGTCTTCAAAGAATTTTTCGTAGTGTGTTCCATTTGTTGATTTTGTGTCTGCTTAATTACATGTTTGCTGTAATTCTCGATCATATTTTGTAATTGATCTTCATCGCAGACTTCCTCTAAGAGTAAAATATTTAGAAACATTTATTTTAAGCAAACCGTTTTCTTCCATCGTTTCAATTACTTGCTGTTGTGCTTGTTCATTGGCTTCATGCAACAGATGAGGCAATATGCTAGCTTCATTGAGCGCATTTTCATTAACAATAATTGGCCAAGAAGAGGCAATATTTGAATTATTTTTGCCTTTCATATCATTTAAATTAAAACAAAAATATTTAAGATTAAAAACGTTTTAAAAGATATTTAAAGCAAAAAAGCAATTTTTGGATCTAAATAAACAAGTTTTGTATGAAATTTTTATTCAATTTTTAATAATTCATTTTTAAAAATCACACCAAATTTCCCATTTAAAATTCTAATTATCTCATCCTCCATTGCGTCCATCAACAGGAGGTTGATTCTCCTCATCACGATTAAGCTCCAAAGCTTGAACACGCTGAGAAAGACGGTGTACACTGTGTCTAAGAGTCTTCAAATCAGCTCCAAATTCCAAACGGCGTACAGATCTTCTAATTGCGTCCACGTCAGTCCGAATTTGTGTAACGTCTGTTCTAACTGCCACCAACAAATTATAAACATCCTCGATAGTTATTGCATGGCCTGCCATTTTCTTAGTGTTAATTTAAAATTGTTTGTAATTAGAACCCCAATACGTGAAGAAATCAAGGCATTCAAAACCTTTAAAATACAAAAGCAAAAAATACTTTAAAAAACTTTTATTTACTACGGCACAAGTAAAACTACTCGTATCATAATTAAATATTAATGACTGAAACAAATTTGACTAAAATTCATTAAATCAAGCAAAAATCATTTCTTTCCTATAATTCAATTTCGACTCAACATCTATTCAATTGTTTTCAAACGAAGAGTATTTGTTGCACCAGAACCTTTAAAAATTAAAAAAATTAAAAGTTAAAAATAATTTAAAAGACCTGTACGCCAACCAGTAATAACCACAACAATATCTCCAGTATGGATAAAACCACGCGATTTTCCTTCATCAATTCCCACTTCAATACGTTTCTCAAGATCAGTCGTCCAATCAGGTTCTCGTTCCATTTTAGGATAATGAAGAGGAAATACTCCTTGATACAAATGTAATTGCCGGGCAACTTGTGCATCACGAGAAACCGCAATAATTGGGACTGGCGGCTTATAACGAGAACAATCGATTGCTGATTTGCCAGTTGTCGTCATAACCACAATAGCACTAGCACGACACGAAATAGCCGCAGAAGTAGCAGCAATTGCTATTGTTTGTGTTTTGTCTGTTGGCTTTTTGGTGTCTTTACAAATTTCTTGAAAGAATTTTGCATGGAAAAAGGCCGATTCTGCCTCTTTGCAAATCTTTAAAAAAAGTAAATAAAATACTAACAATAAACAAAAACAAATTACATTATGCATAGTGATGAGAGTTTCAACGGGATATTCTCCCTTAGCAGTCTCACCAGAAAGCATAACACAATCAGCGCCATCCAAAACAGCATTGGCAACATCACTTCCCTCAGCGCCTTTAAAATATGAAATAAATTCGATAAAGTTATAAAAATTATTTACGCGTTGGACGTGGCTTCGAAACCTTAAATTTAAAAAGTTATTCAATGAAATGTTACAAAGAAGGTTTACCATGGATTCAAGCATTTGCGTAGCACAAATGACAGGTTTTCCAGCAATATTACATTTTGAGATTAGCATCTTTTGTGCAATAAATACTTTCTCGGCTGGAATTTCGATTCCCAAATCTCCACGAGCAACCATAACACCATCAGAAGCCTCAATTCTTGAAATGTTTTAATTATTGATAGTTTAATAAATGTTTAAAAAATACATTTCATCAGCATTGTCAACCCCTTGTTGATTTTCAATTTTTGAGATGATCTTTATATTCTTTCCTTTCTCCCCAAGAACTTCACGGATGGTGCGAATAGCTTCAGCGTCACGAATGAAAGAAGCAAAGATTATATCAACACCCTTAAAAGGAGGAAAGGTTATCTTTAACGACGAAGAAACTAAACCTGTTCCACTCCAAAAAGTAAATCGCTGGTATCCTTCTCAGAAACAGCCGGCAAATCAACTGCGGTCCCTGGAAGATTCACTCCTTTGCGGCTGCCAAGTTTCCCGCCATTCTCGACTTTACAAGAGACTGCGCCGTCACCTTTAAAAGTTTTTAGGTTTTCTAGTCTATAGATCACAAAAACAAACCAGTAATTTCCTCGACAATAAGAGAAATCAACCCATCATCGATAAAAACACGAGAGCCAGGCTTGACGACTTTAACAATATTCTTGTAATCGACAAAAAGGCAAACACCAGTTGAAGACTTTTCAAATGCCGGATCAGTTGTAAGCCTTATAGAAGCATCCTTTTCGAGTGTGACCTCTGCAGAGCCTCCCTACAAATTTTTGAAAGATTAAAGAAATAATGGTTAATAAAACATACCCCAACAAGGAGACCAGTCCGAATCTCTGGTCCTTTAGTATCAAGAGCAATCGCGACAATCTTGGGTGGATTGAAGCTGTTGGCTGCTTCACGAACATTTTTGATTGTTCCGGCGTGATACTGAAATTGTAAAAGACATTTAATCGTTTCAAATATCAATTTAAAAAACTTCGTGATCTCCATGAGAAAAGTTCATACGGGCAATATTCATGCCATTTTCAATCATTTTCTTCAACATTTCAACAGAGCGACAAGCAGGTCCTTTAAATTTGACATTAGAAAATAAATAGAAAAGTCACCAATGGTGCAGATAATTCCAGTTTTGCGCACAGAAAACGGACTTGTCGTAACATTCAAACGAGATAAATGCTCCAAATTTGTGTTTGCAAGAGATTTCTCCATCATTTTTAAGCTCTTTAAATTATGACTGAAATAAAAAATATTTAAAGTTATCAACAAATTTTAGTAATTTTTAGAAAGAAAAATGTATCGAATGACAACAAAAGGTTAAACATAACCTTTGATCATTCTTTTTTATTGTCCCCTTCTCCATATTTTGCCAATTAGGCTAGAAATCTACGTTTTGCCACAAACTAGTCAGCAAACCGCGTGTTTTTAGCCTTCTTGGCAAAATGTGTATTGGCGAAATATGTAAAATATGGGAAATTGGCAAAATATGGGAAGTTTTTTTTTATAAATTTTGGATGAGACGCTAACTCTCTCGCCATTTCTCAATTATCCCAAAAATCACTCATGCTTTTACATGCTCTTTTCATATTTTATCAGTAAAGTCCCAGGAAAAAATTATACATTTTTGAGTTATGTGCTGAGACTCAATTAGTTTAAATTTAATTTTTATAGCGGGCCAGTTAAGCGCAGCCAGTTGATTGTCAGCCAAATTTTACTGGGTATATCTTTTTTACCCCTGAACATATCCGTATGAATCTTGTATCATTCGAAAGCTCTTGATAAGCGCTATCTTTATCTCAACTGTATTCATCAAATCTGATCGTCTATTAAAGAGTTACAAGTCGATAAGTGTGAAAAACAACGATTTTTTGCACTTATCGACTTGTAACTTTTTAATGGGTGATCAGACTTGATCCATCCTGCCGGAAAAAAGATTGGGCTCGTCGAGTGCTTTCGTTTGATATAAGTCTCATTCTGATTTGATCAATCGAAAAAAAGTTATAGCCCATCAAATTCGGCTGACGCTCATCGGCCACGCTGAACTGTCCTACTCGTCGAAAATTGGCGAAATGTTTTACCTATTAAAGTTGGCGCAATATTTGAAAAAAGATGACATATTTAAGCGGGATTCCGTTTGTCCTTTGTTTTTTCATTTTCTTTTTCTATCCTTAAATAATAAAAAATTTTAACAGAAAAAGTCTTTTAAAAAATGCCACCAGCTGGAGTTGCTGATACTCCCGTTAAGGATGCTGCTGCTAGTGAAATTAAGCCAGATCCGGATTATGAATTTCGCCGTAAAGCTTTGGATCTAGTTGAAGATTGGCAAAAGCATGACAGCGACAGTCAAGAAGACAAAAAGCACCGAGAAGAAACAATTTTGCCAAAAATCAAAGAACTTGTGATTCATAATTTGAATCACAATGCTGAGATTGAGGCTTGCGATATATTGATGGAAATTGAGAGGATTGATCTTCTGAAAGAAATGGCACAAAAATTGGAACATTTGGACTATGAACGAATTTGCCTTTATATTTTGAGGTTTTTTATTTTTAAAAATTCTATATGAATTAACGTCTTTTAGCTGTGCTCCTTTCATTCCTGATCCAGAGAACATTACTTTGATTAATATGGCAAGGGATTTGTATATGCACTTTGGAAAGAATATTGAAGCTTTACGTTGTGCAATGAGAACCAATAATACAAGTGCTATTGAAAAGATTTTTGGGTCAACAACTGATGGGTATGCTTATATTTCTTAGGAGCGCGTTGTAATACCAAACGCCGAAATACCAAACTTGAAAATAAGAAACATTAGTTATTCTCCAATCACATAAAAGGTTGCCTCAACAAGACTGAAGGTTGTTCCATCACGTAGAAGATTGTTGACAATCCACATCTTGGTATTTAGTCATCTCTTTGGGGTTCGTATTTCGGCGTTTGGTATTACGGAATCATACCGATTTTTAATTTTCTTTTTTAACTTGTAGAGCAATAAAAATGCAAATGTCTTTGATGCTTGGACGACAACAAATCTTTCTAGAAGTCGAAGATCAGCTTCTCTCTCAATTAAATGCGAATTTCTATTTGAACAAACACTTTCTTGCCTTTGCTCGCGAATTGGATTTGATGACACCAAAAACTCCAGATGAGGTTTACAAAACTTATTTGGAGCCAAATCGCCCATTTGCTACTCAACAAGTTAAAAATATGACTCTGCAGAATTTGGCTTCTTCTTTTGTCAATGGTTTTGTTAACGCGGGATTTGGAACTGACGCGTTTTTCAAAGATGAGAAGAGCACTAGTGATTGGTTAGCAAAGCACAAAGAATGGGGTTAGTTTATTTGGAACTTTTTAAATTAAAAATTCAATTCAAGCCGCTTTTTCTACCGCTGCTACGTTTGGCTTGATTCATCATTGGAATGTGGATTCACTCAACAACTTTGAAATTCATACACAATCAAAGGATATTTATGTGAAGGTTATTGACAATTGATTAAATTTATTTTTTTATATTCTTTAATTTTTTAAGGCTGGCGCTCTATTTGCCACTGGTATCGTCTTTTCAGGCGTCCAAGATCCCGAAGTCGATCCTGCCTATGCCATCTTGCAGGATTTTCTGTTCAATGAACACTTACCTTTACGCGTTGCGTCAATATTTGGTCTGGGATTAGCCTATGCAAATAGTAAACGTCAAACAGTTATTGACCAAGAGGAAAGTGTTGTGCAGAGTTTAAGAAAGGTTTTCTGTCTTCCTAAGTTTTTAAATAAATTGTTTAAAGGTTATCGCGGATGATCAAATATTGGCTAATCAAGCTGAAGTAAAAGGATTGGCAGCATTGTCTCTCGGGTTCATTCTTATTGGATCAGGAAGAGAAAATAGTGAAACTGTCTGTGAATTGCTTACTTATTTAATGAGTGGAGTCGATTTGAATGACGTTAATATGCGATTGGTGGCTCTTGGAATTGGGCTTATATTTTTGGGTATTTTTGATTTTCTAGACGATTATTTTTTTTATTTTTTAGGAAGACAAAATGAATGCGATGAGACAATACTTGAACCACTTAGAGCTCTTTCCGACCCATTTGGAAAAATTGCTTCAACATTGGTAGATGTTTGTGCTTATGCCGGAACTGGAAATGTTTTGAAAGTGCAAGAGATGTTGCATATTTGTTCTGAACATTACGAGAAGGAAGCACAGAAAGAGGAGGTTTTGGATTTTTAATTTCTGATATTAGAGACATTTTTTTATTTTCTAGTCAAAAACCAAAGTTCCTTCTGGTGCTCCATTGCCCGATATTACTGCATCAGCTGCCTCTGTGCCAACTAATTCTGCAAATGGCGATGCAGAGGAGGGAGAGGCTGCTACCTCCACAAAATCGCAAACAAAGAGCGAAGAGGCTCCAGAATGTTTAAGTCAAGCAGTAGCTGTTCTTGGGATTGCGCTTGTTGCAATGGGTGAAGATATTGGATCACAAATGTGCCTTCGCCAGTTTGGACACTTGGTTATTTAAATATATTTTTTCGTTTTTACAAAAACTTTTTTTAGTATCGCTATGGAGAACCAGTTATTAGACGTGCCGTTCCTTTAGCTCTTGCTCTATTGAGTCCATCAAATCCTCAATTAACTGTTATTGAAACACTCAGCAAATATAGCCACGATTCTGATGCAGAAACTGCAAGGAACGCAATCTTTGCCTTAGGATTGGTTGGAGCAGGAACGAATAATGCAAGAGTATTGGCAATGTTAAGACAATTGGCTAGTTATCATTCACGTGATCAGGTTTTGTTTTTTGAACTTTTTTTCATCAAAAGAATTTTATTTTCCAGAAAACAATGATTCTTTTACGCATTGCTCAAGGCTTAATTCATTTGGGTAAAGGAACAATGACTTTAAACCCATTCCACTCTGATCGTCAATTGATTTGTCCAACTGTTGTTGGAGCATTGCTTTGCACTTGTTTGGCTTTTATTGATTCTGAACAAAGTATTTTTCTAACTTTAATTTTTGCTTATTCCTTTTTAGCCGTACTTAATGGTCGACAACACTATTTACTCTTCTCATTAGTTGCTGCCATCCAGCCAAGAATGTTAATAACGGTCGTGCAGGATACAAAGGATGAGAATGAATTGGTTCAAAAATCTGTTAGTTTTAATTTTGTTACCAAAAAATTTTTTAAATTAAAGGTGCAAGTTCGTGTTGGTCAAGCTGTCGATGTTGTCGCTCAAGCCGGCAAACCGCGTGCAATTACTGGATTCCAGACGCACTCAACACCTGTACTGTTAGGCTATGGCGAAAGGGCTGAACTTGCCGATGATGATTGTAAGGAAATTGTGTTTTATTTTTAATTTTCTATTTTTCAGATATTCCATTGACACCTGTTTTGGAAGGAATCGTGATTTTGAAGAAAAAGGAGAACGAGGAAGAAAAGAAAATTAAAAAGTGATAATCGTTTTTTAATTAAATATTTTTAAAAAAGTGTAATGATTTGTTTGACCCTTCTATTCTTTCCGTATTTTCTCTTATGGCAAATTGGGCCTAAGTACACTTTACCGGGGGATTTTAGATTTGAACAATTTATATGTCATTCGAAAGAGCTCGGCGAGCTGAGTCGAACGACACCAAAATTAGCCCGCGGACTCAACTGTGGGCCAAGATATAGGTCCCCAAAAATCGAAAAATCATAGGGGGGACCAAGCACATTTTGGGGGTGAAAAATTCGAATATGCGAATTATACCTCATTCGAAAGAGCTCGTCAAGCTGAGTCGAATGAGACCAAAATCAACGAAATCCGACTTGATTGGACCGAGATATAGACCCCTAAAAACCGAAAATCCAAAGGGGCGATTATTGGAATTAAAATTTTTTTAACCATATTAAAGCTCTTTCGAAAGAGCTCGACGAGCTGAGTCGAATGACACCAAGATCACAGTGATTGAACAAATTTAGACAAAGTTACAACACAAAATACAAGCAACATAAACCTATGGGGCGTCGGCGAGGCGCTTGTGCAAAACCCCGCGCTTCGCGCGGGGTTTTGCGGCACGCGCCTCGCGGGGAGTCTACGGGCGCTGGGTCTGGGCTCGTAACATAAACTTATGCCTATTTTAGCTGCGGTCGGCATGTCTGGCTTCCTCCCCAGTAAGAAAAACCTGCACGTGTTTTTGCATTTGCGGAAAATGCAAAAACAACTATCGAACATCACAGCAAAAAATTTCGTCCCCAAAGAGGGAACAACTCCAAGTCTCAAGTGAGAGATTCGAACCATACAATTACCAAACAAAAGAAAATCAATTTTATTCAATTTAATAAATATCAAAATTATTTAACCTTTTTTTATTCATTTACTTTAACCTCAATTTAAAATGTCAACAGAAGCAGCTCCGGAGGAAGCCGGGCTAACTGCATCCTCCCCTCCACCAACAATACCAGCTGCAGCAGCTACAAAACCTCCACCAGCATTCCCGCCTCCACCAGCATCATCGCCTCCATCTCCCTCTTAAATTAAAGCGGATAAATTAAATATCAAAACTACAAAATTCTTACCCACAAATGGAATTGTTGAAGCCCTTCCTTCTTTAAAAAGAGCAAATTGTGTTTCTAAATCTGACAAACGAGTGTCTGTTCGGTCATGGCGAGCTCGAAACTGAAAATATAATTTGTAAAATTTTATTGTGAATGTCCAGCTTTGAATAAACACTTAGGATTAGATTTATTTCAGTCAAATCATATGGAGAACGAAAGTCAAAAACTACTAGAAAGGAATTGAAAATTTTCAGTTTTAAAAAAACACTCAAAGCTGGACTGCAAATAAATCAATCATACTTCATTTCGTAAGTCAGTAATCATTGCCGCCAGCGGCTCAAAAAAAATGATCCGAATATTATTCAAAAGAGCAATGGCTAAATCCATGTTGATTTTCTAATTTTTTTTTTATTTTAAGTGAGTATATAAACTTCCTAAATAAAAAATCTAGCTTCCCCAAAAACAAAGTAAATCAAAATAAAAATAAAAAAATCGTAAATGGAGAAAATCGAAAATAAAATTTGAAAGGAAAACAGTTTGCCAATTCCGCCAAAAAAAAAGAAAATTTAAAAAGTAAAATCCGGTTCGGTGCCAGAGTTAGAGTGTCCCAGTTACAACCTGACAACTGCACGAGTGAAAACCAGCCCTTCTAAACTTTTCTACATTTCCTAAGGGATAAGTCGGGTATTCTCAAAATATCAGATTTTTTAAAGCATTTTAAATACCTGTTCAAAAAAATTCACTTGCCCATTTGGGATTAAAGAATGCCCAAAAAATTGATTGTTTTGCAACAGAGCCACATCCAAGTTCTATAAGGGGCAAAAATAAACATAAAATTTTTTTATTATTTGATACATGACCAGTATGAGTATGATTCCGAGAGCTAGCTTCGTAAAGCTAGTTTCGCATTTTAAATTTCATTGAGCCCCAAGTGTTTTATTATTTTGAATAGAGAAATCTTAATAAATATATAGAATCGTTACATTTTGAAAAAAAGCATTGTTAAATAAATCCAACTGCATAGATGGATAAACACTCTCCCCCAAAAAATAATTGTTCTGCACCAAAGACGCGTCCAAATTGTTCTTAAATCAAATGTATTGATTAATAGGAAAATTTTTTTTGGTAAATATTAAAAATTTGTATTTTGTAAGGAGAGGTGCGTGGTGGGAGTTATTCGGTATGCCCAAGACTTTCGGTTTTGCGTCCTGATTTTAGACTTTTCTTGGTGGTTTTCGGTCTTGGGGCCCGGTCTTTGTTTGAATCTTGCAAAATTTTTAATTTTGCCACTTATGTGGCAATATCCACAAAATTATTGAAAATTAAGGAATTAAAAAATATTTTTTAAATAAATATAAACGCTAACATATTGAACCAAAGCTTGGCTAGCTTCATTTAAACAAATATTTTTTTGATTTTCAATTTTTGAAATTTTTTGTTGTTTTTTCGAAAGACGTTTTGTATTTTTTTTAATATTTTTAAGTGATTTACGACATTTTTTGGCTCGTATATGTCGATTTAGCAAAAATCGAGTCGTTGATTTTTTAAAAACTTTAAATTTCTTGTTGTAACCCATTTTTAAGCAAAAAGTGTTGAAACAAATATTTTTGAAGATTTTTTTAAATTTGCTGAATTTTCCAAAGCTTTTTAGGTTTAAATAACCTTAATAATTTATGCTAATATTAAATCTTGTTAAAAACTTTTTTTAATGAAAACACAAAAAATTTTTAAAGAATTTTAACAAGAGAACTTTATATAGTAAATATTTTATCGATTGAAAGCATTTCATTTTGGTAATTCATAATATCTGAATTTTAAAATGTCCATCGATTTTTGGCCAAATGTTTATTTGGTATTTTTATTGGAGAGGGGCTGGACTTTTTGGATTTCCGTGATTAACAAAAAAATCAGAAGACTTTCCAAAGGGTACCACGAATAGGAAGAAAGATCCCTTGTCAAAGTTGTGTCAGCGGCAAAATGGGCTGTTTCAGATCATTGAGTGTCGAAGATTGAATTTTGGCCTTTTTGATACTGTACCCACAAATCGAAAATTTTATCAAAAAAAAAAGTTTTTTTAATTTTTTAGTCAGAATTTTAATTTCTTTTAAGAAAATGGACAAAATATTTACAATATTATTAGCGACAACAACAATAATTTCAATTTACGAAGTTGTAAGTAATGAAAATGCTCAATTAAAAGAGGAAGGGGACGAAATTAAAACACCAAATAATGACAGAGATTCGTTCAGTCAATTTGATGATATTGGAAATGAAGAAGAACCGGAATATAAATATAAGGAAGAGGCCCAGGATAAAGTAGAGGAGGAAGAAGATGAATTAAGAATTAGAGAACCAACGAGGGAAAAGCCAAAAGGAGGAGGGGCGTTTAAACCGCCAATAAATATGCCTCCAGTGAAATTTTCGTTTTGGTTTTTTTTGAATTTTTTAAAAGTTTTTTGAAATTTTATTTTAGTGTGTCTTGTGGATATCGACAGGCATATGAACAATTTGCTCAAATTTTGAGAGAAAAATATCCAGGGATTGAAGTTGTAGGAGAAAATTATGCTCCTGGACTGGCTAGAGGATTGGCGGCACAGGTTTGGAAATTTTAATTTTTTTTTGGGTTTTTACTGTTTTTTTTGTTCAAGTCAGGGATGTCACAGCTATCCGATACTCGAAACCATGACATTTTTATACCCAACCAGAGAAATTTTCGAGAACCCATTCAGAACCCCGACCTGGCGTTTTTCGCTCTTAATCTTTTAACTGATCCGACTCGAAATCTTGACTTTTAGAAACTCGAAACCCGGCTGACTTGTTCCTCAACCAGTGACATCCCTGGTCTGAAGTATCCTTTGGATAATTTTTGTCTTAAAAATTCATTAAAATGTCAAAAATTCTTTTTAACACTTCACCTTTTAAAAATAAATTTTTTAAATTTTTAGTTGTTAGGCTTTGCAAAAATTGCCTTAATTATTTGTATAATTATGGGAAGAGATCCATTCCCTTCTCTAGGCCTTCAAACTCCGCGGTTCTTTCAATGGATGGCTAATAATAAAATGTCTGCTTCTATAATGATTTTTCTTTTTTCAAATGCTATTGAAGGGTTTTTTGAATTTTTATTTTTAAATTATTTAATTTTTTAAAGAATGTTACAATCAACGGGGGCTTTTGAAATTTATTTGGAAAATGAAAGGATTTGGTCTAAATTGGAAAGCGGGTATATTTTTTTGTTTAAAATTATTGGGAGATGTAAAAGAGTGAAGGGCTGTTCTTGCAGACTTTTTCTTTGTTAAAAACGAGCCAAGGGAAATTTGAGGAGAAAAGTCTGCAAAAACAGTGCTTCATTCGGTATGAGGGCGTAATACCAAACGCCAAAATACCAAACTTTTAAACGACGTCGGAATACCAAAACGTTGAAGACCTTCCGCGTTAATGTAGGAACCTTTATTTTCTTGCAACCTTTACAGTGTAATTCAGAATACCCAGATATGCATATTTGTGTTTTTCACAATTTAATATTTTGGTAGCTTTTTTAAATTTTTATATGAAATTTTTGGATGTTGTCATTTCGGCGTTTAGTCTTGCGGCGCGTTCCACTTCATGTTTTTACAAATCCCTAATAAATTTTTATTATATTTTTAATTATTTCTAATATTTCTAGTCGTGTTCCTTCTCCACCTGAATTATTTGAAGCAATTGACAGTCAAATAACTTTAAGAGGACCTAGCAAAGTATTTTTTTTAACTTAAAAATATTTTAAACAAAATTTTTTTAGTTTTCGGGTTCTTCATTTGGTATAGACGATTCAAATTAAGTTTATTAAAAAAAGAAAAATGGGCAAGTTTGAACCTCATATTGTTGGAAAAGAATATAAATTGGTCACTCACTTTGCTGCTTAAAAATTATTTTATTTTGATTTTATTTTGATTTTATGTCTTTTTTTGATATTTTTAATTAAATTTAGGATATTAAAAAAATTTTTATTTTTAAAAAATGCTATTTATCAATCGAAATATTTTTTAAATTTTTTTAAATTAAATTTTTTGAAAATTTAAAGGAAAATGTTGGATATAGAAGATTCAATTGAAAGAGTTCCTCTAGCTCAAAACAATCAAAACGGTTTGGTTAAGAATAAATTTGAAACATTCTTCAATATCAAAACTAGAAGAAAACGAAAAGAGGAGGTTGAGGAAGAAAAACAAATGACGAAAAATGAGTTGGAAAGTGTTCTTCCTTGGAGTTTGTTTTGTTTTTTTTAATAAATGGGGATAAGGGGGTGACATTTTATCTAAAAAATTTTTTTGAGGTAGAAAGGATTGAGGGCAGTTTATCCAAAAATTTGATAATAGAGAGAGTGAGATGAGTGGCCTTTTGTCCATTGAATTTTTTAATAGGAGTTGGGGTGCTATTTCCAATTCAAATTTTCTGAGGTATTGTCTGGTTAGCTTTTGAATTTTGATTCCGATTTTTAAAATTATCTAGAAATTTAATTTGGTAATCTTCTTTAGAACGTCTGACTTTTTTAGGAGATGGGCACGAAAAGATGAAGTTATATCCCTTTCTTTAATTTTCTATTCAACTTTTTTAAAATTACCTTTTTTGTAGATAGAGTTGTCTATTTACGAACTTGGGGATGCTCTCATAACAATTCTGATTCTGAATATATGGCTGGACTTTTATTAAAAGCTGGATTTAAAGTAACGTCAGAAAAAGAATTGGCTGATATTTGGCTTTTAAATAGCTGTAAGTTTTTTTTTGAAAATTAGAAGAATTAAAATTTTTGGAGGCATTGTCCGCAAATATTCTTGCGGATGTCTGCAATTTTTTTGCAGATAAAAAAATTTTTTAAAAATTATTTTTTAAAGGCACGGTGAAAACTCCATCAGAAACAATGTTAGAAAATCAGGTAAAAGAAGGCAAATCTAAAATGAAAAGAATTGTTGTTGCTGGATGTGTTCCTCAGGTTTTCTTTGCTTACTTTTGGGGAAAATTTCTTTTTTAATTTTTAGGCAGGTCCACAAATTTCTTGGTTAAAAGATGTTAGCGTTATTGGAGTTCAACAAATTGATAAAATTGTTAATGTTGTTGAGGAAACTTTAAATGGAAATAGTGTTCGGTTTCTTTCTAGACAAAATAAATCGGCAAATGCGATGGATCTTACTCTTCCTAAAATGAGTTTGTTTTTTTTTATTTTTGATGGTTCGCAAGAATATTTGCGGTCTTTGGAGGCATTGTCCGCAAATTTTTTTGCGGGTGTCTGCAATTTTTTGCGGATAAAAATTTTTTTCGGGAAAGAATTTTTTCTTATAGGAAGAAACGAATTTATAGAAATTCTAGCAATTAATAGTGGATGTTTAAATCATTGTACTTATTGCAAAACAAAGGTTTTCTTGATTAACAAATTTTTTAGAATAATTTTTAGGCTGCTAGAGGAGACCTTAAAAGTTTTCCTTTAAATGCTTTAGTTGACCAAGCAAAAAGAGCCTTAACGGAACAAGGTTGTCGTGAATTGTGGCTAACTTCTGAAGATTTGGGGGCGTGGGGAAGAGATTTTGGTATGGTTATTCCAGATTTACTTCAAGCTTTGGTCGAAATAATTCCTGATGGTTGCATGGTTTGAAAATTTTGATTTTTTATTAAAGAATTTTTTCAAAAAAGATGAGAATGGGAATGACAAATCCTCCATATATTCTTGATCATTTGGAAGAAATTGCACAAATTTTAAATCATCCAAAAGTTTATTCATTTTTACATATTCCTGTCCAGTCTGGAAGTAATGCTGTTTTGAGTGATATGAAAAGGGAATATACAAAAGAACATTTTTGTCAAATTGTTGATTATATGATTAAAAAGTAAGTGGGGTGTTTTGAAGGCTTGGGAGACTCAGAGCTAGTTAGACTCTTTTTCAAGATTAGAGAGGGGACTAGGAAACACATTTTAAGACGAGAGGGTCAGAGGCATTAGGCCCTGAAACCACTAGTGTTCATAAAACCGATATGTCCTCCGTTATGTCTGGCTCCTGCTTTCATTTAAAAGTCTTTAAAAAAATTTTTTTTTAAGTGTGCCAAATATTTATATAGCAACAGACTTTATTTGTGCTTTCCCAACGGAAACTGAAGAAGATTTTGAAGAAAGCATGGGATTAGTTAAATTATACAAATTTCCAAGTCTTTTTATCAATCAATTTTATCCCAGGCCGGGAACACCAGCTGCTCGTTTAAAGAAAATAAATACTGTTGAGGTTATTTTTTTGAAAAAATTTTTTTTTCTAATTGACTGCTGGGTGGGATTAAGAGTTTTTTCTTGAATTTAGAAGTTTTTTAGGGATTAAAAACCCGCATGAACCCCGGATTTTTGACCTGAAATCTGAACTCCACCCTGAAAATTTTTTTCAAATCCAAGCCTGACCCATCACCTCACCCAAGAATCTTTAAAAATTTTTAGGCCCGTAGACGAACCTCCGAAATGACTCGTCTTTTTCATTCCTACCATCGTTATGATGAATCTAGAATAGGAAAAGAATATTGGGTTTTAATTTGTGAACGTGCTTCTGATGGGAAAAGTTATGTTGGGCATAATAAATGTTATGGTTTGTGAGAAAAAAAATTTTTTTTGAAAATTTTTAAAAATTTTTTAGAACACATTTTGGTCCCGGATCCATATGAGGATGAAATATTAAAAAATGAGAATTCTTCCAAAAATGGTTTTTTGTTAGGCAAATGGGTTTATGTTCGAATTGTTGGTGTTTCTAAATTTTATATGCGCTCAGAAATTTTAAATTGGAAAGGCCCTAAAGATGAAAATATTTTAAAGGAAAATTCTCTAAAATTGGCAAAGGATTTATTAGGTTTGCCTCCTTTATTTTTTATTTTTGGTTCTTTAATTTTGGCTTTATTGTTGAAATTTTATTTAAATTTTGTTTAAAAAAATTTTTCGGTGCCTTTTTTTTATTTTTTAGTTGGGAACTTTTTTAGAATTTTATTTTGGAAAAATTTTTCTGAGAATTTTCAAAAAATTTTTTAATGAATTTTAACTCTTGCAATATTTATACAAATTTGTTATTTAAAAAAAATACATTTTATAAGTTGCTTGTCAAATTTTTGAGGAAATTTTTAAAATTTTTTTGAGGGGGAGGGGGTTTGAAATTTTTTTTAAAAAATTCAAAGATTTTTTCTAGCGTTCAAAAATTTTTTTTTTCAATTTTTCAATTTCTTTTTACCGCTCTCTTTGTTGAGTATCATTTAATTCTTCATTTTCATCAATATCATCAACATCAACATTCTCTTCTTCCTCCTCTTCAATTAAATATTTTGACAAATTATTTCCTTTAGAAGTTTTTGAGGGTAAAACAGAAAACATATTTAAACAATTTCTAAATTTTGTATTTTTATAACAATTTTCGGTACATTCTGCTCTAAAATTAGGCATTGAATGAGAAAACATTTCATGACATAATTGACAAATTCTGTCCATTAAAACATGTAATTTTGGATTTGAATAAGCCTTTAAAGGGATGAGAAGGGTTTTTTAATTAAGAAAAAAGTTTATTCTTACTTTACAAGTTTTTTGTTTTAACCTTAAATTATTTGATGATTTAACTTTATAAATACGTCCTTCGTTTGTTGAATAACTAATTAATAAGAACAGGCAAGATAAGGTTGAAAAGGTGGCTTTAAAAATTGAAAAAAATTTTTTTTTAATTAGAAAATTTTTTCTTGTAAGATTTTTTTTCGAATTTTGAATATTTGAATCCCCCCCCCCCGTCCCAAAAAAATCTGCTTGATCTCCTTTACATTTTTTGGCCATTATAAGATTATAACTTGGCTATTAGTTAAACACCGAGCTTAATTTTTAGTGTCTCATTCGACTCGGTTCGGTGAGTTCTTTTGAATGACATAGTGTTTATCCGAATCAGAGTATGTATAGGTGATATGACGTAATTCTTTAGAGACGTCGAAGATTCTTGGTCTTGAAACTCAAGACTTTTTCTTTGGGGTTTTTCGGGCTTAGTCATGGGCCATGTAAGCTTTTTGATCTTGGAAATCCTTAGAATTTTTCCAAAAAAATTTTTTTAAGAATAATAAAAAGGCTTACAAATTTTTAAATTTGTCATTTGAGAGAGAGAGAAGTTTTCTTTTCTTTGTTAAAAAATTTTATATAATTAAAAATAAATGAATGATGAAAAGAAAAATGCCAAAAATAATATATTTATAAAAATTAATTAACGCCGTTCTTCTTCTTTACTCTTTTATTTTTTTCCCCAACTTTTTTATTTCCGTTTTTATATTTCATTGAATTTAAGTATTATTTATGTACTAACAGACAAAATTATTATTATTTTTTAAACACATTTTTGAGTGTTTTTTATCCTCATTAAAAGTTACAATTGTTAAAGAATTCTACAAAAATGGCTCTGCCTTTTTTTCGAACGAGAGCAGGCCAAAATGCCGCAAGGACAAAGTGCCGTAGAGCTATAACTTGGTTTAACCTTGTCTAATCCGTGAGGTTCTGATATGTTTCGATGCTCTTCGACCTGCTGAATCGAACCATACCAGGCTCTCTCGGATCCGATCATTTTGAAGAAAGCTATAGCTCAGCTGCACTTTGGCCTTGCGGTACTTTGGGACGTTCCTTTTTTCCTCAAACACAACCTACAAAAAGAATTTTTTGATATCTTGAGATGACAAGAAGAAGGAGAAAAATTATTAATTGGCAAAATTGCAAAGCTCAATTCTTGTTATTATTTTACACAAAATCTATTTTTAAATAGAAAAAGGGGCACAAAAATGGATCTTTTCTTTAATCCGCTACAAAAGACTATATAAGGCTGATGTGGAGAATAATTAGAGGGGATGCTTAACCACCTTCGTTTTTTTACAAAAAATTTTAATAATGGACCAAAAAAGGTTTTAATTAATTATTTTTAGGTGTTTAACTCAAAAGTGATTAAAATGTGCCTCATTACCCTTTTGAATATTAAACTTTATTTTATTTTTGGCATTTTGTATTTAATTTGGATAATTTGTCATTTAATTTATTTTGGTCGATTCGAGTCTCATAAATTTAATTTTTTTTCAATTTCTGAGGATTTTGTTAGAGTTTGTGGGGATCCGGTACCGGAATCCCATTTTTAAGCAACAACCATGACTACCGGGATTAAGGTATTCGTCCCGTGGTTCCCGTCCAAAAAATCCCCGGATTTGAGATTTTGCCATACTCTAGTTTTTCTGTCATTAAACATTGTTTTTGTCTAATAAATTTTATTTTTAGATTTAAACGATAAAAAATGTTCCCAAAAATTCTCAAATGTATTCCTGCTGTTAAAGTTGCAACAACTCTTCAAACGACGAATCCGGTGCTTTTCTTGCAAGCGCGAGGTGTTAGTAGGCGCCCACATGAGATTTGTGCGCCTCCTCAACGTCATATGACCTTTTTTGTAGGTTTCATATTTGTTTAGGTTGTTATAGAATGTTAGTTTTGTCCGCAAGTATTCGCGGTTTGCGGATTCTGTGAGTTTTGTGTGCAAATATTTGCAAAATTGTCTTTTGCGGATTCCGCAAATTTTGTCCGCAAGTATTTGCGGACTCGTTTTTTTGTTAATTTTTTGTTTTTATTTTTAGCAACACGCTGCACTTTTCTCTTCTTTGGTTCTTCTGATGCTCTCATATCCAACTTATCTGTTGTGCAATCTTGACAATCTCCGTGATCTTCCACCGCAGGAATTTTCTGACGAAGTGAAGGCTGAGTTGGAAGAGCGTAGGAAGCTTCGTGCTGAGGGCAAATTGAACGTTTTGGTTGCTAAGACTTGAAGAAAGTTAGGAGCAAAAAGATGATAGGAAAAAAAGTATTTTTTTAAAGTAAAGGTTGAATTGGAATATTTTTTGTGTAATCTTTTTGGAAAGATGGGATAAAAAATAATTTTTAAATTGGTGAATAAAGGCTGAGGATAGGACTTGGTTTTGGGCTAGGGACAGGGATTTTTCTAAAATTTCTGAATAAAGGCTAGGGAATGTGGTTGGGGATTGGCCAGAGACGGGGATTTTACTGAGAGTTCAGACAGGTTTTGGACTTCCTTAGGTTTTCTCTTGGACTCGTGATCAGGACCATGCCAACCCGTCCTAAGCTATTGGGCAAATCAAATCAAAGGCCAAACACAATCCAATAGACTCCAATAAAGACTTTTTTCGATTTTTAAAATTATTTTTTATTCCATTATTGTTCTAGTATGTTTGTGGATTTAAGAATTTTGAGACGATAAATCTTGTAGTTGTTTATGTTCTATATGTTTTTTATTTTTTTTTTAATTATAAGATATCTTTCTAATTTTTTAAAATAATTTTTTTAAGTATTTAATTTTGTTATTTAAAAATGTCTACAGAATTTCCAAAACAATCAAGTTTAGAATCTTCCAAAATATCTTCAGATGGATCCCCTCCCAGAGAAGAAAATTTTATTGAATCGTTAAACTCACAAGTGGATAAAAGCAATATAGAAGAAATAATTAAAACACAAAAACGATCGTAAATTTTATTTATTTTTTTTAATAAAATAGTTTTTAAATAATTTTTCTTTGAAAGGGGCTCGAACCTGCTCCCTCCCCCTTTTTTCAAGAAAGCGGACTGTTAATCGGTTAAGCCACCGACTAATATTTATTTGTTGTTGGGTGATTTTTTTCCATTTTTGAGTATCTTAAGTTTTTTATATAACTTAAAATAATTTTTAAAAAAATGTTTACCCACGAAGGGGTTCGAACCTCCCCTCCTTTTTCAGAGAAGCAGAACATTAACCCGCTAAACCACCCATCAAATTTTTCTAAAATTTCTGAATTTTTTCGTTTTTCCATTGAATATTCACGAGGATAAATTAATTAAAATTTTTTTTAAGGTTGGAACGTTTTGAAAAAACAAATGAAATGTTGGGAAATTGTTGCATTTTGGCAGAAAAGCGATTGGAAAAAGCTAAAAAAGAATTTGCTTCAAATAAAGAACAAATATTGCAAGCAAAACAAGATTTGGATTTTATTTTTAGAAAAATATTTAATTTGAAAAAAATTTTGGCTAAAGAATATCCGAAAGAATATGAAGAAGAAGGTTTTAATTTATTTTTTAAAATAAATTTTTTTTTTAAAGTTGGACGAGGAAAGGAATAAAAAGAGTGGAAGGAGGAGAATTGGAGCGTGCCGTAATACCAACCGCCGAAATACCAAAGGTTTCTTCTAGAGATCGAGCGGGTCTGGACCAAGGCCTGGGTTTTTCCTGTACCCAGAGTTCAGCAATTTTTTGACCTTCCTGGATTTTCCCTGGACTACAGGCCCAGGATCGGCTGAGGTCATTAAATCAAACCAAGAGGCATGCCCAAGCTTTTCAAAAATCTCGATCTCTAGTTTCTACAAAAGGAAAGTTCCATTATTTTTGCTGATGTTGTTTGTTCTTGTTCCATCAATCTCCATCAAAGATTGCTCTCTCAACGTGGAAGGTTGTTAATAATCAACATTTTGGTATTTCGGCGTGTTTGGTATTACGGCATTCTACTCAGAGAAATGTAAAAATTTTTTGTAAAAATTTTCTGCTAACTAAATTTATTTTTGAAGGTTTTTTGTTTTTAAAATTTTTGTTTTTAATCTTTAAATATTTTTTTTGGATGTTCAGACTTTCTTTAATTTTTTTTAATTTTTAGAAAATTTAGAAATGATTAAAAAACAGTTAAAAGGACCTCTTTTCTTTGCCTTTTCAGTTGTTTTTTCTGTTGGTACAATTTCTGCGGTTTTGTGGGACATTGAAAGACAAAAGGATAGAAGGACTGAAACTGTCAGGTTTGTGTTTATTTAATTGGATTTTATATTGGGTTAGGGGGCTCTTTTTTGTGAAGACTGGGATTAGGGGTTAACTCGGTTTTTGTGGTTCATTGAAGTAAATGTTTTCGCTTCTTGTCATTTTCCTTTGGAATTTCCTACATTTATCAGAAGAAAGTTAAAACCTGATGTTCCTAGTTCCCAGTATAAATAGGAATGGGCAGAAAAGAAGTGCAGGGGTTGGATTGATCTAGTTTTGTGTTTAGAAAATCCGGACTTCAGGTAACTCAACGCGTCTCTGATAAATAGTTATTGTAGTCTAAACATATTGTAGCCCTTTAGTCCCCTCTGTTCAAATATTTTATAAAATCCACCCAATTTTCAAAAAATTATTTTTAGATATAGAATGCAACAAACAGCCCAGCAATACCAAAATTTAGCTGAATATATGGAACAAAAACAAAAATTTGAGGACTATAAAAGAAATTCTTTGATGGCTAATAGCGGGAATGAGGTTAAATAGAGGAGAAGATTAATTTTCTGTTTTAAACTTTGTTTAAAAAATATTTTTTGATTTTTGCTTTTATTTATTATTTTTTATTTTAATTTAATAGAACAAATTTCCAATTTAAAACTTGAAATCCATAAATCGGTTTAAAACCGTTATATTCTTCTTACCATTTAAAAATATTTGTTCCACAATTCAAAAATTTGCGTTATTTGGCATAATGCAAAATATTAAAAATAAATGACACTTCATCCCAAAAATCAATAATCGATTTTTAATGACTCATCTAATGTTCTCTGTCATCCATTTATGCAAAGATGTTCTACAACAGAATGATGGCTTTTCCTTATTTTTGGGGATTAACCTTTTTGAGGGGGTCGGGGGAGTAATGACTTGCGGACAAGACTTGCTTTTTTTCAATTTTTGCAAAATGTAAACATTTTTTTTTTCAGTACTTCAACAGCAACACAACAAAAGCTCAAGTGGTCTCTTCGGAGATCGCTGGGCACAAAAGCTCAAGTGGTCTCTTCGGAGATCGCTGGGCACAAACGCTCAAGTGGTCTCTTCGGAGATCGCTGGGCACAAAAGCTCAAGTGGTCTCTTCGGAGATCGCTGGGCACAAAAGCTCAAGTGGTCTCTTCGGAGATCGCTGGGCACAAAAGCTCAAGTGGTCTCTTCGGAGATCGCTGGGCACAAAAGCTCAAGTGGTCTCTTCGGAGATCGCTGGGCACAAAAGCTCAAGTGGTCTCTTCGGAGATCGCTGGGCACAAACGCTCAAGTGGTCTCTTCGGAGATCGCTGGGCACAAACGCTCAAGTGGTCTCTTCGGAGATCGCTGGGCACAAACGCTCAAGTTGTCTCTTCGGAGATAGCTGGGCACCAGCTCAAGTGGTCTCTTCGGAGATCGCTGGGCACAAAAGCTCAAGTGGTCTCTTCGGAGATAGCTGGGCACAAAAGCTCAAGTTGTCTCTTCGGAGATCGCTGGGCACAAACGCTCAAGTTGTCTCTTCGGAGATAGCTGGGCACCAGCTCAAGTGGTCTCTTCGGAGATCGCTGGGCACAAAAGCTCAAGTGGTCTCTTCGGAGATAGCTGGGCACAAAAGCTCAAGTTGTCTCTTCGGAGATCGCTGGGCACAAACGCTCAAGTTGTCTCTTCGGAGATAGCTGGGCACCAGCTCAAGTGGTCTCTTCGGAGATCGCTGGGCACAAAAGCTCAAGTGGTCTCTTCGGAGATAGCTGGGCACAAAAGCTCAAGTGGTCTCTTCGGAGATCGCTGGGCACAAAAGCTCAAGTGGTCTCTTCGGAGATCGCTGGGCACAAACGCTCAAGTTGTCTCTTCGGAGATAGCTGGGCACCAGCTCAAGTGGTCTCTTCGGAGATCGCTGGGCACAAAAGCTCAAGTGGTCTCTTCGGAGATAGCTGGGCACAAAAGCTCAAGTTGTCTCTTCGGAGATCGCTGGGCACAAACGCTCAAGTGGAGATCGCTGGGCACAAACGCTCAAGTTGTCTCTTCGGAGATCGCTGGGCACAAAAGCTCAAGTGGTCTCTTCGGAGATCGCTGGGCACAAACGCTCAAGTTGTCTCTTCGGAGATAGCTGGGCACAAAAGCTGCTGTGGTCTCTTCGGAGGTTAGCTTTTTTACTTTATTAAATTCGCAAGTTTTGTCCGCAAAGTTTCTCCCCTAAATAAGTTTATCCGTTCCCAATGTTAAAGCCAATTGGATGGTGGCCAAGTTCTTGTCAAACGAGAAGACGTACAGCAAATGTTCCATTGGTTAGATGCATTGATTTGCTTGTTTTGAATGGTTGATCTTTTTATAGGTTGTTTTTATTTTTAAAAATTTTTCAATTACTTAATTTTAGCTTTGAGAAAGTATCCAGAAGCTGTAAAACTTTTAACGAGGTTATTTTTATTTATTACTATGGTTTCAAGATTATTTTTTAGGGCAGCGAATTGTTGCGGAAGACAATACTTGATGAGAATGCTTTAGAAGAACAAGAATCGGCAGAAAAAATGACTGAAGAACTGCAATATTTTGTTAGAATAACAGCAATTTAGGTTTGTTAGAAACTCACTAATTTAAAGATTCTCTGTTATGGATGTTTAAATCTCCGTCCAGTTGCTTCCCTTGGGTATTGTGACTTGTAGGGAGGTTTTTGTTTGCCTATCCGATTTCGACAAAATATAAGTCATTAGAAAAAGCTCGTCGAGCTGACATGAGTCGATTTGGGGGGTAAATGGTTTGCGCTATCCAATAAGTCAAGGGCGTAGTTCCCCCCTGAAATTTGGAAAGTGAAAATGCTCTCATTGAAGAATGCCGAGAAAATTGAGTCCTTTGACCTTTTCTTGTCCGAAAAACTGGCTTGGGATAACCCACAAGTACCGATTGAAATTGGGGATTACTTGTTTTTGTGGACCACTGAAGTGGCTGTTTTCGCTTCTTGTCATTATTTACTTGGAATTTTCCTACATTTATCAGTCCTTGTTCCCAGTATAAGAATATCAAAATTTTCTAAGGAGTGTGTTTCTAGTTTTGTGTCTAAAAAGTCCGGGTTTCGGGTAATTCAACGCGTCCTTGATAAATAAAGGTCTTATATTGTAGTCTAAACTACTTCCTTTTGTAGTCCTCTGCTCAAATATTTTATAAAATCTATCTAATTGTCAAAATTATTTTTAGATATAGAATGCAACAAACTTCCCAACAATACCAAAATTTAGCTGAATATATGGAACAAAAACAAAAATTTGAGGACTATAAAAGAAATGCTTTGATGGGCGGGAATGAGGTTAAATAAAGGAGAAGATTAATTTTCTGTTTTAAAAAATTAACCCCTTTATTCAAAAAAACAAAAAGTTAACCCGATAAGCCACTGACCAACATTTCTGATTTCAAAAACATTTTGAGTCATAACTTTTTTAATTCTTAACCTTTCTTGTTTAAAAAATAAATTTTAATTCTTGTTTAAAAAATATTTTTTGGAAAGGTTTTTCTATTTTTTAAATTTTGATTTATTAAATTATTTCGGAAAATGGTTTTTTATTAATATTTCCCCGAAAGGGTTCGAACCTGTCCCCTTTATTCAAAAAAACAAAAAGTTAACCCGATAAGCCACTGACCAACATTTCTGATTTCAAAAACATTTTGAGTCATAACTTTTTTAATTCTTAACCGATTTAATTAATTATTATATCAATCGAAAGGTGTTGATGTGAGGATTATTTTACCTAACAGGATTAACTTGATCAGATTTTCTTACTCAAAGTTACAGCCAGATAAAGGTCGAAAATCACGATTGCGCTCACTTATTCGGCCATACCTCTTTGTAAGACGGTCTGATCAGAACAATCCTTTTAGATAAAATAATCCTAACATCCAGAGCTTTCGATTGCTACAATAATTACATGAATCGGTCAAGAACAAAAGAAGTTATGGATCAAAAAGTGGACTGGAGACTGACACGTTGCCCTATCCAAGCAAGCTTAAAACTTTTTTAGCATTGTAAATACATTTAAAAATAATTTAAAAATTAAAATTCTTCTTAATGTTCTCCTTTTCTCATTTTTTCATTCCTATTATTTTTCCTTCCGTCTTGTGAAATAAGCAAAGAAGATAATATTTTCATAAAAATATTTTCATTATTTTCTAAAGGTCCACATTCTGTTAAATTACTAGAAAATAATATTTAAAGAAAATAATTTTTAAGATTTAAAGAAAACCTGTCAATTTTATTAGGAAATAGGCCAAAACAGCAGCCCTTCCAAAGAAGGCTGAAAAATTTTTTTAGAAATTATTTTAGGGGTAAAAATTTAACTGAAATTCTCCATTGCTAAACAAAAAATTCGTTCCAACCGGACAAGCATTTTGATTACATATTCTTTTTTCTTCAGTTTGACAATTTATACTTGTAGTTTTATTACAAATTCTTTTCCTTTTAATTTTTCCACACCCCCCACATATTTGTGTACATTCTTCCCAAGAGGACCAATTGTCGCAATTTAAACAATTATTTATTTGTAATGTTGGGGTTGTTTTTAATTCTGTTAAAGTTGTAGACGAGAAAACTATAAAAATAAAAAATACAACCTTTAAAAATGTGAAAATAATTAAAAAACCCCGAGCGGGTTCGAACCCACAACCCTTCTGATCGATGCGTAACTTACCAGATCGGACACTTAATAAATTTTTTCGATTTCCCTCTCTTCAAAAAATTTTTCCTTAATTTTTTGAATTAAAATTTAAAAATAACCATTTTCCTTTCCTTCTGTCGTATTTTCAATGAAACTTTCAGTTGTACCAGTTGTTGTAGTGGGTGGTTCTGTTGTTTCTGTTGCAGTTTCCTTCTCTTTATTTATTTTTAAAGTTGTTGGCCCTAGAGTTGTCTCCTTTATTGAATTTGGCTTCTAGAATTAATTTAGAAAATATAAATAATCTCAGAATTTACTCTTCTTCCTTGGATGTTAGTTTCGGCGACATTTGCGAACATACTTGCGGACCCGACATTTGCGAACACAGTTACGGAACCGACATTTGCGAACATACTTACAGAACCGACATTTGCGAACATACTTATAGAACCGACATTTGCGAACATACTTACGGAACCGACATTTGCGAACATACACTTGCGGAACAGATTTATTTTTAAAATATTTACCTTTTCCCAATCCAAATCACTCCAAATATAAGCCAAAAATCCTTCACTTGAAGGTCCCTGTCCAGAATGTATAACAATCATTTCTGAACTAGAAGAACGAAAAATATTTTTTGGAGCAACAGAACAACATAACCTTTAATTTTAAAAATAGAAAAAATTTTTTTTAATTTTAACCGATATCCAGTAATTCTAAAATCTGGCCCAGTCTTTAATTCAATAAAAGACTTGTCACAAGTATCTTCACAAGAATAATAAAAATGTTCTGAAGAAAATTGCAAAAATATATGCCCTCCGGGAGGGGCTTTTAACAGCCAAATACAGTCAACATTTGAAGGGAACAAATTTGGGTGTGATGGAGAAGATATTTTAAATTTAGTTTTGGAAAGCTTAAAAAATTTTAAAATTATTTTGAATAATACCCAGAAGATCGACAGAGTTGATCTTTTGTTTTGTTGATCTTCTGGGTTAACTAATTAACCTTTACAGTACCCCCACAAGGGGAAGGCTGGACTAATTCACACAATTTCCCAGAAAATCCGTGAGGACATTTACACTCAAAACATTTATTTGGATTTGGATATCCTCCATGTAAACAATTAATTAAAGGTTTTGAACACTTTTCAGAACAAAAATAGGCTTTATTTATTGATAAATTTTATTACCCAAGTTTATTACCCAAGGTTTTATTACCCAAGTTTAAGTTTAAGATAAAAGATTTAAATACGCCGAAATGGCACCCACAAAATCTGAATTACAACAAATAATGGAAAAATTGGCTGCTTTAGAATCAAAAATCGATAATAACAACACAAAATTTTCGTCTTTTTCTAATGAAATTCTTCAAATTAAAAATGCTTTAACAACAATTGAATCAAAAATTGAAACAATTGAAACAAATTTTAAAAACAATGAGTCATCAGCAAGTGAACAAGAGCGCAACCGTTCTATTGTTGTTATTGGTCTAGAAGAATCTAAATCAACAACACCATCAATTCGTGTTGTTGAAGATAAAGCTGCAATCGAAGATGTACTCAACTTGTTGGGGGTTGAGAGCCCATTCGTTTCATACAGAATGGGTAAGTATGACCCAACTGCTAAAGGTTGTCGTTTACTTAAAATTGTTTTTGGTGCTTCAAAGTTTCAGCGAATTACACTTGCTGAATGGAAACGTCACAGAGTGGAAATGAAAAAAGAAGCTAAATGGTCTCGTTTATTGATTAGGCCAAGTCTAACTCGTGAACAATTGGAAGCTGAGAAAATTGAACGTACTAAGAAGCGAGATGAATACAATAAAAGAATGAGTGCCAATGTGACTGAAAGAACAAAAAACCACTAAGTGGTCGTCCAAGATTCAAGGTTTTAAAAAATTTTTTAAAGAATTCCCCTTTTTATAAATGTCTATATTTTAATAGCCGGAGCTTAGTTAACAAATTAGATGCCTTAAGATTACTTTTAATTTCTAAATCCTTTAAAATAATTTGTGTTTCCGAATCGTGGTTGAACAAAAAAATCGATAATTCCCAAATCTTACATAGTACATCCTATTCCATTGTTAGATGCGATAGAGGTTCTAGGGGCGGTGGTGCATGTATTTTAGTAGATAATATAGTTCCTTTCTCTCCCGTTAAAACTCCTAAAAATAAAAATTCCGATGTTGTAGCCATAGACATTTATTCCCCAAAATTTGACAAATTTAGAATAATAACAGTTTACCGTCCCACAACAAACGAAAATTTAAATGACTTCCAAGAATTTCTTGAGACCTTAAGTTACCTAATATCTATTAATCATAACTACATAATTGTAGGTGATTTTAATTTCCCCAATCTAATCTGGAAGAATAATATACCGCTAGCTCTCAATCACAAATCACCGTCTGAAAAATTATTTATTCAATTCGTAGAAAACTTTAATCTAATTCAAGAAATCTCTTCCCCAACTAGACAAAACAATTATCTTGATCTACTTTTCTCCTCTTCCACCTCTCGCGTTACCAAAAATATTACCATTAATGCCCCATTCAAAAATTCTGACCATAACACCATTGAATTTAACTTAAATTTCAATTGTTTTCCAAAAGAACCAGAATTCATTTATGACTTCCACAATGCCGATTACAATCAAATTAACAATATTCTAATCGGCTTAAACTGGAATTCTTTGTTTATAAATTGTACCAATGTAGATTCTCAATATACCCTATTTTTAGAAATCATTCATCAAATAATCCAAAATTTTATACCATTAAAAACGATCAATAAAGATTTTGCTAAATTCCCTAAACATATTCAAAAAATGATCTCATATAAAAACCTTTTATGGAAAAATATTAATAAACCTGCTATCCGTGAAAAATACATTCTCACTCAACAAAAAATCGATAAAGAAATTTCTCGTTTCTTTAAAAATAGAGAAATCTCAAAATTCAATGATTCCCGATCTAGATTCCAGTATATAGGCGCCTTCCTTAAATCCAAAAAAACCAAAATCCCAATCTTCAACATTAACAATCAATTTACCATTTTAGCCAAAGATAAAGCCGAATGTCTCGCCAAACAATTCCAATCTGTTTTTAACTCTTCTAACTTTGACTCCTCTGACATAAAAACTTTTAACAATAATACTTTATCTTTTATTGATATCAATCCAGAGGAAATCTATAGCATTATGACCAAACTTGACAATGTTAATAACATATCTCCGGACGGAATTCCCAACATTTTCTTAAAAAACACCGCAACTTCATTAACCATTCCATTAACAATTATATTTAATATGTCAATCATGACAAGTAAAATTCCAACTATTTGGAAAAAGTCAATAATCCGACCAATTCCCAAAAATAATAACCCAAATGAACCCAAGGATTTCCGACCTATCTCTCTCCTATGCCCAACCTCTAAAATTTTAGAACGGATTATCTCTAATAAATTAACTTCATTTCTTGAAACTAACAATTACCTTCCCACCTGCCAACATGGTTTCCGTAAAAACCACTCAGTTATAACTCAACTCCTAGAAACCTATAACGACTACACATTAGCTATAGAAAATAAGAAATGTGTTGACGTTATATTCTTTGACCTGGCAAAAGCTTTTGATACTGTTCCCCACGATCGCCTTCTGAAAAAACTTCATCATCTAGGTATCACTAGCACTTTACTAAATTGGATTGAGGATTATCTGTTAAATCGAACTTTTACTGTTCTTGTCGAATCTAATAACTCTAATGAATATCCCATAACAAGTGGAGTTCCTCAAGGATCCATCCTTGGCCCAATTTTATTCATCTCATATATATTTGATCTAATAGATTTCTGTAAAACAGATAATGTTACACCCAAATTATTTGCTGACGATTTAAAGGCCTATACCTGCTTTGATTTTTCAAATAAAAACCACTATTCTCCACTCCAAACATTTATCCAAACATTCTCAAAATACTGCGAAATAAACGGCCTTAAAATCGCGATCAGCAAATGTAGTTCATTCCACATAGGAACTAAAAATCCCTTCCACCAATATTCTCTACAAAACACAAATATACCAATCATTCCACCCAATGAACATATCCGTGATCTTGGCATTTATTTTACATCCAACCTAAAATGGGATTCTCACATTAAAATTGCAACAAATAAAGCAACCAGAATTTATTATACTCTTATAAGATCTCTTAAAACTAATAACACCCAATTCCTAATTACTCTATTCAAAATATATGTCTTACCTATCCTCGAATTTGGATCCCCTATAATTAACCCTTATCTAAATAAAGACATAAACGCTCTAGAAAATGTTCAACATAAATTCTTAAAAATAATATACTTACGCTCTAGGAAACAAAATAACAGTCCAACATTACCTGATTATAAAGAACTTCTCGACCTATTCAAACTTGAATCTCTATCGCATAGACGTCTAAAATCAAACCTTATCCTTTTCCATAATATTATTTTAGGTAAAATTAAATTAAAACATGATAATTCATTTAGCATTCTCCCTACCACTACTAGAGGAAATCCGCATAATTTATTTATACCCTTTTGTTCAAGCACCATTCGGAAAAACTCATTCTTTATAGACATCCCAAACATTTACAGAAAACTCCCAACAGAATTACAAAAATCGTCAATCGAATTGTTTCCAAAGCTCCTAAACAATATTAACCTAAACAATATTTTATCAAAGCCACATTCCATTCAAATGTCTCCAGACCTTTAGTGATTTAAATTTAAATTATTGTCACGTTTACTTTACTTTATTTTATCTGAATGTCACGTTTTATGCGTATAAATTGAATTGAATTGAATTGAATTGAATAAAATGTCCAAAAAACTGGGCCCAATTCTTTGGCCTATTGTTGATTGCCAATTAATATCTAAGGTCGAAATTGTTGGTTTGTATTGGTCTGAAGCAAAACCATAGGGCCCGTAATGCATTACAGAACCTTTGAAAAGATTTAAATTTGTAGGGCGGACTATAAGATCAACACTAGCCATTAGTGGTGATTTTCTGGGCAGAAAATAGGTTGTTCCAGAAGATCAACACTAGACTTACAGTGGTGATCTTCTGGACAGAAAATAGTTTATTCCAGAAGATCACCACCCCACGATTAATGTTGATCTTATAGTCTTGTATTTTAAAAAACCTGGATCGTAAGGTAACCTAAAAGTTTCTGCTTGATCCTCATTTACAGGTTGAAAGTTATTCCATCGGGTTAAGGGAATGTTACTAGATAAATTTAACTTCTAGATTTAATTCAACAGAAGGAAAATTACTTGTAATGAATAGCAATGTGCCTGGATTGATCAGGCCTAGCCTGTTCGTGAAATGTACCCAAAGCGTGCCCAATTTCGTGTGCAATAATTCCAATAAAATCACAGCCAGGGGTTGAAATTGAAATTCCCTTTAGATTTTCAAATTCGAAATTTTTGGACCTACCCCAAAAGATCATCACTAAGTGTTCAGTGGTGATCTTACGGGCTCGACATATTTTTCAATTTTTCTACCTGAGTTCCTCCTGTTTTCCCTACAAACGAAGAACATCCTCCTCCATCAAAAAACTCTAAACGATCAACATCTGGACCATTTTCCACAAAAGAAAGACAAGTTTCGCTTTCCCAGATGGCCAATGCTTGACGTATTTTTTGTCTAGACTGTTCAGGTACATTATCAGCAAAATCATAACTTATTGGCCTTGTCTTGTCCCAACGCTTGTAGAAAGGTTCCAAAAAGGGGAAAAATGCGATTTAATTTATTAAAATAAATTTAAAATAAATTTTATTGGGGTGTCCGATCTGGTAAGTTACGCAACGTTGATAAGGGGGTGTGGGTTCGAACCCGCTCGGGGGTTTTTTAATTATTATTAGATATTTAACGGGGAAACTAGCATCTTAGAAATTAGAGAGAGAGACTAGCATCTATGAAAGCACTTTATAAAAATTCGTCCGATCTGGCAAGTTACGCAACGTTCAGAAGGGGTGCAGGTTCGAACCCGCTCGGGGTTTGGAATTTTTTAAACGACTTTAAAATAATTAAAAACGTTTACTTTTCCAACTTTTCTTTTAATTCTTTTATTTTCATCATGAGAAAACATTAATTGATCTTCAAAATATTTTTGAATCTTTTCTGCCTGCCAATCAGCCAATTCCAAATCTCCCTTTTAAGTTTAATTGAAAATTAAAAAAATATTTCTTTAAAAATTACTTGAAAATAATCCCCATTAATTCCATTAACTACTAATTCATTATGATGCCTGAGGGCATTTGGATCTCGTTGAGGTATTTCTGTGGGGGGTATTGCATCGTTTTGAACCATTTCTCTAAATTTGGAAAGAATTTTATACCCAATTGATCAACAAATATGATCAACAAAAAGAATATTTTTAGAATTTAAAAGGAATCAACCCATAAGGTCAACTCCCAGGAGGTCAACACTCTAGAGGTCAATCCCCTAGTTGTCAAATAACTCTGGAGGGCAACTCCAGATATTAGGATGGAGGCCTAACTACAGTTTCCGTACCAGGCTCAGAATTGGACGATTTATATGTCATTCGAAAGAGCTCGTCGAGCTGAGTCGAACGACACCAAAATTATTCAGCGGAAAAAATTCTGAGCCGAGTTACAGGCCCCCGAAAATCGAAAAACCATAGGGGGGACCAAGCTGATTTTTGGGGTGAAAAATTTGAATATGCAATTAATAGCTCATTTGAAAGAGCTCTTCAAGCCGAGTCGAATGACACCAAAATCGCCGTGATTGGTCAAGTTTGTTCAAAGTTATGACAAAAAAACTAACAACGTAAACCTATGGGGCGACGGCGAGGCGCTTGTGCAAAACTCCGCGCTTCGCGCGGAGTTTTGCGGCACGCGCCTCGCGGGGAGTCTACGGGCTCTGGGTCTGGGCTTGTAACTTAATCCTATTCCAATTATCGCTGTGATGGGCATGCCAGCTTCCTTCGCAGCAGCAAGAACATCCACGGAGAACAAAGGTAAGGAGCTAAAACAAACGAGCATTACTTTGTCAAATCAATTCTGATTTCATTGATTTTGGTGTCATTCGACTCAGCTCGATGAGCTCTTTCGAATGAGGTATAATTTGCATATTCGAATTTTTCACCTCCAGAAAACAGCTTGGTCCCCCCTATGGTTTTTTGAACTTTAGTGGTCTGTAACTCGGCTCAGAATTTTTTCCGCTGAAAAATTTTGGTGTCATTCGACTCAGCTCGACGAGCTCTTTCGAATGACATATAAATCGTTCAATTCTGAGCCTGGTACGGAAACTGTAGTTTAGCCAGGATGGACAAAGAAGGATTTGTGGAGATTAAGTAAGGGATTAGGGAGATTAAGGGACACAAGTCGGAAACGTATTTTGAGTCCCCTTCCCAAATATTTGGGGCATTGGGGTGGGCACCCTGAAGGCCAACAGGGAAGTTGACCACTAGGGTCAGTTGACCTGATGGTGGTGGACCTTTAAAAAATACCTCTCAACTTTTTCATTAATTAATTGTTTAATTTTGTCAACAATTAATTTAGAAGCTTTTCTCGTCCTTTCATTAGCCTCATTATAATTAGTCATCCATAATAATAAATAAAATAAAAAAATAAGAAAGAAATGATTAAAACTTTTGCGCATTGATTTAAACAAAAAATGAAGAGAAGGGTGGGTTTGGGAGATTATTTAATCACCATCTTCTTTTAACTAATCAAAAATCATAGAGCTATTGAATATTTATCGATATTATTATATATCTTGAGGCGTTTTTGGGGGGAAAATGGACAACCATAATTTAATAAAGGGTTATTTTCTGTGTAAACCTCAGTTCAGTTCGGCACCTATAACTTAGGAAGGGGTAGATAATTTTTAGTGTTCTTGATACCATTAGATAGAGAATTAAACAGGCTACAAAATATCAAAAAATCAAAATTTTAGATTGAGTGATAAAAAAGTTATGATCGATAAAGTGCCAAGAATCACATTTTTTTGAAAAAGTTAGTTTTTATATCATAACTTTTTTATCAATGAATCGAAAATCCTGATTTTTTGATATGTTGTAGACCTTTTAATTCTCTATTTAATAATACCAAGAAATTGAAGGAGTGACCATCCCTTCACGAGTTATATGGTCGGGACTGAACTAAGCCGGACTGAACCGAACTGCTTCGATTTTTTAGTACTTGGAGTATTTAAGAGTTTAAATCGTGTCCGGACAATGCGTCAGTGGACAATGCGTGAGTGGAAAATGCGTCAGTGGACAATCGGTCAGTATTGATAAAAACTGATTAAAAGTAATGATGTGAAGGGATAAAAAGTGATATAAAAGGATTAAAGATGGGATATAAACAGATTAGGAGTATTTAAAAGGGATTTTGGGGGTTTAAAAGAGATATAGAGGAATTTATTGGGATTAAGGCCGATATCACGGGTTTGAGAGGATTAACAGAGATATGAAGTTATTTGGTTGTATCAAGATGGAGATCATTCGATTTGGAGAGATATCATTGGATTTTTATCTCTTTATATCAACACTTTTAATCACTTTATATGATCACTGACCGATTATCCACTGACGCATTTTCCACTCACGCATTGTCCACTGACGCATTTTCCACTCACGCATTGTCCACTGACGCATTGTCCGGGAGCCGTTTAAATTAACAGATTTTTTTTAAAAACCAAAAATTTTTTTTTAATAAATTGAAAAAAAACAAAAATTTTTAATTCTAAACAATTAAAAACATTAATTAAACTCCTATGGCTCGGTTCGAACCTCCCATGCTTAAATACTATTTTCAACTCCTAGCCTAACACACTACCGACTAAACCACCGAAACCTTAAATAATCTTTCTTTTAAAAAGCTTATAAATGCTAATGAATTATTGTAAATTTTGTATTCGAATAATAAAAAAATTTTTTTAATTCGAAAAATTATTAAAATTCCTTCAAAATTTTTTTAACAATTTTATAACAAAAAATAATACTTGTTTTTCAATTTCCAACAATTAAATTAGATACTTTACATTCTTCCATCAATTTTTGAATAATTAATTTATTTCTTCTTTTTCTAATTAAATCAAAAGAATTTGGGAACCTCACAATCATCGACTTTATTTGTTTTCTTAAAATTTTTGGAAAAATTCTTTTTGATTTTTGATTGTCTTCTTCCATTTCCTTTTTATTTTCTTCAATAAAATCCAAAAATAAATCAAAAACAGCCTCTGCCTGTTTGTCACTTAAACGATGCAAATCAAGCAAAGTAATTAAAAATTCTGTAAAAAAATTTTTGGAGTCGACAGAAGTTTTTTCTGGAAAAGGGAAAAATTTCTTTTAAAAAATTTAAAAGCAATTTTAAAATCATTTTTGAAACTAAAAATTATTTAATTCTAAGTTTTGTAATTAAAATAAAAATAAAATTTTTTGCGGACAACTTTTGCGGACAACATTTGCGGACTTTTTTTATTAAATATTTTCACGTTAATTTTCATTAAAAATCCACAAAAATTGACCGTAAAATTTTTAATTTTTTTCTTACCAGAAATAATTTGTTCAATTAAAATTCTCCAAAAAAGTGAAAGAAAAGCAACCATTTCATATTTTGACATTAATTTTAGAAGCAAATCAGATAATTGGAAAAGATCAAAATCGTTGATTAAACGCAAAATTGATCTGGAAAAATTTAAAAAATATTCTATAAAAAATTATTTTGAAAATTTCTTGTCCGCAAAAAATTTGCGGACAATTTTTGCGGATTTTTGAAAAATTTTTTAAATTACAGAATTTTCAAGAAAATTTTCAAAAAAAATATGATAGAAAAAAATATTTTTAAAAAAAACAAACTTTTTAGGTAATTTACTCAACTCCAACCTCTCACAAATAACATTAGCCGTTTGAAAAGTAATTTCAGCAAAAGAAATTTCAAAATTATAAAAAAGCAATTTTAAAATATTTTTAGCAATTTCATCGTTGATTGAAACATTTACAGCTAAAGTACATGAAATTATAATTCCAAAATATTTGAATGCTTCTATTTTTGATCTGGAAAAATAATTGTTAATTGAATTTAAAAAATGTATTTTTGCAGACAATTTTTGCGGACTTCTTAAATTGTCAATTTTATTAGAAATCACAGGTTAGGAACAGGGATATGTATCCTCAAGTGGAGATTTGGGGACGGGAAAAAATGTGGAGAAAAAGTGGGGGAAAATAAAAATTTAGAAATTAATGGGGATGTGAATTAAATTAAGGGTCGGAAATAATTGGAAAAATTTTTATTATTAAAAAAATAAAAATAGAGAGAAAAGGGTAGAAGTGGGACTCTACCTAAGTTACCTATACCCTAATTTCCAATAAATTTCCAAAAAGATTTTAACAAAAAAAAAAACAAACTTTAAAGAAATTCCGATAAAAGGCATTAAACGAGAAATTAATTGATCATCAATTGTTGCCCCTCTATTTTCGATCAAATTCCCGTAAAGTGAAGCCAAAAAAGTAAAATAATGTTGCATATTGTTTATGTGCTTTTCTTCTAAAATTTCGACAAAATTAACCACAAATTTGTTTAGACAAGTTATTAACCAATAATCACGTCCACTTTGACAGAAACGACCTTAAAAATGTTTAAAAAGTTAAAAAAATTTTGCGGACAATTTTTGCGGATTTCTGACATTTTTAATATTTGCGGACACCCAAAAAAATTGCGGATAATTTTTTAAATTTTTGCGGACATTTGAAATTTTAAGTTTAAAAACTTTTAAAATAAAAAAAAATTAAAACAAACAAACATAGAATATTTAGTGGAATAGGTGCCGCGTCCTTTTGATATTCTTCTAACCAATTCATATCTGGAGAATTAAATTTCAAAATATGTAAGAGTCGACCAAAAGAGTTAATTGAATGGAAGGGCAAAAAAGTTAAAAATAAAGCTTCTGCATTGTATGAATGAATCTTAAAAATTAAATATTTTTTCTTGATTTTTAAAAATTAAAAAAAAATAGAAGAAATAATCAACAAGCATCAAAAAACATCAAAATTCTCCATCAGGACTCGAACCTACGACCTCCACCGTTAGTGAGACAAACTCACTAACCATTACACCACCCAACAACATAACCATATCCAATTAAATTTAATTATAACCCAAAGGAATAAATAAAATAAACCTGAAATTTATGTATAAACCATTCAAGCACTTCCCTACAACATTGGTGATGAAAATAAGGAGATAATAAAAGCAACATTTTCTCAATTTTTTGATCAAATTCAGCATTTTCTTCTTTGCTAATTATTGCTCTGTTAAACTTGATTAATTTCTTTTCGAATAATTCGGGTAAATAAGTATCGAAATTGTCATCCAATTTTTTCATTCCAGCCAAGCCAGCGAGGCCTGAAAAAAAATTTTTTTTGAAAATTTTGGAAATTTTAAAAAAAAATTTTAATTTTAAAAATTTTTAAAAAATTTTCAAAAATTTGAACCACAAAAATTATAAAAAATTAAAAAAAAACCTCCAAAAAAACAAACCAATTTTATAAAAATCATCCTTGTCATAACTTCCAGCTTCTTTTTTATTAAATAAAAGTGAAGAATAATCCCGTTCTACAGCTAAAGCATGTGTTGGGGCTTTTTTAAGTTTTTTGAGTTGTGTTGAAAGCGAAGTCATTTTTATTATTTTAAATATTTAAAAAATTAAAAGAAAATTAAGTATGAAAAAAAACACCAAAAAATATTTCCACGACAAAACGGCTTTCAACAAATAACAAAAGTTAGAGAAACAAATTCTCTCTTTATTGAAATTAGAGATAAAATATAAAAAAATATAACAGAGGAGAGAAGAAAATTAAAACAAAACGAGGTACGGTATTTAAGTAGGCTCTCCACATTTTGCCAATTCCACATTTTGCCAATAAGGCTAAAATATCTCGTTTTGCCACTAAGCTTGTAGACAAAACGCGGGGTTTTGGCCTTATTGGTAAAGTATGGAATTGGCAAAATGTGTAGCATCGATCTTGGAATAATGGCGGATTTTTGGATTGTATTAGAATAAGCTCTGATATTTTCTACTTTATCGGTATCCTGTTAAATCCTATTCGATTTGTGCTTAAAGTATAGTGTCTTAAAATAGTCTCTCCGGCTTTAGAAATTAAAATTGAGCTTTTAAATAAAAGTTTTTAACATTCTAGTTTGCTTTTCTTCCTGAAAATTCATAAAATTTAGCCAGCCTAGTTAAATCCCCTAATCCTTTTTTTAATTATATTTTTCTTTTTTTAATCTTTCAGCCAACTAATTTTTGGAAACAAAGTAAACAAAAAAATATTTTACTTTAAAATTATTTCAATTTTTGTCAATTAAACAAAAATCATTTTTCAATTCTTATCAACTTGCCCAAAAAATTTTTTCTTCCTTCAACAATTAAAAAATAACAAAAAATGTTAAAACACAACAATCAAATTTGTTTAAATAAATTTAGCAAGGCTTTGGTTGTTAATAAGGTTTATTTTAAATTTATTTTTTAATTTGAAAAAAAATTTTTTTTTTAGAAATTGGACGTGGATTTGTTGAAAAAAAAATAAATTTTTTGGTTATCAAATTAGTTTAAATAAGCCAATTGTTGTTAAAACGGTATTTTTTAAATTTAATAAATTGAAAAGAATTTTTTTGAGGAAAATCTCGGTATTAGCTACCCCATTTTTTTGTTTCTGTGAATAGTTGAGATTTTTAAAATTTTGAGTTGACACTGAAATTTTTGCGTTCAAGCGTCCTTACTTTATCCAAATTTCAAATTTTCGCGAAAAATGGCAAATTGTCTATTATTTATTCTAATTTTAAAAAGGTATATAAGAAGGAAATTAGTGCCTAAACTTTCATTCCTTCAAAAAATTTTTTTCTCAGATATCGACTTTAACAATGACCGCCTATTACTTTTCCTACTCCTCGTTTGAATCGATTGTTATTTCATTGCTGGTGGTTATGTTCATTACCTTATTGGTAATAATTGGATTACTTGTCGACATTATTAAGGTTTTGTCTTTTCAATTTACATTTACAACAACCACTAAACTTTCTGAAATGTTTAATTTTTCGTTATCGTCTCATTGATTACTCAGCAATAACCAAACTTTTCTAATTGATTTTTGTTTTTAGAGACTTAACGACCTGAAAGACCACTCCATTTGGGTGCAGGATCAAGTGATAAGGTTGAGGAATGGTGTGACATGGTTGGTGGATGAAGTTCGTTTCTTGGATGATAGTATTGACTGGTTGACGGATCGTATTGACTGGTTGACGGATCGTATGGACCTTGGCGTTGCTGCTGTATTCAATCTACTTGCACGAGTACGATGGTTGGAAGACCGAGTTTTGCGGTTGGAATTTTTTGCTCGTAGAAGACGTAATGCGGTGCAAGTTCAAGAGGAGGAAAATGAACAAGAGAATCAACAGGAGGGAGTCAATGGAGGTTGTACTTTATAGGGGAAATTTTTTTCACTTGACACTATTAAGTTCGGCTTAAGCTAAGTCTGAATCAAGCGGGAGTCGGGTTGCCCGAAACTTTTTTGCTAAGAACCCGGCCCGACTTTTTGCTCAGCTCGGCACATTCTTGGTCCGAATATTACGTTTGGTTTTCCTGGACACCCCCCCCCCTTTCTGTTAGAAACAAAATTATTTTACAAATTTGACAGGTCTGGTTCTCTTTAACGGCCATGGAGAGGACGTGAACATTCGACACCGCCGCCGTAATAATTGACACAAATTTAAATATTCGATAATTTAACTAAAATATTTTTGTTAAATTTAATTTGCATTTAACTTGTATAAAAATAAATACACTCTTTGCGTTTAGGGAATTGATTGTCTAGGGAATTGATTTTTTTGTTTCTAATGTTAATGTCGAAACATAGGCATGTTGTTTTTCGCTTTAAGAATTTTGATAAATGGGTAGAAAAAATTTTACTGATTTTAAAAAAAATTTTCGATTTTATTTAGACATTTTTTTGTTATTTTTAATTTGTGATTTGATATTATCTTTTGATGTTTAACCCCTCGAATGTTTAAAAATTTCTTTGAGTTTCGAACTTTTTTTTAAAGATTTCGGAGATGCTGCTGTAAAGAGCAGCGCGCCTTAATAGCAAAACGCCGAAATACCACCAATGTCGTAATATCAATGCGGTCGTGGTACCAAATGCTGTATACAATACAAACATCAAATTTGGTTAATCATCTCCCCTTCACCATTTTTTGAAACATTTCTCGTTGCCGAAACAGCTTCCACCCTTCCCTAAATGTTAAAACGATCTCAGTCTCCAGTTTGGTATTTTGACGTGATTACGAGGGAATTAGAGCCCATCAAAACGCCACGATATCTTCTAACTTTATTCCCTCAAATTTCCCGATATCCCACTTAATCCCCATTCCCAAATCTCTTGATATATCTCCTAATACCCCAAAATATCATATCCCATTCGTTCCCTCTAAATCTCTCAATATCCACTCTAACCCACCGATACCCCTTAATCACCTAAAATCCCACTATACTCTCGATATCCTCCGAATCCACCGACCCTTTTCCAACTTTTAATTCAAAAATTGCAAAAAAATTTCAAATCAATTTTTATCTTCTGTCCTATTAAACTCGCTCCAATCAAAAATTGTTTTTGGCAGCAAAATTTCAGGAATGTTCCTTTCTCTATCCCGGCGAGAAGCAACCCAAGTTTCATAATCATTTTTTGATTCAAGTACCCAAGTTATTGCTGTAAATGCTGCACAAGACATTGCCACCAACCTAAATTAAAATGTATTGAAGGTTTTATTGCTAAATTTTTAAGTCCTCAAAAATCCGCAAGTTTTTGTCCGCAAATTTTTGTCAGTCTTAAAAAATTGGCATTCAGTTTCTAACTCCTCGAGCAACACAAAAGAAGGTTCTGAAGATAAACCGTCCCATGAGCTTTGTTGTTAGTTGTGAAATTTCACAAAGCTTCCTGCTAACCCGAAAAATTTTTTTGAAACCCCAACATGACTTTTTCCTCAACAGCATTTCCCTGTGGCTTAAAGGAGCTGCTGACCCCAAGAAATCTATTCCCACGATATTAATTTTGTTTATAAAATATTTATAAAAATTTACGATGCTGCTTTAGCATTCCCAGTTATTCCAAAAACAAAAATTCTTGACCAAAAATAATTTGAAATCATTGCATAAATTGTTGGGCCAGTTGACGGATTGGTCGAATTTGTTACAATTTTCTAAAATTGAAAAGATAAAAAAATTTTAAATAAAATTTAAAAAAAACCATTTGAACAATTCCGTTTGGCCAGTCTTTAAAAATAGTCTAGAAAATATAAAATTTTGATTTAAAAAAATTTAAAAAAAAATAAATTGAATAATACAACAAGTAAATTTTAACACAAAATCAACGAGAAAAAAATTTTTATATTGAAAAATAATATTTAAAAAAATATATAATACATAAAGAGGAACAGTCATACGGAAAATCAGAAAAATTTTTTTAAAAAATTTCTTATCCATGTTGAGGATAATTTTAAAAAAATTAAAAAAAAGGGAGGTATTTATGCATGTTGAGCATAAATAATATTTTAAAAAATTAGAAAAAACTTTTTAAATTTTTACAAAATTAATTTTTTTAATAGTCAAAGTAGTAAAAAATATTTAAAATATTACATTAAACAAAAAAAGGAAGGTAATTACTGAAAGACATCCCCCTCCATTTTCAATATTCCTTATCCCCAATTTTCAATTTAAATGGTAGAAAAGCTGAAGAAAATTCATTTCCAAATTTAAAAAAATCGAAAAATTAGTCCGCAAGTTTTATCCGCAAAACATAAATTTAGTAAACGCCCTAGTTGACCTTTTTTTTAATTTCTAACAATTGAAAAATAAAAAAATATGGAATAGGAGAAATAGGGAGAGAAAGGGGCAAAGGGTCCTTTCAGTATTACCAACCACACAAAAAAGTGAGGGAGAAATCAAAAAGACAAACAGGAAAAAGGGAATTTTTCTTTTTGGAAAATTTTACAGAATGAAAAAAAATTAAAAAATTTTTTTAAGTTTGGGTGGTTTAGCAGCACTTGGAAAAAATTTTTTTGTTTTTAGAAATGCTGAATTTTTTTTAAGATTAAAAATTAAAAAAAACTTGTTTTTGAAAAAAACTTCAAGCTTCCGCTTCCCATTCAATTCTTGGATCTCCTGGTTCTTGCTCCACAACAGTTTTTTCTTTGATTGAAACTTGAATACAACTATTTGTTTGTTTTTCACTAAAAAATTTCTTTATATTAAAGAAATTTTTCAATGAAAAAAACCTTTCTTCAATAATACAAACATCGGTGGATTTTGACTTGAAAAAAAGGAAATTTTAAAATTTTTTAATTCAAAATTTGGGCACTTTTTAGAAGAAAAAAACAGAAAAATAGGAAAACATAGGGGGAGGGACGTTATTCTTTTGGTGGCCAGCATGACCTTAACTTGGAGTTTTGAGAAAATTTTTTATTATCAAAGAACCCCTCACTTCTAGTTTGAGGGGAGAGATACAACCTTACTTAAGATAGACAGAATGATCTGACTTCCTTCCTTCCTCAATTCCGTGGTTTATTCAGATGAGAGACAATAATAAGGAAAAGGAAGAAAGTCTGACCATTATGTACATCTCAAGTCCAAAAAAGCACCCAAAATTCAGAAATAAAAAAAATTTTTACTTTTCTTTCTTTAGTGCTCAAAGAACGATGTAAATCAGCTAGTTGAACTTGTCCAAGTTGTGCACTTCTTAAAGCAGCAGTAGCAACAATGTCACGGGCACAGGATAATCCGAGAGTTCCCAAATTGACAACCTTGAAAATTGAAAAAAAATTTTTTTTAATTTTTAGAGAAGAAAAACCTGTCTATACGACTCATTTTTAGCCTGTTCCAAAAACACATCAATATCCCCTTCGTGTTTCATCAACATTGGAGAAACATCCAAGATAATGCCAAGTAAGGGAGAAGCTAGTTATTAGTATTCCTTTTTTTTGTTTAGAAAGCAACCCCTCCTTATGGCAAAATTTACAGTAGTCTTTGGTGAGTTAAAAATGGGTGGGAAGGGAAAAGCTTAGGAAGAGTGGAAAGCTGAAAAAGGGGAATAAACATAGATTGACTCTTTTAAAAGCTTAATTCAGAAGATCACCCTACTTTGGGATAAACTTTTTTGGTTGATATTTTGGGTAATTTCTTTAACTGTTTGAACCAGAAGTAAGAAGAACGTGTTTAAGTTTTGAAGACTTATGGCCAAATAAAGAGAAGAGGAAAAGAAGAGGGGATTCGGCCTTTAAGAGGGATTTATAAACAAATAAGATTTTTAATAATTTATTAATTATATATGTTCAATACTTCTTTCAGTTTTTATTACTATCTTCTAACTATCTGTTTAAAATTTCTGTTAAAAAATAAGTTAACTTTATGATAATAAGCACTCTGAGATAGGGATTTTCTGGACTGATTTTAAAAAGCAAAAGACGAAGGAATTTAAGAAGAGTGAAAATTAGGCAAAACCTCAAGAAGTTTGAGAATTCGGCGAAAGTCGAAACGGCACAACTCTGTTCTGAACCTACGATGGTTCTCAGTTATTTGTAGTTGACCTTTTATTCTTTTCCTTTTATCTCATCATTTCCCGCCATTTTGACAATTTTTTAGAAAAAAAGTAAAAATTTTGGCGCCTCCAGATTGCATAACAATATAATTTATAAAATCGGAAAAAATAAAAAAAAATAAAGAAAGTAAAGAAAATAACCGAGAAAGATTTGTAATTCATCACTTTGTGTCCAATTCCATATGCCAATTCAATAATAACCATGAAAATGCCGAAAAAAGAATTTAGGAAGAAGAGGGGTCACTTAAAAGGGTAATAATGGAAGGGGGGGGAGGGGGTGAGTGTAGATGAACAAAAAAGATAAAAAAATTTTTTCGAAACTAAAAAAGAAAACCCCTCAAAAATTTTATTATTATTTTTTTGCTTCTTGAAAAAAAACAAGTGTAACACTTGGCCTATTATTAATCCGATTGTTGCTTGTCTGCTCTTTAGAAAAGAAGCAACAATAAGTTTATTATACAAACAATTATTACCAGCATTTTTTTCTCTTTTTCTCTTCATCTCATTCTTTTAGAATGAAAATAAAGCTTCTATAATTAATTTACATCTTTCCGGAAGCAGACATAAAACTTCCGGAAAGTTTATTTTTTTAATGTTGCTAAACTCTATTTCCGGTTTTGCAACCGGATAACTTTCTCTCTCTCTTCTACTCCCTTCTATTTTTACTTTAGCATAATATTCGCGCTCTCTTTTTCACACTCATTTTCATCCTCACAAAATTTATTTGAGTGAAGGGGGAGAGGGAGAGGAATAAAACCGGTCACCTCTCTCTCATTTCCTTTGTTTGGCCAATCGCTTGGCCATTATAGCTCATCCGCAATCTTCACCCTTTAAAAAAACTATATAACGGCTTAGTCAACATTAAGTATATAACAAAGAGACTAAAAAATATACAAAAATATGTTACTCATTCTTTACCCTCATTCTTGTATATATTGATCTACAATTGTTGTATTTTTTTGACTTGATCACACAAAAAATTATTTTTTTGTCTAAAAAATAATTGTATTATTACGTGAATATTTTTGCGAGACACAACAACAAAAACATATCATTCTGGAAGCAGAAAATAAAGTTTCCGGAAAGTTTCAGCAGAAATAATTAGAGAAAAGATGAGCGACAGAATTATTTCTAGACAACATTTCCGGAAAAATATAGCATAACTTTAAAGTTAGAGAAAAGTTTTCCGGAATACTACTACTTTGCCTTAAAGGCAGACAACATTTCCGGAAAATCATCACCTTTAAAGAGAGAAGTTTCCGGTAAAACACTACACTACTTTAAAGATAGACAGAACTTTTCCGGAATGAGAAACAACATTATTGAAAGGATAGACAACATTTCCGGAAAGAAAGACTACACTTTTAGAGCGATAAAGAAAGCTTCTATAATTAATTTACATCTTTCCGGAAAAAGATTTAAACCTTCCGTAATTATCACTAGAACATTAATTTTTACTCTGCTTCTCTTCCAAACAAATGCCCAGTGTCCAACATTACAATCCCCATGTAGATGTGCCCCTTCAATATACGAACCAATAGCTATTATTTGTGAAAAGGCTGGCAGTTTAGAAAATGCTTTAAGGGCAGCTCAACCTGCCAGGCATTTATCAATTGATTCTTTAAGTATTTTGGATACTGCATTGCCTTCTTTACCTTCAAATGCTTTTTATGGGTGGACTGTATGTTTTTTTTGAATTTTTTAAAAATTAAAAAGAATTTTTTTAAAGATTCTTCGTCTTGTATTAAATCGAAATACTCTTTCACATGTAGTGGATGGGGCTTTTAATGGTAACCTGATTGATTCCCTTGTAGAGTTGGACTTGTCAGAAAATTCTCTTTCACAGATTGGGACACAGGTGATTTAGAAAATATTTTTTAGATATCATAAATGTTCTAATAGAAGCCCGTTTCCAATAGGGTCCATGCTAGCCTATCTCCAATAGTAGAAATCCATTTTCAGTAGAAACTCACGAACCCAACTCTAATAGGAGCCGATTTCCAATAACCTTATTTGAAGCCCATCACCAATAGAAGGCTATCTCCAATAGAAACCCATGTCTTTTATTTTATTTTATTTTATTTTTAAAAATATTTTTTGTTCAAGTTCGGCGGCCTTTCCCAACTTCGAAATCTTCGAAAACTTTACTTAAATAAAAATGGAATTTCTCAATTACCAACAAATTTGTTTGCAGAATTTTTAAGCAGAGAAACTTTATTAAAATTAGAATTGAGAGCAAATCATTTAACAGACCAATCGTTTGGGACAACTTTACAACAAAATAGTGAAGGGACAAGTGTTTTTTCACCTTTAAAAAATTTACAAGAATTAAGTTTGGAAACTAATCAATTAACAATGATTCCAAGTAGTGCTTTATCTGTTCAGAAAGAGACACTTAAAAATTTAAATTTGGGGTTAAATATGGTGAGGAATTATTTTTTAAAATTTATTATTAGAGACGGGGTGTTAAAAAAGGATGTAGAGGGTTGACCAATACACGAAATCCGAACTTTTCTGAGAGAGAAATTTTCGAAACTCGATCAGAAACCCAGACTTCCCCCCTTCTCTAATCCCCCAACTAACCCTACCCCCGGACTTTTTAGACCAAAACGCGACTCGACTTTTCTTTCTCGACCTGTGGCATCCTAGTTTTAATAGTCGTGAATTTTAGGATTACTAAGTCTACATAAATCTAAAAAATATTTACGTGGAATGTCCGCAAAAATGATCCGCAAATTTCTTTTTTAATCCAATCAACTTTTTCCTTTTTAAAATTATTTAAAAAAATTTATTTAGATAAAAGACGTGCCTATTAGTGCATTAAACTTTCCTCAGGTATTTTAAAAATTTTTCCAATTAATTTTTATTTTTTTTCAGTTAAGTTCATTATCACTTGAATTTAATGGTTTAACAGTTATTGTCCCACAAGCATTTCAACACGTTCCTAAACTTGAATATCTTTATTTGACTGGAAATAAATTTCCTGCTTGGTCGTCAGAAATGTTTAGGTTTTAATTTTTAAAAATATTTTTTGTTGTCCGCAAATATTTGCGGACAAAAATTTTTTATCCGCAAATAATGTCCGCAAAAATTAAAAAATTTTTTAAAGATTTATTCCCGAATTAAAAACTCTTGGAATTGGAGAGACCCCAATTTCTGTAATTCCTACAAATGCTTTTGTACATACTCCAAATTTGATGCGGTTGGAAATGTCTGAAGCGGCTGTGGTTTCTTTTTAAATTTTTTTAAATAAAAAAATTTTTTTAGGACACAATAGAACCTGGAGCATTTCAAAGAACTCCAATAATTCAAGCAATTGTACTAAACAAAAACAGATTGACCAGGTTTTTTTGGAATTGTGAATAGGGCTGTCGGTTCTTAGAAAATCTTTGCATGTCCTTGGACAGGGCAGAAGAATCGAAGACACAATAGAGCCAGGGGAATTTGACGGTTCTTCGTTTCCGAACCGCCAACCCTTAATTATTAATTATTTTTAAAAAATTTAATTTTTAAGAATTCGTAGTGACATGTTTCAAGGCCTTCAAGAATTATATTCATTGGATTTACAAGGAAATAGACTAGAACAAGTTGAAAATAAAGCATTTGCTAATTTACCAGCACTTAGACATTTGGATATTAGGTTTAATTTTTTGAACTTTTATTTTTTCCGGAAAATATTCTAATGAAGTCCTGGGCATCTTTTAGTGGTCTTCTAATAGGAGATGGGCTTCCATTACAACCGAGTGCAGTCGGGCTTCTATTGGAAATGGGGGCCTCATTGAGTGGGCTTTCATTGGAGAGGGGCTTCTATTGGAAATGGAGGCTTCTATTAGAATAGAACATTCGGGCATTTTATATTCCTTTTTTCTAGTTACAATCTTCTTCAAACTTTACCTATGGATACTTTTGAAGGAACCTTTGAACCGACAAGTGATGATAGACGTGTAATTTATGCTTGCGGTATGCTTCTTTTTGAATTAATAAATTAAAAAAAAAATTAAAGAAAATCCTTGGCTTTGTGATTCCAAATTAGAATGGTTTAGGCAAATGTTACGAGACAATTTGGATATTGATATAGGTTCGTGGGGTTTTTATTTGGATTTTTTTTTAATTTTTTTTAAAGATAAACCAGGATGTGTAGCTGCTTGTGGTCCCAGTCCAAACAATTGCCCTCCAGAAGGAACTCCTCTCAGGGCATTAGATTTTTGTCCGTCGCAGGAAGGGACAGTTGAGCCAATGCCTCTTGTTGGAACAGCACTTTCACTTGTTGGATGGATTATTTTGGGTATTTCTTTTTTTAATTTTTTAGTGGTTGGACACGACCGGTTAAAATGTTTCCCTGTGACGGCCCAAAATCCTTAACTCTTTTCTATTTGACTCGCCACAGGGAAAATTGACAGGTCGTGTCCAACTACTTTTTTGGGCAATTCACCTTTTTAAAGTAACCATAATGACTGTGCTTATAATTTCTATTTGTTTAATGGCATTAATTCGTTATGGAATGAGCCATAGAAGAAAGAAAATTAAAGATGCAGAGATTGAAGATGAACAAAGAATAATGTCTTCGGCATCTGCGGGTATTCAAATTATTTTATTAATTTTATATAATCTAGTACAAGATTAACTGTTTTTCTATTTTCATTTAAAGTGTGTTTTTTGTTTTTACGTTGTAAGTAGACAAGGTGTAGTGGTATAGGTGTAGGATTCACCCCTTACCTATAGAGGTTCGAACCCTCTAAAGTCTTTTTTATTTTCTTTTTATCTTTTTAACATTTTTAGTTCACTTATCCCTCAGAATTAGTTTCTAAAAATTTTTAAATAATTTTTTCCGATTACTTAGAATTTTATAAATTTGTAAAATTAAGTATAAAAAATATAAAAATCCTAAACTTTCATTTTTAGCCGCTTCGGCCTATCATGGTTCTACATTGCCTAGAAATACATATCATCCTTCTACTGTTTATGGTTCTCCAGCTGGCATAGATTTAGATTTACCACCAGCACATAATTTGGAAGAAAGACACCATCATTATTTTCTTTAAATATTTTCCTCATATTTTCTTTAGTTTTTGCTTGTTTTAAAGAATAAGAATTTTAAAAATAAACATTAAGGCAATTTAATTTTTTTAATTTATTTAAAGTTTAATAAATTATTTAAGTGAATAATAGGATTAAAAAGAAGCCTAAATTCTTTTAAAAAATTTCAAAAAAAATATATACATTCTAATTGTAAGGCTATAAAAATAACAAGTTTTAAGGGAATGCCACACCAACAACAGAATTTGTTTGTAGTTGTGTAAAAATTAAATGTACACAAATATGTAATTTAAGCAAGTCTCGGATCTTGTTAAAATACATAACGATTGTAAAATAAAAAACTAAAGTAAAAAAAATAATTTTTTGGAATTTTTTCTAGAAACGGAATTGCTTGTTGGAACCGAGACTTTTTAATTTAAAAAATTATAAAAAAATTTAAGTGAATAAAATTGGCAAGACAAAAAAAGAGAAAAGAAGAAAAAAAGGTTTAAGTATATAAACAACCTGAGAAAATAAAATAAGAAAAACAAGAAAATTTAAAAATGAAAATTTCAAAAAAGGGGAAGATTAAAAAAGAAAAGAGAACAACCAATTAAAAAAAAAATTATTAGAGACGCCCAGGCCAAAAAAAAAAGAAAAAAAGACTGCCAAAAAAGAACACAAAGATCAGGTTTATAATAATAAACCAAGGCTCAAAGAGACTACCCCCCTCCTCTTCCCTCCCCGAAAAAAATTCTTAAGTTAAACCAAGGATTCCGGACGTCTCTAAAAATTTTTAAAAATTAAAAAAATAAAACCTTCTTAAAATTTGAGAGAAAAAATTGGTTGCCAATAAAAGAACACAAAAAGAAGAAAAAAATTCTTTTTAATTTGAATTAATGTTATTTGCCTTCAATTGTAGTTGTTGATTGTTCACCATTTCCATCAGATTTTTGCTCATCACAAAGTTTTAAGGTCGTTGCTGTTGTTGTTGGTATTGCTATTGTTGTTGATGAACCTTTCTTTTTAATATTTTCCTAGAAAAAAATTGTGTTTTAAAAATGTTTGGGAATTTATCCGCAAATTTGGGTTGCGGACAATTTTTTTGTCCGCAAATTTTTTGCGGACAAAAAAATTTTTTCCATTCAAAATTTGAAAAAAACATAAAAACCTCTTTTCTATTATCATTTCCATCAATAGAAACTGATTTTGGATGCATCATAAATCGACGTGTTAAACGATGTAAACGACGTGTTGTTGTTGGTGTTTTTGCAGTTGCAGGCAATGTTTGGGAAGTAGAACCATACAAAGTTTGAATTCCAGGATCGCCAGGAATATTTGATGTTGGTGATAAATTGTTACAAGAATTGCTGGATTCACGTCTTCCTTCAAAAAAAAATTTTTTTAATTGCAGAAAAATTTTTTGTCCGCAAATTTTTTGCAGAGAAATTTTTTGTCCGCAAATTTTTTGCGGACAAAAAATTTAAGTTTAAAAAATCAAAAATAGAAAAAAACTTTTTTCAGCATGCTTTCGATGTCTATAATGTTGATATAATTGACGCCATTTTTCTGCAGCTTCAGCAGTCATTTTTGGTGCGGTCTGTCCCAATCGACGACACATTAAGTTTTCATGAAGATTACGACAAACCTTAATTAAAATTTTGATTTAATATTTGCGTTAATAAAAGTCTTAGGCTTATAAAAAAATTTTCTAAAATTTTTCAAGAAAATTCTACACATACAAAATAATTTTTATGACAACTTTTAAGAAGGGGAAAAATGTTTGCATTCCTAAGGGGTCGAACCCAATCCAGATCCACTGGAACCCGAGAAGCTTAACCACTACACCACCGACTAAATATTTTGTTTGTCTATTTTTATCAATTTAATTAACAAAATTAAATAACCTTATAATGTATTCCAATTAATTCAACACCTCTAACCCATAAAATATATCCACGACTTATTGGACGTTTTTGAATTACGCCAAAATTTGTTTGTTGATTTTTTGAAGGTTTTCTTTTTGGAATTCCTCTATAGAAAGTTAACCATTTTGGAAGTATTTTCTTTGAAGGAATTGATGCAACAATCTTTAAGAAAACAAAAAACTCGAAGGAAAATAAGAGGAAAAAGGAAGGAATTTTATTTTTAAAAAAATTCAAAAAAATTTTAGAGTAATTCTAAAATATTTTATGAAGTTTTTAATTCGAAAAAAATTTCGAAAAATTTTTTAAAATAAAATTTAGGGCAAAAAAAATTTTTTGCAGGGACTGATTGGGACAAAATGTCATCTCAAAATTAATTTAAAAACCTGTCCAAGGACTAATTCAAAAACGCCTAATCCAAAACAAAACATCCATTGACTAAAAAAAAATTATTTAAAAAGGAAATTTCGACTAAAAAAATAAACCTAAAAGTAAGAGGAGCAGTTGAAAACCATTTTCCACCAAATTGAACAATTAAAATTTGTGCAATAAATGTAGATGTCCAAATAATACAAAACATTCGATTTGATAAGAGATGCTGAAGAAAAAAATTTTTTTGAAAATGTCCTTTAAAAATTTTTGCAGACAAAATTTGCGGACAAAAAATTTTTTGCGGACAAAAAGTTTTTTGCGGACAAATTTTGCGGACTTTTCCTCCCTCAAAATTTTTTAAAATAATTTTTGGGATCGAATGTCATCTCTTTAAAAATTTATAAAAACCTTAAAAACATTTCTTTCTCCATGTACTTTTCTTGAATTAATTTCATTAAATAGCGTCATCATAACAAAAGTATTAAATATAATAGTAAAATGTTCTGAAGGTGGAGCAAAAAGAGGAGCACCAATACCAGAAGAAATTGAAAATAATTTAGGGCCTTGAAAGACGAGAAGTATTAAAATTGTTAATTGAAAGAGTGCATGACATCCAATATTTTTTATCTTTAAAATTGAAAAAAAAATTAATAAAAATTTAATTGCGGACAAAATTTGCGGACATTTTTCCCTCGAAGAATTTCAAAAAAAAAATTTCGAAATTTTGGGATAAACTGTCACCTCAAAAAAATTCTCATAAAAACACTTCATAATGTAGAAAAAATTATTTCCTAATTTTTGGGACAGAATGTCATCTTAAAAAAATTTTTCGAAATTTTTGGGACAAACTGTCACCTCTGAAAAAAATTTCAAAAGAAATTTAAATTCAAAAAATACCATAGTCCGAGAAATCAAAGGTTTTTTGCGTCCATAGGGCTTTCGTTGCAATAATTCTTCTGTTGGCATTTCTGTCGCTAAAGCCAAGGAGGCTAAAGTGTCCATAATTAAATTCTAAAATTAAAAAAAATTTCAAAAAAAAATTTTTTTTTCAAAATTACCAGCCAAAGCATATGAACAGCTTTTAATGGAGAATCACCAATAGTACAAGCACAAATAAATGCTGTTAATACGGCAACCTTTAAAAAAATTTTTTTTAATCGAAAAAATTTTTGCGGATAAAATTTTGCGGACATTTCAGAAAAAAATTTTTAATTTTAAAAATTACAAAAACTAACCATATTCACAGTTAATTGAAATTGTAAAAATTTTGATATAGAATCATAAACATTTCTGCCTGAAAAAATATTAGAATTAAATCTAAGAAAGAATTTTTTGCGGACAAAATTTGCGGACATTCTCGCCAAAAAAATTTTTTTAAATTTGCAGCAAACCCACGGACCTTTTCTTCACAAAAATTTAAAAAAACCTTAACAATTGAAGTAAAATTATCATCAGTCAAAATAATATCAGAAGCTTCTTTAGCCACATCTGTCCCAGCAATACCCATAGCAAAGCCAACATCTGCTTTTTTAAGTGCTGGTCCATCGTTGGTTCCATCACCTGTTACTGCTACAATTTCTCTTTAAAATTTATAAAAATTAAATTGAAAATAAATTTTAAAAGAAAAAACCTTTGCGGATTCAATTTACTATCAATTATTCCTTTAACTAAAATATATTTGTCGGTAGGTTGTGCTCTAGCCAAAACACGAAGACGGGGCCAAATCTTTAAAAAAAATATTTTTTTTCATTTTTTAAAATTTTTAAAAATATTAAAAAACATTTTTGGCCACTTTAAATCAAAGGAGAAAAGATTGAACACAAAGAGGATTCGAACCTATGACTAAAAACCTTCGAATCAAACACACTACCAACTGACCCACAGACTAACTTAATCAGATTTGCTTTTTTCATTACTTAATTAATCCACAAAATTCCGAAAATTATTTTCAAATTTTCATCTATGTGCCGGTCCCAAATTAATTTTTAAAAATTTTAAAAAATTTAAAAAATCTAAAAATTAAAAAAAATACCAAATCAAATTTAGCTTGATCTACTTTATCATTTTCATCTTTAATTTGTTTATTAAATTCTTTTCCATCAAGAACAAGAAAATCTTCTCCAGGCGAAATAATACCACAACTTATAGCTATTGCTCGAGCAGTCATTACATTATCTCCAGTAACCATTCTTACAGTTATTCCAGCTCTTTTACATTTTGCAATGGCTGCGGGAACTTCATCGCGGACCTGTGAGAAAAGGAAAAATTAAAAAAAAATTTTTTTAGAAAATTTTACTGGATCTTGAATTCCACAAATTGCTAATCCAACAAGTTGTGAAGCTATTTCTTGCTCATTTTCCCAACAGATGTCTTCTTCAGAATGAATTTGGATCTGTTAAAAAAATAGAGAAAATATTAAATTTAGAAAACTGGGATATTAAGGAATGGGTTTGGCTCGAAGATTCGGATCCCAAGCCAAGAGATTTGAAAAAGGTCGAAGCCACAACACGCTCAATATACCCCTAGTACTGCTTGGAGTCGGAAAGCACTAATGGAGATAGAAATTTTGGGTTGGGCAGAGGTTGAGAATTCTCCAAAATAGACTTGCAAATGCTGTCAATAAAGTCAGAACCCCCCAAATTGTTAAAAAATATTTTTCTGAACTGAATGTGAGGTCAAGTTTCCCCTCGAAAAAAGTCCCAAAAACTCAACCCAGATAGAAAAATTAAAAATATAATTTATAGGATTAACCAACTTCAGACTCTGTAGCACTTCTTACACTATCCAAAATATAATCTTTGTAAGCTATAGTTAATGTTCTTAAACCATTTTCTGCCATTTTATGAATTACTTGTTGTGAAAGACGTTCTTTAGATTCATTTTTAAATTCTTCAACAGCCCCATTTGAATCAACAAAAAATTGACAACGATTTAAAAGAATTTCTGAAGCACCTTTACAGAATAATCTATAACCTATTAATTCATCAGTATCTTTATTTTTCAATTCAATAACAGTCATCATCATTTTTCGAGAGGAATTGAATGTATAAACTGAAATTAAATAAAATAATTTTTGAAAAATTAAGCAAATTTTGGTGGAGTAGGAGGGATATCGAGGAATTTGGGTGTATTAAGAGGATATCTATGGATTTGAAAGATATCGAGAAATTTGGGGACAAAAAGAAACCAATGGGAGGATTAAGAAGAAATCAACGGTATGGATGGAGTGATTAAGAGTAGGATTGGATTTTTCGAACCGAGCCGACGTTCAAGTCATTTTTTCTGACCTCATTTTTATAAAAACCGGGCCGTTCGAGTCTTTTTCGGGCCAAAATTCAAGGCCCGGTTCGATCTTTATAACCGGGCCCCCAAACCCTAATTAAGAGGTATAGTTTGGGATTTAAGGGATATCAAAGGAGATGGGGGACCCTGCCTAAAGAAAATATTTCTCAAAAACATCCTTAATAATCTGTATGGTAAAAACGAACCGAAGATCTCATTAAATTTAAAATCCAATTTTTAATAAAAATCCGCAAAAAAGTTTTGTGTTCGCAAATATTCTCCCCAAACCCCCCATTTATAAAAATAAATTCCACAAACCTTTATATAATTTTTCTTCTGGAAATTCTCTTCTAATTTCATCATAATCTCCCCCAATTTGTTTTACCCAACCCAAAAGTCCACATTCAGTTTTATTTCCCAATTGTTGTAAACGTTCTCCAATTTTCTTTGGTTCAACAATCATTGAATTATAAGCACAATTTAAAGTTATTGCTTCACTCAAAAGTAAACTGACATCTTTGGGTAATTCTCCTTTTGATGGTTGACTTTTTTCTGTATTGTAAAGACGTCCACAAACAAATGATTGAACAACAGTCATTCTGTTTGTTGTTAATGTTCCTGTTTTGTCAGAACAAATTGTTGTAGCTGTTTAAAAATTAAATTAGTTAATCAAAAACGACGAAACATTTGTGGCTAGGGTACTAGTGCTTCACCGGAACTGAAATCTTGACTGGATCAGGAACCGGATCCAATTTTTTAGTTCCGGAACGGAACCAAAAAATCCCGGAACTTCCGACCTACCGGAACCGGAACTTCCGGTGAAGCTTTAGTATGAACACGTCGTGAAGAACTTTTCAGAGAACCCGGGAAAAGTGGAATCAGAAAGTGGGAGTATGTCAGAAAGCGGGGTCGGAGAATCGCCTTAGAAAATCATCGTAGGGTAAGGACGGGGAATCGAGTACCAAACTTGTCACGACTTATAGTTGTCACGGCTTGTATACTTCTAAGCTAGAGTTGGTGGTTACGGGTATCCGGAACAGAAACTTAAGAAATCCAAAAGTTCAATTCCTGTGTCACACATCTCAAAAAACTTATTTTCCCTCAAAAAAAATTTAATTTATACCATTTCCCATAGTTTCACAAGCATCCAAATGACGAACCAAATTATTGTCCAACATCATTTTTCGTACAGAATAAGTTAAAGATAAAGCAATTGCTAATGGTAAGCCTTCAGGTATTGAAATAACCAAACTAGAAAAAATTTAAAAATTGAAAAAAATAAAAAATTTACATTGTAACAGCAATAATAAAAAATTTAACAAAATTGTGTAAATGTTCCAACTAAAAAAATTATTCAAAAAATATTCAAAAAATATTAAAAAAACCTCAAAAATAGAACCAGTTTCAGAATATTCTCTAATGCAATATGGAATAATGAGTATTAACAAAGCCAAAACCTTTAAATAATTTTAAAAAATTTCTAAAAAATCAAAAATCTTTTAAAAAATTTTTGGAAAAATTCTCAAAAAATTTTCAAATTTTTTCAAGAAAAAATTATTTTAAATTCAAAAATTTTTTGGAAAAATTTTTCAAAAATTTTCGTTTCAAAAAAAATTTTTCAAAATATAAAAACAAATTAATTTACAGCAACACTAGTTCCACAATAAATTATTTGAAGGGCTAAAGCAGACAATTTTGTTTGTAAAATTGATTTTGAATGAATATCATCCATATTTTCATCATTTGAAGAGGAAGACGAGGAAGAAGAATGTGAAGATGAACTAGAAAATGATGAGGTGTCTGAATCGGAGGAGGAAGTTGTTGTGGAGGAGGAAATATCTGGACGGCCACCACCCAATAATGTCCTGAAAATTTTGGAAAATTTTTTTGGAATTTTTTTGGCACATTTTGACAGATTTTCTGGCATTTTTGTATTTTTTAAAGATGCGGACACAAGATGCGGATTTTTGATGAAATCCGTCAAAAAATGCAGAATTTGGGGCATTTTTAAATTTTGGCATTTTTGGATTCTTCTCCAAAAATTATTTTTAAAATATTTATTAAAATAAAAAAAAAATCTCACATTATAATGCCCGTTTGTGAGTAAACACCAACTGCTGTAATTACCATTTTTGCACTTCCCTCCATTGCATATGTGCCTAGAAAAAAAATAAATTTTTAATAATAAAAATAGAAAAACAAACCAGAAAGCAAAGCCAAATCTCTTTCCAAACTTTTTGTAACATGTTCAGATTCTCCCGTTAAAGAAGATTCATCAACTTTAAGATCATTACTTTGAACTATTAAACCATCTGCCGGAATTAAATCGCCGTATTTGACACGAGCAATGTCACCAACGACTAACTGAAAAATTAAAATAATTTTTTTTAAATAATTTTTTTGTCTTCTTACGAGAAAGGGGATGGATTGAGAACAGGAGTCGGTCGGAATTCCGATTTCCGACGTTTCTTTCCTTCCGATTTCCGACGTTTCTTTCCTTCCGATTTCCGAAATCTTCGTCATTTCCGACCGACCCCTGGTTGAGAAAAAAGGTCGGCTCTAGCTTCGGGTGGGGGTTTCAACAATTTTCTTCGGATTCGGGGTTTTCAGGTTGAAAACCAGAATCGAGTCAAAAATAAAAATCCATGGTTCCAACCAACCCATATCCTCCTCCCTTCAAACTTACATCAGAAACAGGAATATCCATAGGTTCACCATCTCGAATTACCGAAAATTTTTGGCCTGTTTCGATTTTAGCTTGAAGATCTGAAAAAAAATAATTTTAAAAATAATCCAAATACTTTTATTTACTTCTAAATTGCCTTTCCTTTGAGTAATCATTAATTGCTGTCACAAGGCACACGACTACAACACATAAAAGAATGGCAACTCCTTCAATCCATGCAGATTCATGCTCTTCTTTAGGTTGTTGTTGTTGATTTAATATGTCCGGCGGTTTTATTAAGGATAAATTGGAGTCTTTAAATTAGAAAAAAATATTTTTGAAAAAATTTTGAAAAAATATCGGTCCTTTCTTAATCTCCCAAAAGTCCGCAAGTTTTATCCGCAAGTCATAATGACCATTTATAATGAATTGACGGATTATTGAGAGCACAAATGTCCGCTACAAAGTCTGCTAGCGGCTTTTGAGAGCACAAAATAGGGTCACACCCCGATAAGCCCTCCCAAGCAAACCCTATACCCGACGCCCTAGTCCCGGAAGGGTCGAGTAGTGCTACCCCAGTATGAAGTAAAAGAACCAGAAAACCTCAACAAAATTTTCCTCTTTTCTTACTCGATAAAGTAACAGGTAAAGGTTTGGCTGAGGCATTCCAATTTCTTTCTCTTCTAGCAACATTGTTGTTCGTTTCAGTCTCATTTAATAATCCTTCAAGTCCAGTTGTTGTTGTTGTCATATTCCCTCCAAAGTTGTTAGTGTTGTTGTTATTTCCTCCATTAACAACAACAACACCTCCGCCTTGGCCAGGCTCGACAAAGGACAATAATAAAGAGACGAAACCTGCGACTATCAGGATAATTAATGTTGGATCCTGGAAAAAATTTTTTTGAAAATTTTATTAAAAATTTTTGAAAAAAATAGGGTCTCTCTTTTAATCGCCTAAAAGTCCGCAAATTTAATCCGCAAGTCATACTAATCAAAAAAAATTGTCAAAGTACCAAAATTATAACTAATCTACTGTTTATTATCAGCTTATTTTTTATTTGTTTCTTTTTTTATTTTATCAGTTGACTTTTAATAATCGAGCAAAAAAGTGTGTGTAAACAACCCCTCCAAAAAAATATTTTTAAAAATATTAAAACCCCCCAAAAATACACCTTGATAGCGTCGAAAAGAAGTCGCCAAAATGGTTTTGCTTTTGTACTTGGAATTGTATTTGGTCCATACTTTTCACGTCTTTTAGCCAATTCTGGTGAAGCAACATCTGATGGCAATCCCTTGATTGGATCTACACCCATTTTTGCACAAAGGCCTTCAATCCCTCCAAATTCCTCATTCACCTTCAAAAATCCCTTGGTCAATTAACTCCAAAAAATACCAAAAAACCTTCAAAATAGCATCAGCCCCTCTAGATTCCATCAATTTACAGAGTGCTTGTCTACTTGGCCAAGTAGCCGAGACATCCTCTTTGATCCCCACAGATTTTGAAGGCTTCCGTTGTATTGACCCCAACATTTTCTGAAGTTTATTATTCTTTTTGAATAAATTCATAATTTATTTTTTAAATTTAAATTTTTAAGGTGTTTGATAAACAAGAATAGCTGATGGATGATGAAAGCAACAAATTAAAAAAATTATTTTAAAAATAAAAAAAGGAGAGGAAATTAAGCGAAGAAATACAACTAAAAATGAACACAGTTATTTAATTAATAATTAATTTTTAATAGCAAAAAAAGTAGCAAAAATTATTAATTTTTTTCTGTTTATAAAAATGAAAAGAAGAAACACTTTTTTTAATTTGGGTGAGGGAGGTGAAGAAAAATCAAAAAACGAGAATTAATTAATTTTAAGTGTCTCTAATTAATTTATTTATTTATTGATCATAATTAAAAAATATTTTTCTTCTTTTAAAATTAATTAATTAATGAGGGGAAAGGGTAAAAGTGTATTTTTGTTTATTTCACAAGTTTACAGTAAAGTTTTTTTAAATCTTATTAATAAACAATAGAAATAGTACATAATACTTTATTTCTTTCTCTGTTTGTCTTAGACAAATAAATCAGAATTAAATGTGTTTTTAAGATCAGAAAAAATTCTGGGTTTGTGTTTTCCAGTTTAAATTAATTCTGATTGCAGTTACTATTTACGAGTGTTTCCGGTTAAAGTAAATTCGTATGTATTTTCCGGAAAGTTCATTACATGTGTTTTCTTGTTAAATAATTCTGATTTAATGTGTTTTCCGGAAAATGTAAATATATTTATCTAAAAATTCTGATTTAAAAAATTCTGATGTATTTTCCGGAATATCAGAATTTTTGTATTTTTTATATTTAAAAAGTTCTGATTTAGAAAATACTAGTGTGTTTTCCGGAAAATTAATTATTTGTATTTTCCTTATTAAAAATTCTGATTTAAATAATTCTGATAATTCAAATGTGTTTTCCGGAAATTTTAATTATGTATTTTCTTTAGCAAAATCAGAATTTATATTTACACTACGTCATAATTAAAAGAAAATTCTGTTTTAATTGGAATATAGCCAGAAAAAGTGCTGACGGGGAGAAATAAACACATTCTTATTTATTAGTTTAAAGAAGAATTAAAAGAATAATTTTAAAATAAATTGATTAATTTAAATAAAGAAAAGGATTAACATATGATTAAATAATGATTTATATTTTTTTATTTTAAGAGCGCGAAAATTTTTTTCTGAATTTTTTGTCTAAGAAAAAAAAATAAAATAGTTAACCCCGAGGGTGGTTGATCTGCCAAAGAACAAATAAAAATTTTTTATAGAAAAATAGAAAAAAGGGGGAAATGAGTAAGAATAATTTTTCAAGGGTACATTAAATAAACAAAAAATATTTTTCTATTTTTAGGGTCAAACAGAGACGTTCTAAAAAAATTTCTAGACAAGTCAGTTTAAAAAAGAAATAAATTAATTAATAAGATTTGGCCTAAAAATGATTAAAAGTATCCAGAAACACCTCAAAAAAATTTTTAAAAAATAAAAAAAATTTAAAAACAAGCCTCATTCCCCTCCTTATTGCAATAACCACCAACACCCCCTCCACCATCATTAAAGACATGACGTGCACCATTCAGCTTATTATTGTTGTTATCATCGTTTAAAACAGACATATAGGGCCCATTCTTTTCGAAGACTTTCATCTCCTTAAATTTTTTAATTAAATTAAAGGTAAAAAAATTTTTTTGATTAAATTGAAGGCAAAAATCCTTTATTTAGAAAAATTGATGGGAGCGGAAAAGTTTGGGCACCAACCGGAATCGAACCTGTGACCCTCGACCAAAAAAGCTAAGGGCACTACCGATTAAGCCACAGAGTCAATGTGTTAGTAACTTGTTCAACTGACCCAAACCCTCTCGCTAAACGTTTTCAGGTTGGGGAAAGAATTTTTTTCGGAACAAAAAAATTTTGTAGGAGTCTTAAAAAAAGGCCTAGGGAAGTCTTAAAAACAGGCAGACACTAAAATTAATTTTTTAAGCATTTTAAAAATTAAAAGGAATGAGTCAGTCAAAATTTCCCAAAATTAGTAAAAGTGAAAGGACAAAAAAATAAGCGTTCCCCTCCAATAAATTATTAAAAAAGGAAACAACCTTAAATTGTTTTGACGAGCCTGGCCCTGGCTTCAGTGAAAATAATTAAAAATTTAATAAAACTTTTGCTGAAAAAAAAATAAAATTAAAAATTTGTATGAGTAATAATATTTTTGTGTGTCATTTTAAGAAATGACACACAAAAATTAAAAAAAAATTTTTTTAAGCAATTAAAAAGTGAAGGAGGATGTTGATAAATAAAATAAAGTAAAAGAGATAAAAAAATTATTAATGTTATATTGGACAAATAAACACACACACAAAAGTTAGTTTTGAGGGTTTGAAAAAAAATGTGATTACAATATTTTATTTGGATGGGGGAGACTTAAACAACTAAACTAACTCTCCTCTTAAAACAGTTAGAAAAACCCCACAACAAAGTATATTATACAATAAAAATGAGGAAAATGAGGGAAGGTTTTGGGACTTTAAGGCGTGGGGTTGTTAGGGCGCCGCTGTTCGTGGAGTGATTTTTGCGGACATTTAACAAGCAGATGCGGATACTTTCGATGAGCCGATTTTCTCAGAATTTTTTCGAATAAACTTTTTTAATTTAGAAGATCAACCAGAGAAACTGATGGGGTGCCGAAGAAAAATTAGAGAGTATTTAAATCAAGCGCCCAAAGTTTCCCCGCGCCGTAAAAACTAAGAGAGGTGATTGCGTTATGTCTTCCTCTATATATTAAAATTAAGTCTCTCTCTCCTCTCTATTTATAATCCAGAAAATGTGTAAAATAAATAAAATATACATAATCTGATTAAAAATATGGGGGAATTATAAACAAATGTTTGTAAAAATAAGATTGTGTAAAACGTACTAAAATGCTTTAAGAGAAATATAAAAAAACACGAGAAAAAACACGAGGGGTTTTTAGAGTTTTAAAAAGTCATATGCAAAGAATCTGCAAGATAAATAGTTAAAAAATAAATTTAAAAATAATTTGGAGGAGTTGCAAAAATTTGGCAACCGCGAGGATTCGAACCTGCAACCCCCAGTAAGAAAGTCGGAAGCATTACCAACTGAACCACCGAGACAACGTTAACGGATTTCTTATTTAATTAACTTAAATCCTCACGGAAATCTTTAAATATCAGAGAAAATTAAAGGAATAATTTTCTAAACAATTTTTAAAAAAAGCTTTATAAAATAAAGAAAGAATATATTAAGAAAATATTCACAGAAAAAATTGAAAAAGTTTTTAAAATAATTCGCCAAACATATAAAATTTTTTGTTTAATTAAAAAATTAATTTTAAAATAATTAATTAGGTATGAAAAGGAAAGCAGACTTACTAATCTTTAGAAAAAGAAAAATTTTAAAAAAATTTTGGAAGAAAAAAATTAAAAAAGGAAAAAAAATAATTTTTACATGCAAAATGGACTTTTATCTTGTTTATGATTTTGTTTTTGGTAAACATTTTAAACGTTATCTATTGACTGGGTATTTACTTCCATATGATTTATTTAATTATGATGAGATAAAAATGTTGAATTTATTTTAAAAAATGTTTCGAAAGAAAAAAATAATTTTTTGAATAAGAAAAAAATTTTTAAAAAATAATACAGGCAACAGGAATCGAACCTCCAACCTACTCCGCCCAAAGTTCAACACACTACCTACTGAGCCACCGAAGCCTCACAAGGCAAATTAAAAAAAAACAAACCTTAATAATAAAATTAAAAGTCCAGTTTCTTTTTTTTATTTCTGATTTTTAAATTCCGGTTAAATTTTAAAGTAAACAAAATTTGTTGTACCAAAAACGTACTTGAAAGATTGTAAACAAAAAATTAACCTATATTACTAATTTTGGTAAATTAACCCCTTTTATTTTCTTTTTTTTAATTTAATTTCCGGCCAGTGTTAAAATAAATGGAGTAAAAGAAAAGAAAAAATATTTGCGGACTAGAATTGCGGACAAAAAAATGCGGGTAAATTGAATTCGGAAATACATATTTGTTTAATTTTCAGGAAGAAACACAGGGGAATTTCAGAGGAATTTCAAGGGAAACTCTTTAGAGGCCCCATTTTGGTCACAGATTTTTTTATAAAAATGTCCGCAAATCCAACAATAAGCCTAACAATAATTTGCGGACAAAAAGTTGCGGACAAGATGGACTCGGAAATGACCTATTAGAGACCCTATTCTTTTCATTTTCTTCCCCTATTTCCCTTGCCCCACTATTAGAAACTAACTCAACTGAAAACGTTGTTCGGCCTTTTTCATCTAAAGTCCGCAAAAGTTTTGTCCGCAACTTTTCCGAATCAAAAAAAGGAAAAAATAAGAGAAAGGACTGATTAAAAATTAAAAAGTGATGAATTAATAGGGAACATTTAAAGTTAAAAAATTCAAAAATTGGGTTAAAAAAGAAGAGAAAAGTTGTTGGCGTTATTTTATCAATTTTTATCGTCATTGATGTTTTAAATATATTTTATGTTAGCATTAAAAAATTATGCTTTTCTCTTCATTTTTTGGCCTTGAAAAAAGAGAAATGATGGGAGAATGAAGATGAGAGGGGAAAATATTCAAGGAAGGGGGAAGGGCTGTTAAATAGTCTAATATAAACTATAATCGAAAAGTGGGTCACAAAATATGTATTAAAATTGGAGGGAGGTTCTGATTATGAATTTTGATTATTTTAATTTTTTTGTTTAAAAAAATAGGGAAAGGGAAAAAAGGAGAGAGAAAGAGATAAAAAAGTCCACAAGAATTGTCCGCAAAACTTTTCGGGAAAAGCGCAAGCGGTAAAATTCAATTTCGTACCCCCCCCCCTCCTTTTTCCTTCTTCAAAGTATTATAAAATGGTCAGTCAGACTTAGATTATAGAACTCGCCGAGCTGTGTCGAATGACACCAAAATCAAAAAAATTGGACTCGATTTGACCGAAATACAGACCCCTGAAAATTAAACAACCATAGGGGCGATTTTTTGAAA